TTTAGAGAGGCTGATACTCTTAATTTTTATAAATTTTATTTTTTAAAAAAAATAACTTTAATCCGGTTTTTCTTATTTTATTTAAAGCAGAAGATAAAGATTTTAATTTTATATTTTTAGCTACGCAAGAATACCCACAGATAATTATTCTATATAAAGATCTGGATCTTTTTTATTTTAATTAAAATATATAGAATATTTAAATTTAATTAATATAGACCTTAATAAGAGAAATATTATCTAAGAAAAAAAAGAAGAGCTATATACTATACCTTTACTGCTATATAATATCTTATTAAAATCTATCTATATACTTTCCTAATAATAATTTATAAAAAAAATATATAATATTCTAAAGGATAACTTCTAGAAAGTCTCTGATCTCCTATCTCTACTAAAAAAATAGAAAAAAACTATAAAATATTTATTTTAAAATCTTTAGATAGCGGCGGCTTAAAAAAATATTAAATACTATAGAAGAAAGATATATTTTCAATTTTAAAAAACTTATAACTGCTTTCTAAAATATTACTATTTCTATAAATCTTTATATATAAGAGAATACTAAAAATATTTAATAAATATAAAATACGTCTCCATATTAGAGAAGATCTCTAAAACATTAACTTTAAAAACTGTGTAACTATTATATTCGCTATAGAAATATTCTATATTTTAATAGCTCTAGTAGCGGCCTTTAACTTTAAAATATAGCTATCTGATATTGTTAATATTTTCTAAACAGTTCTTTAGATAAGGAAATTTATATTTAAATATCTAATAGCTTTTAGAACAATAAAATCTTATATTTGCTTTCTAAAGACTATATATAAACTATAATAATTACCCTATCTATAGTAAAGATATTTTATGAAAATTTTTAAGTGTCTAAGATTTTAGGCCTAAAGCTTGTTAATAATAACTTTTACTTATTTATTAATAAAAATATTATTATTATAATATATATTTATAATATCGTTATTCTTTTTTTTTTAAAAGAAAATTAGAAGAAAGCTCTATAAATTAGAAAAAATCAAAAAAAGTATATAAATTTTGCAATACTATACTAAAGTAGAAGTTTCTAAAAATTAAAACTATATATAACTAAGTTATATAATATATCTAGTCCTTCTAAAAAGTTTATATACGCGAAATAACAGTCTATTTCTATCTAAAAAACAGCTATATTATTTATATATTTCTAACTACCTGCCAGATAATTTTTATAAGAATATTATAATTTACAATATTAAATTAAATACCAAAAGAATACAGTCTATTATATAGCCTACAATAGTAACTAAACTTAATATTATATAAATTATTAATTATTTTATAATATTTAATAATGATCTAAAACTAGAATATCTTAATAAAATTAACTATATAATAAAATACTTTCTTTATATAGCTTATTATATATTTTATTATAATAGACACTGCATTCTATATAACTATAATATTTTTATCTCTACTAGTAATATTGTATTTACTAATAATTACAACTAGAAATTATTAGAGAATTATCTCTATAAACTCTATAATTATTTAATTTATTAAAAAATCTCTAAGTAAAAAACTATAATAATTTCTCTTATTAAAATAAAGTTTTTTATAATTTCTAAAACTATAAAAAATATATTTAAATAAAAATAATGATTTAATATATTTAACTTTAACTTTAATTATAATATTTTTATTTATTATAATAATACGTAAATAATCCGTCTAATAATCTATTAATTATTATTTTATTACTAGATTCTAATATATTAATATATATTATTATTAACTATAACAGAAGATTTAAAATATATATATATAAAATAAATTTTTATAGCAGTGATATCTGCCAATAGTCTTATAAAAATCTTATTAAAATAACTATATAAAAGATTTAGAGAACTATTAGAACTCTGTATAATTTCTATCTTAATTATTTAATTAGATAAACTAAATAGTTTTAACGCTAGTAAAATTTTAGATCTAAAGAAATATATTTAACTAGGGTATTTTATATTAGATATTAAGATCTTATTATTTATATAAATTAGTTTAGTTCAGTCTCTATATCTTACTTTAGATTTTATACTAAACTGCAGAGCTCCGGAAATGATCTTTAAATAGCGATTGAGATTAATTATAGATAGAGCTATTTTTCTGATAGATTTAGATGAAGGGGAGTCCTTGCTACAGTCCCATTCAAGCGGTAGATTACGCAGTAATTCAAACATCTGCATATTTAACAGTATTAGACCTCTCCGTGCCTTGAGGCTAATTAATATTTTTAAAGGAAGAATATGTCTTTGTCACCGCTTCTAGTTCCCAACGTCGGACCTCTGCGTTAAATTTACTCAAGCGACGATTGTATTGTTTACGGGCTGCCTGGAGGGTTTCCCCATATGTTTGTAAAAGGTCGGTTGCTATGTCAGCGAAGTTGTACTAAGGATGATAGGGACTGACCTAGACTAGGTCCTTATATTTTAACTAGGTCCCATTAACACTGACAAAGTGTCAGGATTATCTAGCATTCGCAGGAATAGCCTGTAACATCGCTATACATCCAAAATAGACAAGAGCCTGATTTAATATCTTATTTTAACGGCAAATAGCCGAGTCTAAGATAATAGTAACTGCGCCTCAGTAGGTATATATAACTATTCTTAACCTTCGCCCAGTTAAGGTAGAATGAATTAACCGCAAACATGGGGGGTAAGGAAAGGTTAAGATGTTGTTGACCCAGGGGATTAACGAAGAAACAGAAGCGTAGTTGGATGTACGTGAAGGACGATCCTGAGTTCCTGATATTGCCATTGTGGTCCCGGTAGTAAATGTCATCGTCAGCATCAGGTTCGACGTGAGTCAATGGTGGGGGGCGTGTGAAGCTAGGGACGACGTTACACCAGTCCTCTCTAGCTTGATTAGCTTCCGCAAGAAGTCGAATCTCATCGTGCGAAAGTCCGATAAGATCCCGTTCTTTCCGGAAGTGAAGTCGCGTGAGCGCTTCTAGCTGTCTTGTTTAGCCTCGCATTTCTGCAGCGGCAAGGAGGCTCTCCATCTCTCCTTCCGTGTACATGCGTTGGGCCATCTGATTGGATTCACCGGGAGGTTCAACCTGAGGCTCCTCCTCATGTTCGCTGTGATCAGTGGCGAAGACGTTGGGCAGAGTATACCAACGTCCGTTGATCAAGCGCCTTGGGCCTATGAAGTTGTGTCAACCAAAATGACCATTTACACTACCAAAAATGGGCAACCCACTCAGTGGTATGTAAGGTGTAATATATGGCTGTAGATGTGGTTTGACAAGTTGTTATTGTCCATGGAAGAGGACGTCAGAGGTTGGATGTAAGAGGAAGGAGAGATGTGAGGCGAAGGTTGGATATGAGAAGAAAAGGAGGTCGGAGGTGAGAGTTGTAGTAGGTGCTTGATATGGGAGAAACACAAGCGAGTCTTTGGTGAGAAAAAGTGACCACAGAAAACTGGAGAGAAACGAGGAAAGCAGACAAATGGATAAAAGACACAGGGAACTAATGTTGCTAATATGACTGCAGATATGTAGAACACAGGAGATGTAAGATACAGACGGGGAACAGATGGAGAAGGTTGGATGTTAGGATCGCTGGTTGAACTCGTCGAGGACTTCTTAGGCGTGTTCGAGTTCTGACTCCGGTGTCTGACTAGTATCCAAGCTATTGAACGAAGATATTCGTTCTGCTGTTTTCCACGGTACAATGACGGGGTTAGCAAGAATATAATCTTCTATTTGTTATCCTCTTCGACAAACACAGAACTACTTAAGTTAGTTAAGACTAGAACGGTGAAAAGGGCCTGTATTGACTGGTGCTGGCTCAAGATGTGCAATAGGAATAACTAGATAAATTAGGTGCTTCACTGAGGCAGTGGCCTTCTCTGCAAAACAAATAACCCGTTGACAAGTGTAGCCTACATCCCGAGCAATAATATCCATTCATCCGCAATGGAAGGTAATAGCATATAATACAGGGAATATTATGTAAAAGATCTCAAGTACTCAGCTAAGAAGCCTAAGAGGTTGAAACCCCATCTATAATAGCCGCTTGGTGAGCGTTCAGATTTCTAGGTGCCAACAATGACCTAGAGGGGCCCCAACTGGAAGGCAATAGAAGGAAGTGCCTATCTAGGTAATTTTGTGCCGCTATGGATTTTTATGACACAGTCATTCGAACGCAGTGAATTCTTTTCCACCCTGTCCCCAACTGTCCCCGTTTCTCCCTTATTGGGGTTGGAAGGCTGAGCGAGAGACACTGAAATGATACTGCTAACTCCCGGCTTTTTCAGAGGCAGATATAGCAAGCAAAATTCTTCCCTCCTGCTCGGCTAAAACTCTCGGATTTTGGCGCACTTTCGGAGGCTTACTCGGTGGTCGAATTAAGCGAGGTTTTCGACCGTGGTCAAAACGCCGGTGGCTAATCCATTTGTGACTACCTCGCTTTCAAGGTTGTACTTAACTACTTACTGCTGCTAATTTATGTAGTAATGCAAAATTAGAAGCCCCTCCAAGTGCCTTGGCACTTTGGGGTGGTATTCCGTATATATGGTCTGGAGCCAACTTGCCACTGGCGTGAAAAGAAGTCGGTACAAATAGGGGTTCCAGCCTCCGGGACCAGAACTCACTACCTCGTGCCTATTCTCCGGCCATGGAAACAACAAAGCTATTTCATCTATTTCCAAACCTCCCTCCTGAGATACAACTCATCATATGGCGTCACTGCCTACCATTCCGTGTCTGCGAGATCGATACCCCAGCTGAGCGTGAGAGGCCGCTTCCATGTACATTCGTGTGGTCGCAAACAAGAAACGTCCTCGCACCCACGATAGCTCATGTATGCCGGGAATCTCGCTCCGTTGCGCTGGCGTTTCGGTCGAAAGAGGAATGCCATCTATACATTCACCCTGTCACTGGCCGGTGGTTTAGTCCTCGCCTGAGCATTGCATTCATGCATTGGAAACCTGTCGATACCATGATATTGGACTGGACACTCGATATGATCCCAAGCCTTGAGTGGTATGCTGATCGTTGTTGTGCGGCTAGTATCGAGGCATCTTTTATGCATTATTTCTATATTGAAGACGGTTATGCAAACTGGATTAACCCACGTCTTGATACTATCGCCAAGCGGAAGGACTACCTCGTCTGTGTGGAAGCAGTAGTCATCCACGCGAGCTTTAAAGCCGCTGCTGATTCAGGGCTCTTTGGTCTATTGGTCGATGCCCCCGTGCAGTTAGTTGACGCTACCGACGTTACAAAGATCGCCCAGTTTCAAGACTTATGGGCGACTAACCCTCAACGTGATCTGACGCCCGATAGCTTTTTCAGGGACCAGAAAAGCTTTCAGGCCCGTCTTGCGCGGTGGTGCGATGAGCTCCGATCTCTATGGGTTTTTAACGAGTGGTATAAAGCGTACACACGCAAGAATGGCTGGCTTGGAATTGTCAAGCCTGAAGAAATCTGGCTGGGTCCTCGATACGATGAGTTCGGTAGTGAGCGTGACATGTTACTACCTGGGTGTTTGTGTTCAGACGAGGTACCGAAAGACTTGGACTACGATCTTTTCTCCCCGAACTTCGATCATCCTTTTGTGCAGCAAGCTCTGGCGGTGATGCCGCGATTCCAACCCCGAATTTTGTTTCGACTATGCCCCCTGGACTGTCATCTACAGGAAAGGGGATGATACTGGGGACTTGAGCTTTTTTGAAAGAAGACTATTTAGTAATGCGAAGAGATGTGCAATGGATACTAATCCTACACTGTAGAAAGGGGCAAACCATGGTCACCGTAGGACTAAGAATCCTCCAAGTGATATCTATACACTATATGTAAGTAAGGCTTCCCTGCGAGGAATATCACTTAACAAATCTGAAACCGACAAGACTATAAACATGGATTATCTGAAGAAACTCGACCGCAAAAGCCACCAACATTTTTGCTAGTCATTCTCGGAAATCTCTCATAGTCGAATGGTAGAAGAGAAACATATGCCCGACGCTGATGTCATTTGCTTAGCTGCTTGTCCCACAGATACCGTTCAGCACATCAAGCATTCGTTGAGTGCTGGTGATAGCATCCCGATGCCTCTTCCCACCGTCATTTTTGGTGACATATTTCTCCTCAAATCCACTCACAAATTTCCTCATCGCTTTCAGCCTATCTTCTGGAACTGTCGCCGATCCCCTGAACATACCCTCGAAATCAATTCCTCTGTATGACTCTTGGCTGTTGTATGCCATGGGAATCTGACTATATTTAATCTCAAGTTTGTACGGCTTGCTTGCCGCCTCTGCCTCGAACGCCGTAATCATTCCTGCAGATTGTTTTGCATTGCGTCCGTCTAGAGCAGACTATAGACACTGTCGCATCCTCTCCCATTCCGCCCCGCTGGCATCTTTGTCTCGGGCTCGGTTGATGTTCTTCTCCAGTGTGCTCATGACCTTGCTCAGCTTGGGTGTCTCACCCTTTGGCAGGTCTATCTGCAACAACGTCTTCGGATCGAGGACGGTGTTGTAGTCCGTTTGTCGTAGCTTCTCCACTGCATCTTCAACATCCGGAGTAATGTTGGTACCAATGCCCGTTGCCTTGTCATATGTGGAGGGATCGCGGAGGATGTACTTTATGAACTCATCGAAATAGCATCCTCCACCTGGACGAGTTCCAAGGCAGCCATGGCCTGTGTGGACACCATCGGGCCCGAAGCGGGTGAGCTCAGCGTGGTATGCGTAATAGAACAATACGGTTTGATAAGGACCGGCTAGGTTCGAGGCATTTGCTGAGGAGAGTATCCCATGTAGTAAAACAACGTAGAGATAATTCATCTCGAGAGATTAACAGATGGGCATGCAGAGTCCATGCAGACAAGAGGAAGAGCAAAAGAAAACGAGGTAGTCACACAACAGGTAGGAAGGGCATGAGAGAACAGAAGCGCTTATAGACCAACGGCCCGTGAGTACAAATTCCACTACAGATTGTCCACGGTCACCACAGCAAGTCTAGACGGCTCCAAATAATCGACAGCGCGTCAGAAGACACATAGAAACCGCTCAATCGAGCCCGCGCCACCTTGGGTTACATCCAGGTGCTTTTACTACATAGAAGCGAGCAGACTAGTTTTCATCCTTCATGTGCGATGCAAGCTCTAGGAGTAACTATCCGAGAACCTATTTCCCTCCGAAGGCCCCTGGAAGAGGCCTGAAACCACAGAGTAGTTAACGTGGCTTCGTCTCCAGGCATTTCAGGGTCCCGCCAGGGCCAATTGGCCACCAGGACGATCGAACTCGCGCGGCGAACTAGGTATATTCTCAGCGTTGCGTCTATGTCTCGAAGAGAGGTCATATACTAGAAAGAAATAGGAAAATGGACAGGCCTCGACCCCAACAAGGCTCGGATAGTAGATACCCTGCGCTAAGCTAGCGCCAGAAAGATTCTGGGAATGGAAAGAGGCAAATTTGCACTACTTTAGTTAGAATTGACTGTTTGTGCCGGTTCTCCGGACAGTGGCAAGGACTCCAATTCATCTATCTAGAAACCAGGTAGCAACCAAATCGACATCTATATTGACCCCTATTCTACCTAACTAACCAGAAGACTCAGGTCGGCTAAAAGACGAAAACACGGAGAACAAACTACCAGCACCGCGCTTCTGCCCATTTGTGTATGGCTGAAAGGCGAGATGTGGAGCCGTGCTAAGCTCCGTGACACTAGGTACCTAATCCGAAGTGGGTACCGCTAGTGGTAGGCTAGCCGACGAGAATTGATTTCCCTCGGCATAAATAGTTATGCACTATCAACAATAAGACCGCGCCATAACTGGTTTCTTTCCTTCTTCCCTTCTTCCCCTTTCTTCTTCTTTGGTACATTTAACACGTTCTGGACCGACAATAGCAGTCTGAGCCACCATATTACCGGTTTTAGCGCCAGTGGAAGAGGAACCAAGTGGACAGTTCGGTCGCGATGTAACTCTGCGTACCTCCGTCGAATATACGGAGTACTCCGTCGACGATGGCAGCGTTCTAAGCAAGATGAAAGAATGATACCTTACTCACATACCCAGCTAGCCTTGCCTCAGTCACAGGATGACCTTCGCCAAGCGAAGAGAAACTTCTTGTCGTGCGAAGGGCGGAGGATATAAATCCGACCGCTTGGAGTGGTGTTGAAAGGCCTGGACTGTGCATACTCATCCTTTGTTTTCTACATTGACTCGGTTTCTCACGACCTCATGGGTCCGGAGTATCCAAGGTCTCTCATTTGTGTTATCAAAATGCGCCGCGTTTTTGTTGCCGGATCTCTGCTCCTCCTTGCACGGCCGGCGTATGCGCTGGCCCCGTGGAAACCATGTCCTGTAACCTGCGAGAATGCATCTCCATCCGATTGGACATATTATCATGATTTACAGACTATGAACCGTTGTGGAGAGACCATGATCTTTGACCTTTCGCTGTACAATCCGGTAAACACGTCAGAGCCACTCTTTACGGTGCGGACGTGTACAGCGGTATCAGCACCCAACGCCGAGAACGCCAATCCAAGGTCTGATCTGGATATCACAGAAAGCCTAAACAGCGTCCGCTTGTCAACAAATGGTATCACAACGCGCCGTAACACCGACAACCTGATATCTGCATTGGAGAGCCTGGCGTCATATATCAAGGGAAGCAACCAGTCTGAAAAAACAATTCTGTTTTCCAAGAAAGCGGACGCAGTAGCTGGGGTCTATGCCGGTGCTCAAGTAGAGAGGACCAGCGCAGCAGAAGCCACACAGAACCTCATCGATTATCTCGATAATATCGATGCGGATTCTGTCCCGCAACGCATTTCTATACAGCTCTGCCCGGAGACCAATGCCACGAGCAGCCAAATTTTCGGCGTTTATGCTCACTTCGAGAACGACGTTTCCGCTGTTCAAACGGCGCTTCGACATGGATTGACATTAGGTGCGTGGTTGATGGGTCTGACGTCGGTCAACAATGGTCTAACAATGAGATTTCTATCGTGTCTGCTGTGCTGCATGAAAAAAGCGATGTTGCCAAACGGCACAGGCATCAGAAACGCAGCGCATTGTCTCCACGCGCTACGTGTAAATACGTCCAAGCTGCCAAGGGCGATGGATGTTGGTCCTTGGCTCAAAAAAGCGGTATCACACAGGCGACCCTCGAAAGGTACAACAAAGCGAATATCTGCACAACCGTGCAGGCAGGCGATCCAGTCTGCTGCTCTGCTGGGACACTGCCCGATTTCTCCGCACAGCCCAATGCAGATGGATCTTGCGCGACTTATACGATCAAAGCTGGCGACCTGTGAGACACTATCGCTAGCTCCCATCATATGACCGTGGACAAAATCAATCAAGTCAACAAGAACACATGGGTTGGACCGGGTGCTCGTTGCTGATGGTCGGCCAGACGATCTGTATAAGTACCGGACTACGTCCCTTCCCGCCGCCAATTTCCAATGCCGTTTGTGGCCCTCAGGTAAACAAACTCCTCGTTCATTCTTCGGTAGTCGTTGTTTTTGCTCATCCAGTATAGGTTCCCGGGACCACCAGACCAACGAATGGAACCTTATGGCAGGATTTGAATCTTTGCCCCCTCAATGCCTGCTGTGACGTCTGGGGCCAATGCGGGATCACCCCTGAGTCCTGCGTGTGGAATCTGGCAGACACAGGAAACCCCGGCACAGCCATGCCAGGAACAAATGGTTGCATATCCCACTGCTCAACAGCAATCACAAATAATGCCGCCAGTCCGCCTAGCTTTGTCAATATTGGCTACTTTGAGTCGTGGAATTTCGACCGTCCCTGCCTGAATATGGACATTTCGAAGATGGACAGTCAAGGCTACGACATTGTACATTTTGCCTTTGCTGGCATCACGAGTGATTATCAGGTCGATGTCGCAAAAGTGCAGGCTCAATTTGACGGACTCCTCAAGCTCAAGACAGTGAAACGAGTCGTATCGTTTGGTGGTTGGAGTTTTTCAACCGATTATGACACTTTCCCTATCTTTCGCGTTGGTGTTTCATCAGCAAACCGGGAAGCCTTTGCACAGTCTGTGGCCAAGTTTGCTATTGATCATAACCTGGATGTTTTAGACTTTGACTGGGAATATCCTGGGGTAAGTAATTCTTGGTGCTCAATGGAGATCCACACTAACGCGTATTTTGCAACAGGCTCCGGATATTCCTGGTATTCCAGCCGGTGACGCAGGAGATGGAGGTCGCTATCTAAGCTTTTTGAAGAGGGTTCGACAGCTCCTGCCATCAGAGAAAACATTATCGATTGCCGCCCCCGCGTCGTACTGGTACCTGAAAGGATTTCCCATCAAGAAAATATCCGATGTGGTGGACTACATCGTATATATGACCTATGATCTCCATGGGCAATGGGACTTTAACAATGCATGGGCGAAGTATGTGACTGAATCCCTACTAGAACAGTGAGAAGCTAACAATCTATCGCCCGCTTAGTCCTGGATGTCCTACCGGAAATTGCCTGCGAAGTCATGTGAATAAAACGGAGACGCAGTATGCTTTGGCCATGATCACAAGGGCCGGGGTTCCTGCAGCCAAAGTGATCCCTGGACTGGCTGCTTATGGCCGAAGCTTCCGCATGAATGAAGTGGGGTGCACCGGGCCCAATTGCACTTTCAGTGGGCCAGAATCTGGCGCAACCCCCGGTCCATGCACCAACACGTAAGGAGCTGCATCCGAGATCTCATTCGCCCTGTGCACTGATCAAGACTGACGCTGCTATAGCTCCGGCTATATCTCCAACTATGAGATTCAGCAGATCATCATTGCAGGAGATGAACCAGACTTATATGGAGTGACGGTTACACGCTACGAAGACAAAGGGGACATATTGGTTTACGATGGTGATCAGTGGGTGTCATACATGTCTGACGACACCATGGCGGCTCGGGTGGAGTGGTATTCCCAAGAGCACTTTGGCGGCCGAGTCGTTTGGGCGGCAGATCTCTACATGGATTATGGGAATAACGGAACAGGCCTACCATACGATGAGATTGACTCGAGTCCGATGTGCAATTTCAGCCTTTCGTTTGATAGCCTGGAGTCCCTTCAAGCTGCTGTATCGCAATATCCATACAATTGCAATGCCCTTTATGCAGTTGACACACTCTGGACCATGCTTGACAAGGCGTACGCCAACTATACCGACATCAACAACTGTTACAGTGATAAATTCGATGCGTACGTGCGGTACGTCAAAAGAGGTGATTCCCTTCGCAATTGACAAATTCATGCTCTCCGATGCTGATGGCAATGGCTTACAATGTAAGTGACAAGCTAATGCTTTGCTTCTCTAATCCCCTTTACTAAAGCGAATATTAGATTTTGACTGCGATTATGTGACGGACCCAGAGGTGCAAAAGATCAAGAAGCCTTGCGGGGAGTTCACTTGGGATGAGCTGCACTTGGGGTCGTACCACATGACCCTCACCCTCAGAGATGCCGAGGGGTTCAGCAAATCCATCCTTGATAAGGCCAGAATAGATCCTAGCTGGATCAGTCACGATGGCGAGTGGTATGACTTCCAGGGGTGTGTCACTGGCTCATGCCCGCCGAACGCCGGTAGTCGTACCTGGTTCAACTATCCCGCCGAAGCAGATAGCATTACAGTTCCTAACCCCAAGGACTTGGTGACTGCTGGCCTTAACAATATCATGGATACTCGGATCAAAATTGCTGCCACTTGGGCAGATATGGTGGTCGGATACTGGAACGGCAGCTACATCGATGTGGCCCAGGTACTGTCCGTTCCGGTCTTCATGCTCGAACAGGCAGTCGACGCCATGGCCCAGGTTAAGGATATCGGTAAATAGCAGGAGGAGATTGAGGAGCAGCGGAAGCGCGATCTCATTCTCTCTATTATCGGTGGTATACTCTTCGTCATCCCGTTTGTAGGGGAAGCAGGTGCTCTCGTGGCTGGAGCTACTACGCTAGCACGCGTGGCTGCAATTGCCGGGGAGACGGCCAACGCAGCCTTCTCTATATATACGATTGTTGAAGATCCCGATTCCGCTTTATTGTCGCTCATGGGAATGCTAGTGGGGGCTGGCGTTGTTACAGCTGCTTTTCGAGACGTGGCGTCTTTCACCAAGATGGCAAAGGTGAGGAAGTCGATGACAGCTGGGGAGGCCGCCCAATTTGGGGATCTCTTCAGAAAGAACGATGATCTGCTCCAGTCTATCATCTCTAAGTGCAGCATATAAAAGCTGGTCTTTGCATTGATATGGTTTTACTCTTTGTTGCTGGATGTACAGGCATCGATTATTCGCACATTACCTTCTACCTGCTCACCCCAATCTCTAGAGTCTACCGCAGTACTTATATCCAAATACCCAGTATTCTACTCAATCTTTTTTCAGACTCTTATTCTGCCTGTATTCTAGTATCCGTGAACATCCAAATATCCGTCAAAGATTCTGCGATAATCTGCTTGTTGAAACAAGCTTCTGTCAGTGCGTCAACAGCAAAAGCTAACAGCAAACCTGTACAATCTGGGCTCACTGGTAGTCTACCAGTGAGTCTTATGAACAACGAAGCTGCATCCAGAAACATTACACCTCAATCAGCAACAGCCCTTGGCGAGGCAATATTACAAAGTTCTACTGCTGCACCCGGCTCACAAACACTAAGCCTGACACTTATGGCCAGTAAAATCCAGTAAAATGTATTCACCATCTCATGTTTTTCGACTTCCAACTAATCAATGCCCTTTATTGCGCCTCTTCTCTCCTCACAGCATATTGCAGGACTGTGGTCGAAGAACCTCCACCTCTCCTGGCAACATCTAAACTCGAGAGAAAAAATACAGGTAGGCGAATTTTTTCATCTCCTGGATATCATCGACCCTCACAACTTTCTCATCATTGAACATCACCCATGACAAGCCCTCCTGTCCAGGGATCGCTTTTCGCACAAACGCAACATAGTGACTGTGTCGTGTTAGCCGAGGTTAAGCACCAGACCAAAAATTTACTTACCCAGCATGTACTGAGGCGCCCTTGTGGCATACAATTGACCGAAGCTGGTACCTAGCCGGCCTAGAGTCAAAGCCTTCTGATTTAGGATCACCCGCAGAGTCAGCAGCTGATTGTTGGTTGTCTGCAGCCTCTGTTATATCGGGGTGACTGAAGACCCAGTCGATAGCCCGGTTGACATCCCCATCTGTAGCGGCCAACGCCATTTGTGCACGGGTCACATCGATCCCCATTTCCCCTAGCATTGCAACCTTGGCAGGGTCTTGCTCTACCTTGAGCCCGGCGTTCTGCTTCGACTTTATCGGCTCATCGATATCTGCATCGTCCATGTGAGCGAAGAGCCAGTTCATTGCCCCTTCGGCATCGTTGTTTCCTGTCATAAATAGAGCCTTCTCGGCGCGTACCGCGGGAAAACCCATACTTTAGAAGTTGGTCCATGGAGGGTTGATGAGGGACAAAAGCGTCTACAGACGCATCATTTTCGGTTTCTGGGAGGAGTTCCTCACCCTCCTGCAGGCCAGAAGAAAGGTAGGGCGTGAAATCCAGTGGTTGATCGCTCACTTCCACAGGGATGTCGAGTTTTGTAGGCACCCAATTGATCAACTCGAAGCGCCGGGCGTTGACGACCAACTCCTGGGGCAACGTTTTGAACGAAGACCTTTTGGAGAAACCGTCTTTGCTGCCACATGCAGGACAACTGAGCTCAACTATTTCCTCAGCGGTAGATGCGCTCATGCAATCATGGAGTGTGACCGGACGGAACTGAACCGGTGCGTTTGGATCGTCGCTAGCTGGTAAGCGATGAGCGGGGACTGGAATCGAGACATTGTCTTGTCTGTCCTCTTTATAGCGAACTTTCTTACAGTGAAGACACTGAAGACGCTGTTCCATAATGAAATTGAAGCTGTCGACGGGGTTGGGTAAAATTTCAGGATGTTTCGACCGGTTGATCAGCTTGAATACGTGCGTTAGGAATTCGAATGCATCTTGTTGCCGCATAGTCGAAAACTCTTCGTGGCCACGACCGACGAGGTGTTTGAACATCGACGGCGCGATTCCTTTTTGATGCGGCGGCTCTGAAGAATGGGCCGACGAAGCGATATCCGAGTCAGTCCGAGAGTAACGGCCAGAAAGGAGACCATCGGCAAGTTTTTGCATCTGCGTTTCGAAGTCCTCCGCCGGAACTTGAGAGTAGGGAGGCTCTTCAACGATATGATAGTATCTCCGCTGAAACTCCGGTAGGTCAAAAATGCACTGCACAACGCTTGAGAGATAGCAACTATTTCCCAAGTTCGTCAACCCCGTAAAGCCTGGACCAAAGATGGGTATAAGTTCATGGCCGTCCTCTGTCTTCATGGAGAAGTCCCATTTCAGATTGTGTTCCACTTGCATCTCCATTAGGCTCTTCTCTGTTTTCTCTCGCCCCGCGAGATTGATACCCCAGTGGGCAAGATGGGCAGCCAGTTCAGGGTCGACCCTTTCTTCATTGCACTTGTAACAGTAGACATCCGCGGTGCCATCTGCAGTTATCGAGCCTAGCTTGACGGCAACGCCATGAGAGGACATGTCTGAATGCGCGAGGGCATGGGAGTTTCCGCCCATGCCGCCGAACTGGCTACGTCCGCAGCCGAGATTGCCGCACTCTAAACATAGCCACAGGTTTTCCTTGAGATCGCACATGGAACATTGGCTTAGATCTTTGTCTTCTTTGTTAGAACTGTGCTCCATGGCTATCTGCGGAAAGCGGAGTGATTTACCTCTCGATTCAGTCGGCTTGGGTTCATGCTGTTCCAGACATAGAGTATGTTCACAAGGAACAAACTCTTGTTCCCACGCCTTTACCTCTTCTCGCTTCGAGTATGTCATTGCTTTCATAACCCCTTCGACAACGGAACTAAGGTTTCCAATGGATGTATCGACATTGTCGTCCGCGCAAGCATAGCAACTGACGCGCGTGGCTGTGTCGTAGATGTCGTCCTCTGTTTCTGCAACAATCGCGAGCTTGGAGATCTTCTGTGGGGGCTCATCACGCTATCATGGCCTTTATTAGCCCTGATTATCTAGGACACGGATTCAATCGTCTGTGGACGAGCTCACCTGAACTTTCTTCCGGGATCTTTTGATATTGAGCACAAGAGGGTGACCAAAGCGCTTGAAATGGAGAGACGCATGGTCTCTGTCTCCGGTGCATCCGCCGTTGAAGCACGTGAGGCACACATTTAAGCCACCTTGATCGTCCTGCCTATCATTAGTTCTCGGGACTGCGCCTGGAGCGAAACAGGGATGCGTACGATGGAGTCGAAGCATTGCGTGCAGTCCTCCCGATACACCGCTTGCGAGTGTGACGGGGGCCGTAGATCTGTTCCAGGATGGTTGTTAACAGAAGAAGATGCAGAGGGGCATATAATGATTTCAGTCAAGAGCTAACCTTGAGAGGCGGCATGGATACAGGAAGCCATGTTGGAGGTAGGATGTGTGATGAACAGTCGAAAGCCTTGTTAGATCCTTAGGATAGTTTTGACGGAGCTCCTTCAAAGTGTACACTGGAGAGCTACTCTCCTACCGTGAGGTTGTGGAACTGAGAAGGCGGCGCAAGGCATCATCGTGAAAGTATCACTCGGAGAGGTGGGGCTCAAGCTCGCCGGAAGCAAGAGTGGCGGGGTACGTAGTAGTAGTAAGCCCCCATGCCTCAGGCACACCGCCCGGTGGATCCGCGGCCACTTAACGCGCCCTCGTCGCGTAAATAACCTGACCTCGCGTTCATCCATCATCCATGACTGTCTGGCTCTCTTCCCATACCCACATCCACCGTCTCAACGCCCTTTTTTTGCGCGTCCTGACTCTTGAAGAGTAACCAGAAAAATTCAAGTTTCAAGGTTGATAGCGATTTTGCACTGTCCTGAGTTAGTCGTTTAACCGACTTGCACGCGTTCCAGACGGTTACAATAAGACCGCCCACGATGGCATCAGACCCAGCTTCCCATATAACTGTCGGTGCCCTCAGGTAATTATACCCATCCAACTTTGATTCCGTGCTTACTATTGACCACATGTGTAGTGCCATCTTCGATGAGACAAAGCCACAAGTCCGCGAACCCATCGTCCAGTGTGTCCAGATCAAACCGTTGCCACCTCAACAGAACAACCAAGAGCGATACCGAGCTGTCTTCAGCGATATCTCGAACTATGTCCAGACTATGCTCGCCACACGTAAGTCACCCTCAATTGTCTTACCATTCGACCTAACATCCCTTAGAAGCCAACCCCTTTGTCACTAGCGGACTGCTTCGCAGGGGTTGTTTTGTCAAGCTCAAGTCATTCCAAGCCAATTCCGTTAAGGGAAAGAAGTATGTCATTCGAAAACGGGGCTTTTTATATGTTGGTTAACGCAAGGGTAGGATTCTCATCATTCTAGACCTTGAGGTGCTGCAAGAGCTTGGCGAAGCCGAGAAAATTGGCGAGCCTAAGCCTCTTGAGAGCAAGGCTGAAGACGAGGAGAAACCTCAGCCTACCACAATTTCTAGTAATGGATTCTACGGGTCAAAGACGCAGGGAGCGCAAGCCCAAACGACCAACAGGGCTCCAGCTCGGCCTCCTGTTGCCCCCGGGCACGCAACGATGTATCCGATTGAAGCTATTTCACCATACTGCCACAAATGGACCATCAAGGCGCGCTGCACTAGCAAGACAAATATCAAGACCTGGCAGAACACAAAATCTACAGGCAAGTTGTTTAGCGTCAATCTGTTGGATGACAGTGGCGAAATCCGAGCGACCGGGTTCAATGAACAGTGCGATGCGCTGTACGATCTGTTCCAAGAAGGAGGTGTCTATTATATTTCCACCCCTTGCCGTGTTCAGATTGCCAAAAAACAGTTCACGAATCTGAATAATGATTACGAGCTCACTTTTGAACGGGACACCGTTGTTGAAAAGGTAAGCGGGAATTGAACAAGCCTGCGTTCCCTTGCTCTCACTGACCGAAATCCGTCTAGGCCGAAGATCAGAGCGACGTCCCCCAGGTCCGTTTCAATTTTACAACAATAGGCGACCTTCAGTCTGTTGAGAAAGACACCACCATCGACGTTATTGGTGTCTTGAAGGAAGCGGGTGAATGTTCCCAAATTGTGTCCAAGACCACAAGCAAGCCTTACAACAAGCGTGAGCTTACCTTGGTGGACAATACTGGATTTTCTGTTCGCTTAACGATTTGGGGTGCAACGGCTATGGACTTTAATGTCTCCCCCGAAGCCGTTGTAGCTTTCAAAGGAGTTAAAGTCTCTGATTTTGGAGGCAGAAGCCTGAGTTTGCTAAGCTCTGGCTCCATGACAGTTGACCCGGACATTGAAGAGGCTCACCGACTCAAGGGCTGGTACGATGCGCAAGGCAGGGACGAAAACTTTACTTCCCATGCTTCCTTGTCGAGTGCAACCACGTCTACAATGAAAGCAGACAGCTTCAAGACCATTGGCCAGGTCAAGGAAGAGCAGCTGGGCATGTCCGAAGATGCTGCCTACTTCTCTCTGAAAGCCACTGTCATCTATATCAAACAGGAAAATGTGTACTATCCGGCCTGCCTATCAGAAGGCTGCAACAAAAAGGTGACGGAGCTCGACCCTGGACAATGGCACTGCGAACGCTGTGAAAAAACCTATCCTCATCCGGAGTATCGCTACATCATGCTCATCAACGTCAGCGATCATACCGGCCAGCTTTGGCTCAGCTGCTTTGACGAAGTGGGCAGACTGATGATGGGCACTTCCGCTAATGAACTGTCTGCATTGCGCGAGAACGATGAGAAGGCAGCGGGCGAGATCTTTCAGAATGCCAATTGCCGTACCTGGAACTTCAGGTGCCGTGCGAAAACTGACCACTTTGATGGACAACAACGGTGAGTCCCGCTCTCCATGGGAGATGCCAAAGACTGTGCTAACGTGGATGATCATAGGATCCGTTACCAAGTGTCATCGGCGAAACCGGGTAAACTATTCTGAAGAGGCATCACGGCTTGCGGATATGATCAATTCGTATAATCCTTTTTAGGAGACGGACACCTTGGCCACCAAGCTTGAGGCCCGGCTAAAGGCCTGCAACAAAGTTCTTTCGGCCACTCAAATCTTATGCTCTGGTCTGGCTAGTGATGGACTCCCACCCGTACATTGCGATTTTTGCATCACCCAGCACAACTGTGAAAAGTTGCAATATGGTACTCTTTGTGATAATAGTTCATATGTTTTGCAGGAAGTGTTATGGTGTCTGTGCCTGTTTGTGTGTGGGTACCTCTATGTGGATGGTTTTAGATGAATCGACGATTCCAGTTCTAATAATGAAAGCAATCCAGGCTGCTAGTATATATTGAACTTAGGCCGTAAGTAGTTAGCTAGGTCCGGGGTATATGCTAGACCGTGGGCGGTGTGGTCAGCGGAGTTCGCCTCTCTGGCAGAATTTAAAAAATTTGTCGGGCAAAAAAAAAAGTTCAAAAGCCAAAAGAAAAAGCACCCCCAGTTTGCGTCCACATCTTTCAGTCAATACACCGAGACAACAAAATGACAAAACGCGACTATCAAAATGACACCACTGCCGAAAGCAGGCCTACAAAGAAGTCCAAAGGAGAGAAGAAGGTGAAAGAGACGAAAGAGAAAAAAGAGAAGAAAGTCAAGTCCTACGTTCAGAACCCTTCGCTTGACACCCTTCCTCAGGCTGAGATCGACGAATTCCTTGCGAGTAATTCCATCAAGATCACAGATACATTGCCTGATGCCACTCCTCTTCGTCCGATTATCTCCTTCTCTCATCTCCCGGAATGCAACAGCAATCTATATGAGCAGCTGAACTCATTCAAATCGCCAACGTCTATCCAGTCAGCGACATGGCCTCTGTTATTTGGCGGCCGTGATGTTATTGGAATCGCGGAGACTGGTAGCGGAAAGACCCTTGCGTTCGGTTTGCCATGCCTCAAGAAGATCGAGGACTCGAAGAAAAAGAAATCGAAGCCCTATCAGCCCATGGCGGTGATCATCTCCCCAACTAGGGAGCTTGCGATGCAGATTCATGACCAGCTCCAGAAATTCGCTGGGCCCGTGGGTGCCAAAGTCGCATGTATATTTGGTGGAGTGAGGAAGGACGAACAGCGCGAAGTTCTGAAGACAGCGAACATCGTGGTCGCAACCCCTGGTCGGTTGAAAGACTTGCAAAACGACGGCTCGGTCGATCTGGGCAAGGTCCGGTACCTTGTTCTCGACGAAGCCGATCGCATGCTGGACAAGGGATTCGAGCAAGATATCAAGGACATCATCCAGCCTATGCCTGTGTCGAAGCGCCAGACTGTCATGTTCACCGCAACTTGGCCTCCTGTCGTCAGAGAACTTGCGTCTACATTCATGTCTTCGCCCGTGACAGTGACCATCGGCGGGGACCCGTCTGCGGACCCGCGCGCAAACACCCGAATCAAGCAAGTCGTTGAAGTGGTCAAGCCTCATGAGAAAGAGGGTAGACTCGTGCAGCTGCTGAAGCAACACCAACGTGGTGCCGAGAAGGTCCTCGCTTTCTGCTTGTACAAGAAGGAAGCGACGCGCATCGAACGGTTCCTCCAATCGAGGGGATTCAAAGTTGCTGGCATCCATGGTGATCTTAGCCAGCAAGAGAGATTCCGGAGCTTGGATGCCTTCAAAACTGGCGCTGCTACGGTTCTTGTTGCCACGGATGTGGCAGCTCGTGGGCTGGACATACCCGCAGTCAAACTTGTCATTAATGTTACATTCCCCCTTACTGTGGAGGACTATGTGCATCGCATTGGCCGGTAAGTGAATCTTACCCTTTGCATAGCACAGAAAATGGCTAATACTTTCTAGAACTGGCCGTGCTGGAGCCGAAGGACATGCGATCACTCTGTTTACTGAAACAGACAAGGCTCAATCTGGAGCGTAAGTACCTTGCAGGAGGGCTCTGATACGTCCCGTGCTTTCTATTTCCTCTAATGTACAGGCGGAGACTAACTGAATAAATAGTCTGATCAACGTGTTGAAGGCTGCTGGCCAGGAAGTCCCAGAGGAGCTTCTCAAGTTTGGTGGAACTGTCAAGAAGAAGCAACATGATGCATATGGAGCATTTTTCAAAGATGTCGATACGACCAAGGCGGCCACGAAGATCGTTTTCGATGATTGATAGATACGGTCACTCCGACTTCTTTCGCAACAATTTCCCTTTCAAAGCTTTGCGGATTATGGTGTACTGTTTCATGAGACGTTTTCTTTCAAAGTATAACCTGTTTGGACATAGATTAGACTTTGGCTTTTAAGGACAGGATCTGACTTACAAAGTGAGACCATAAATAGCACTTATTGCAACGTCTTTCAAAAACTTTCGAAAGCTGGTATCCGAAAATCCCGTCCTAGCCAACATGGCGGACGTTATTGTTCCCGCAATGTAGACGGGAGGGCTGAGACTGAAGTCGGCCAACTTCACCGTAGTCCCATGGCCAATGAAGTACGATTTGATGAAGGCATAGCTCCATGCTGTACGGACTGCCATGTTGACTATGTTGGCGTAGACAAGTCCACGCGCACCAAGCTGGCCAACTTGCAAAAATAGGAAGGCCGCTAGAGCAAAGCATCCAGAGAAAGCGCCCATCCACCCTGCCTGTCTGCGAAGGTCTGACGGGCTCGCCACGGACGAAACAAACGCCTCTGAGATGCCATTGAATGCCAAGAACGGGATATAGTAGCAGTAAACTGAGAGTAGACCGTCGACTTCGGCTGATGCCCACCGGTCACCGCCCAATATATGGAACACTTGGGGCACGAGATAGGGACCGAGAGGGACCACCAAGACAGACAGCATTGCGTAAGCCCACAGGATGTCAGCCAGATGTGCTTTTGCTGCAGTAAGATTTCCGATCATTTGTCTTCCGGATCGCGCCGAGTTGAGTAGTGATGCGAACATAGTGCGGCTGCTCTCCTCGATAGGCTGAAAGAGAATGCGGGCAACCAGGCCACCGTAGTTGGATGCGAGGGCGTAGGTGCCTTGATCTTCCAAGGTTGTCAATGCTGCCAATATCATTGCATCGCCTTGTGTGAGCAAATGCTTCACTATCGATTGGAAGAAGACATTCGTGGATATCGAGATCAGTGGCCTAGGGAACATATTGAACAGGAAGGTCGTCGTTTCACTGCTGCATTGTTACCACACAGATAGATCCTAGTCCGTAGCATGGACTTACCTGGAAGGGATCCTGGTCAGAAGTAAAGAAAATTGCCGACTGCTCGTTACCCTACTTGTGACCATATAGTAGCCTCCGAAGAGTGTGAGGGAGTGGCAAAGATAGCCCAGTGCAAACGGGAGGACACCAATACTGTATCCGCTCCATGACGCCCAAAAAAATAGAGTACACACGGCCAGGCTTTTCATCAGAGCTGCGCTCATTTCCACAGCTGCTCTATCTTTATATAGCATATACTGTTGCACTACAGCAAACGAAGGTTCAGTAAAAAGCTCGAGTAGCGCCGAAAGGGTGGTCACCGCCACACTAAGGTGATAGAAAGAAGCCTGAGAGACCTCGTCTGGGGCCAATTGGACGTAAAATGCAGCAAAAGCCACGGATAATGGTATTCCAATGCCGATACTCAGATAAGACATATTCACCACAGATTGAGACGCTCTGCGCTGGGCTTCCGTATCTTCAGCCGACGTCTTACATGGTTCAGACGAGACTCTGACTGAATTGCCAGTAGGCTTGGAGGCGGTAATCAGGGGCTGTCGCTGAATAGCCGTCCTAATGCTCTCCCTGGAGAAGTAGAGGATTGAGATGAAGTATAGCTCGAGCTGGGCTGAGATCCCCAAAGTTGCTGGTGACAGGCTCCGCAGGATCAACTGATTTGCGATAAAGGTGAAAAGTCGCGAGGATAATTGAATAATGATCAAAAAAGATGTACCAGATGCCGACGATGCCAGTATTCGGTCGACATCTTCGCGCTGTTGCGACATGATTTGCCGTTGCGTGCGGGACAATTTTGGGGCTGGTCTCCTCGCGAATGCGATACCATTGGACAAGTTGATGGAATGGTATCTGAAGACCCGGTTTTCCTCTAATCTGCCATGGACACAGCGAGCTTGGGAGAGCGCAGAGAGATTGGCGAGATTGGTTGTGAGTGACGGATTCTCCAAGACCTACATCGGCGCATCGGCGTGTACTCCGTACTAACTATCTGTTTTTGGTAAGGTGGCCAGTACTCAACATGTGACGTAATCACCGCCGACCGATTCGGCAGGTTCCTGTTCCTATCTTATCGCCCATCTCGGGCACCAACAGAGCTTATGACATTGTATGAGTACGCTATTGTGGTCTACCTAGTAGATGCGAACGTACACGGCAGTCGATCGACTATGTACCGGAAATTTGACTTCGCTGCTAAGAGCATAGGGACTGGGTTTCAAAAATACATCATATGCACGTGTGCATACAAATCATCATAGAGGGCCATCTTAAAACGGAGGCAGGAAGAAAGGATATCCGCCATTCTTTGCCTTGAATACACTGAGCAAGAAGCTGTACATACCCAGCAGTACAGCGCTCCAGATGATCACAGCCACCTGCTGTGCTTTGCTGTCGGCGATACGAGGGACCTTCATGGCCAAAGCAATAACTGCAAATGACAGAACAGCATCTTAAAAGCCACGAGTATTAGCTGCATGAAGACATGGTACTAAAACAAAACAGATTTTCCACTTACAGATTGCAGCAACAATTTGTGTCTCCATGCCGAATTGGTTCTGGAACCCGCCGGCAAAGTAGCTGATACCCCCCTTGCCATCCCCAGCCACGTAAGGCACTTTGCGGATATGGTTGAACATGTGGCCACTCGTGAACAGCAGGATGGCAATCAAGCTACACGCAGCCCACAGGTTTCGATTCCGGATAATGGGAAGGACGTATGGCGAGAGGACCGTGAACAAGGTGATCGCACCCAAGAGGATCGTTACGGCGGAGATCAGACGCATGTAGTTGACTGGGCGCACAAGCGCTGGCTTAGGGCCTTCGGGAAGATGACGGTTGATCCATGCATAGACCTGGTCGGCGGAGATCGGGCTGTTGATGTGAGCAGAGCGGTCTCCTATGCCGGGTACATGAGTATACCTACCCACTAAAGTCAAATCTCAAGGGTGCATCGTCCACTCGAGCATGCGGGCCAACGGTTGGCGGAAATACGAGGAGCACAGGGGCGGTTTGAAGCATCAGCTATCCGACGGGCATTAGTTAGCACGAACGACAACTAGGTGCCTTGTATCGGGAGCTTGTACCTTTTGGAACGTCATTTTGCCATCGCTGAAATCGAGCGTAGCAAACAACATTTTCATATCATCGGGCTTTGAGCCTTTGTTCCAGCTGCGCGAAATCAACTCCCACTCAGGCTGGAATTCACGGCACAAGATGCATCCAAAGCGGGAGTCCGTGGCTGTCAAGAGGACGGAAACATAGTAGTCTCGCGGCTTTGCCGTAACATCTTCATAGGATGAGTCGTCCAGGGCGATCGGAGTCGTACTAGAGAGCGAATGGTATTTCTCAAACTTGTCGGGAGTCGAAGCTGCGCCAATCACGCCGGATATCCAGCAGAGAAAGGCAGCGAGCACAATAAACCATCTCATGTTTGCGCACCAATTGGGTGACCACCCGGTAAGAATTGGGCTGTTCGAGACACACAACAAGGATGCAGCAGGCAGTGGGGTGGCGGAGGTCAATGGTGATCAGAATGAAGGAGAAGTATACGCCATGTGCAAGGCGTGTCCTTGAGCTTACTGTAGGTATGGGTAGCGGGCGCCGGGACCGACTTAGGTGTCCACTACTCTGACTACCACCGCGGAACGCTGGTGGCTTTAGTTTTTCCTTTCCGAGTCCCGCTTCCCCGACCTTACTACGATCGGCTGTTATTATTGTTTACCATCTGGAATGTCGCGCAAATCCCTGGCCAACACGCCATCTATACGTTAGACTCATTCTCATAACAGCATTTCTTTCCTCGCGATCTCCGACATGATGGAGACATCCCTTCTTGAGCCACAAGGCGCAGTGGAAGATGTATGTACGCCGTCCCATTTCCCCGAAGCCACCGCGACTGACTGTTCCCCAGTATGAATTAGCACTGAGAACCGCCCTTTTGGAGAAAGAGTACCAGGCAACTCTAGGACATACAGCACAACTCCTCGATGCCGAAAAGTCTCGCGTAACCAAGGTGGAACAATTGCTTCTACAGTTTGAGAATGAAACCCTCCGGTACCAACTAGATCGGGCCGATCGGGAGCTTGCGAATATGATGAAGGAGGAGTATAAGTCTCGCAGCATACTTGACGGTGCTCGTCAGGAGCTCAATGAGCTTCGGAATCAACAGCGCTTCGCTTCGCAAGAGATAGAACGTCTTCGCGTATGTACTCCAGAGCTTAGATTTAAACCCACTAGCCTAACGCGCTCCGATAGAACGAGCTTGCAACGATTAACAACACCACCGCTGGCTCAAAAGAGCTCCTAGCGGAGATCAGCCGACTCTCAAAAGACCTAGCGGATTCACGGGCGGAAATTGAACGACTCGCAAGTCAATGCACCTCAACCAATACCACCATTGCCGAGAAACAGGCCCTCGAACGCCAATTGAATACGTTGGAGGTACAGCGAGAGGATGAAAAGCGGGCGCACGAGCGTAGCTTGGCCAAACTCTCAAAGCAAGGCGAGGAACTATATGCTCTGCGTTCGAGTCTTGAAGAAGCACGTCGACAACTCGTAAAGGAGGTGGAGGCACGAAAAAGCCAGGAGCGCGTATCTCACCAGCAGAGTCAGAAAGCATATGCACAACGCTTGGCGTCGGAGGACGGTTCTGAAACGTTGAATAAGAAACCACGCCAAGTCCACGAGCAATCCCAAGCAACGCAGAGTGCTCACTACCGCCAACCTGAAAACAGAAATGAAGCCGGCAACACCGTACGGTCACGCATTACTGCAATCGAACAATCCAACAGCCGCTTGAACCCCGAACTTACCATCGCAACTCCTGGGGCTGTCCGTGTTCAAAGCAAGAAACCGAAAGTATCCGCGCTGCCCGGGGACAAGTCTTCCTTTTCTATCACGCCATTTTTGAATCGGACAACTGGGCTCCGAGATTCTCTGAGTTCAGATAATGAGAGCGATGAGCTCCACTCGAGCACACCGATTATGAATACTACCAAGGCACCCGGAAAGACGAAAAAGAACGAGATTCAAGTACAAGATCGCGATGGCTCAGTCTCGGAGCGCCCTTCTACCGAAAGCAAACAGCACCTTGAGCAAACCTCTTCAGAAGTCAAGGTGGCGAAAGAAGGCCAACGCAAACCGGCAGATGTTCCGAAGATTGACGACCGCTCAGATGGCTCTAGCATTCTATCTACCCATCTGACTCTCGCGCAAGCCAAGACGCGGAAACGTAAATTAGGAGCTCAGCGTGATAGGAGTATATTTGATGATGACGACGACGAGGAGGACGACGACTTTAAGGGGATGAGGAAACAGGGCCGTAAACTGGCTGGCCCAGGACGCAATGTGGGAGTCCAATCTTCTGCTATGAAGGCCGGTCCCTTGTCACTTGGACGTGGATTCGGTGGGTTTTCGGAATTCTCTCCATTGAAGAAAGACAGGAAACGGTTGTAGAGTCTGGGTCGAATGCACATAAGGATGTCACTCTGGATACTCAATCTATGCGCCTGTAATTTGCAGGCTGGACCTAACAAACTTCCAAATTGCTAGCGTGACCTCTTAATTGCCATCTGTATGACCAACGCCGTTAGATGTTCGCATTTCAATACCTGATATTATTATTCGTCTAACAACTGCCGAATTCGCGTCCAAGCTCCGGCGCCAAGACGATCTTCCCCCAGCGCAGCTCTCGTCCGCAACAGCTTAAGCTACCCTCTCCCGCCACACAAGTCGCCATTGCCGGCAGCATGTTGAGCCCACATCGAGCTTTATCAGGCTGGGGATGCTGGCTAGGGGCTACACCGTCCCAGGGTCTTCGGATTTGGGGTCCGTTGACCTTTCAGAGGCACTCTTCCTCCAAAAGATGGCAGGCCCGTCAGTTGAAGGATCGGTTCACCAAGGAAGCAGCAGTGCAAGGACTGAAAAGTCGCGCTGCGTTCAAGCTTCTCCAGGTACGAGTGCATCCGGAAATCTGGAGCTCGCAAGGCATCAACTAACTTGCTATATGTCCGCAGATTGATACAAAGTTTCGTATCTTTGAGAGCGGGCAGACCGTTGTCGACCTAGTAATTTGACCCACACTGGAGACCTCCAGATCAACAGTTTGCTGACAATGAGTAGGGATATGCTCCTGGATCGTGGTCGCAGGTAAGCCACTGCCGAGTTACATCCTGTTCTCCGCTAATCGTCCGAGGTGGCTATCACACGCACCAAGCCCAATGGACGGGTGTTGGGCGTAGACATTATTCCCGCGCAACCACCCAAAGGCGTGTCCACTATACAAGGAAACTTCCTCGACCCCGAAATCCAAGCCTACGTTCGGGAATTCGTCCGGGATCACAACAGAGGCAGAGCGCGCCCATCGAACGAGTACAATGGCGATGAACTCGACACCCCGGCATTGAAAACGGATACGGCCCCTCCTAACATACCGACGGACGTCAAAGAGGGGGAACATGGAAATGCGAATGAAAGGACAGTTGATGTGGTCCTTAGCGATATGTCCGCCCCCTGGTACCAAACCACTGGATTTTGGAAGAGAAGTCTAAGTGATCCATACAACAGGATGATGAACACCAGTGGTGTAAGCTTTCGAGATCACGCGGGAAGCATGGTGGGTAATACAATTCACAATTGGCCTCCTCATGCGCTGACCGAAACAGGACCTTTGCCGTGCGGCTCTCCAATTCAGTTTTGAGGTGTTGAAGGATGGAGGTCATTTCGTCTGCAAGTTCTACCAGGGAGCCGAAGACAAAGCTCTAGAGAAGCAACTGAAGGCATTATTCAAAAAAGTACACCGGCTCAAACCGGAGTCGTCTCGCAACGTAAGTCCTACATACACCCAGAGTATCTATTGCCTTGCACCTGAACTTGAAATCGACAGGAATCTAAAGAATCGTTCTTTATCGGTCTTGGACGGAAGGAGAACGCCAAGAAAGACGAAGTCCTTGATCATTCGTAATGTCAGCACAAATTGCGCGTGACTTAGACGATCTCTGCTTCCTCATCCGACGGCTCATCCCATTCAATCTCAGCTGCCGCTGCTTCAGCTGTCCTTTGAACCTGTACGGGGTATAAGCATCCGCCCACAGAGAGCCAGATAAGAGAGAAGGAAAACGCCATACCTCCTTGAGGCCACTCAGCTCTTCGACATATCCTACTTCATTCAACGCTTTCTGAACGAAGTCCCAGCCGTCCTTCTCATACGCTTCAAGAATGCTCGTTGAGCAGGCGCTGCAGCATTTATAACTCTTACCCACTACCGATATGTTTTCAAAGGTCGGAAGGAATCCTCTGATCTGGTGTGGTACAAGTCCCAGTGGATGGTCTCCTCGGTCATCGTAACGTGACTCTGGAGCTGGAGCTGCAGCACCCTGAGGATGCTGAAGGATGGATACGAACAGCTCGACTAGTAAGGCGGAGGCTATGGCAGATACACCAGGCCGGGTGACCGTGCATTGTTGATCGAGAGTCTGATCTTTGACGGACTTTGTGATGCGTTGTCAGGTCGTGAAAACAAGGTCTCTCTCATGGCTACTCACATTCATAGGTGCAATGACATCGTTGCAAAAGTAGCAACCTAACGCTGCTGCGTCGTCCGCATTCTTCACTCCATGGCGCATAACAACGAAAGAGTCGAATCCTAGAGCTGCATTCATAACAATCTTGCCACTGGCCTTCCCCATAAGGGTCGGCAGCCAACGCGATTCTCGCGTGTCCATTAGGAGGAAAATGGCATCGTGGTCATCAATCAACTTCTTCAGAGTTTCGAACTCTGATCGCGTCTTCTCAACGTCCACAACGGGGTGGCCAGCCATCGGTACGGCAAGCACATGTCCAGTTGAATCGACACCCGGGTAAATTTCGGACAAGGCCTCTGCAGCTCGATATGCTTTTTTAACGCCCCCTTCCAAGCAATCCTTGAAATCGAAAAGGGGTTGCCTGACCGGATTTGAGAAGGATACAGACCCGTTGTCTACAAATGTGATTTTAGTGACGCCCCAGCCCTAAACGAATGATGGTCATTATCGCATTCGAGACATATTGGTCGATGAGTTACATACCATCAGATTCCTGGCGACATAACTCCCAAGAGTGCCTGCTCCGAGGAGAAGACACTTAGTTCTCTTGATGTGTTCAAGGTCCAGATTGGGGCTAATTCGCCATTTCATGAGTTTGAGGTTCAAATCGACAGACTGATCTGCCAATCTGATCGGTGTTAGAAACCACAGTTAAAAATTTGCTCATAGAGCCACTATACCTCTTAGGGTCCAAATATTCCGTAAGATCAATCAATCTGCCTGTCAGCTTTCCCGCAGGGTTGCGTTCCCATCCCGTCACCTTTGGCATAGCTTCTGCAGAGCTCCCTGCCGCTGTAGCATTCGAATCACGCTGCGGGGCTTTCGATTCTAGAACCATCACAGCACTATGCGGTTGGTCACGCTTCGAATGAATGTCGCGATATCTCAAAATCTGCACCTTGTTCTGTTTCCAGCGATATTTCACAAGGGCCAACAGGTTCCGCAGCATCCAGCCAGGTGCACTGGGGTAGTTTGAAGGATCCACAAAGCATACGAAGCTGTCTTCAAAGCTAGCGTCTTCGAAGAAGCCTTCCTCAAAGCTGGAGAGAGGAGCGACCTTCCAAGAAATGTTGCCTTGTGCTTGGGATCCTTCTGCGCCCTCGCCACCCGCCTGGCCATGAGTCCTAGATTGTGAACCGCCCCTTGGGCATTTCCGAGCGAGGAAAAATCCACGTTGGCGTGCATCTACACTGTAACTCCACGTCTGGACGGCCTCCACAAGGGTTGAGCTCTCCTCTGATGACAAAGTCCTCGTGGGCGCGTCTCCATCCGCGGATTTGTCGGATGCAGCACTCAGTGGACTCCATGACGGGTCTGAGTGGAGAGCTGGGAACGCGAACCAGTAGTGGAACTTGTACCTTTTCAGGTCTGCATACGATAGAACGATAAAGGATGACAGGAGGGATGGACACGAGAAGATAGTGCCGTCGTTTATAGCATCCCAGATCTGATATGCATACGGTTATCACTCCGTCGCAAAGGGATAGAGAGCTGGACTGACTGTTTGACCGGCTTGTTGGAGCATATGAGTCTTGTCCATATTTCTGTACTCCTCAATCGTATTAACGTTCTTGATCATTCCTTCGGCTCGATAATACCCTGCGGGGACTCTACTGAAGGTAAACAAAATGTACCCGGTATCGCAAGGCTCCAGAACCTACTCATCGCTGGTCAAGGCGTTCCCATGTATCTGCATGCGGCATGAAGCGTTAGGAGGATCTGAAAGACGGATCTCATAGAGACCCAGTAATTTGCGCGCCGCATCGTCGAGTTTGTCATGGTTTATTTTCAGAGAGGCTAGAGCCGTGTAGAATGGCAACTCGATGTCGGAGGCAAACGGTGTGTACTGCATGGTTACTGTTCCTTGTCCTGAACGCGCCACTGTGGACAGATTGGGACCATGCTCTGGATGAGAAGACTTAAGGCGTGGATGTCTAGAAGTGAAGGATGGAGAATAGCGAGAAATGGGCGCGTCTACTACTATCAGAGATATGCGGTAATCGAGTCGCGGGGCGAAGTCACAAGCTCCGTCCAGCTGAGCATCATCTCCCGCTAAGGCCCCGGGAGGTACTTACAGGTACCTCAAGTACCATCTGTGTACTGTATATTACCTCGGCTGTTACCGTATTAATACATGTTGTTGAAGAATGATATCATTCTATTCTTTCTCAATGTTTACACCTACAAAAGGCTGTGCCTGATCAAGAGAGGCGTATGTTGTCTATAGGTTGCTTACTTCCCATGCCATAACTAACTGTATTCTTAGTCCAAGACGCAGACTCTCAATAATAGTTAGATACCAGGTACTTAGGCGGTACCTGTAGTGGTAGTATTGTTACTGCACATGTACGTACTGCTGTTTGGTTCCACGCAGAAAAAATCTCGCGTCTACGATCCTTAGGTACCTATCTATCTACAAATCCTTTCTGCTCTGAAAGCTCATACACCTAGTTCCAACTACCGAAACATCCGAACGATATTCTGTTCAGAAGACCGTTATCTCCCAGATCAGGAAAATGCTGATTGGATTGTGTGGAGGTTAGCAGAACATTGAGTTGATGAGTGCGACCCCTACATCTTGACATGTATTGACGGCCCCGAAAGGAATATGTGCTGGCAAGCATACCATTGCAGAATATCTTATTCAACATGAAGGATTCCAACTGCTTGAACTGAAAAACAAAACATCACCTCAGGTTGCTGACGGACCAGAGGATGATCTCCTCCTGCAGGCATCTGAATACCCACAGAGGGAAGGCCATCAGTCCCCGCAGTTATCGTTCGATAGCCCCGACGCGCTCCTAGACTTTGCCACGAAGCAATGGCAAGGGCTTTGGGTGACCACGGACATATGGGAGGGTGTCGATTTGGACCGCTTCCTCCAACGTCCTTTCTTTCTTCTGGTGAGCGTTGACGCGCCAGTCAGTCTACGATGGAAGCGGTTTGCGGAGAGGTGACGAGCCAAATGCACCTCTGTCTCAGGTCAGTTCTAACTCCGCGTTTAGATGTCGAAGGAGGCAGCTGGCGCCTCCTGATCTCGAGAAATTCGTTCTGTGGAATGATCGGAATCTGTACGCGAAGGACGTTGGACGTGCGTACCTCACGGATCGCGCACAGGTCCGACTGTTCAATTCTTCGTCATCTTTGGAAGAGCTTTACGCGTCTCTCAAGATGCTCCACCTGGCCGACGAACAACGGTTACGACCTAATTGGGATCAGTACTTCATGCAGCTTGCATCCCTTGCTGCCCTGAGAAGCAACTGCATGAAGCGACGAGTAGGTTGTGTGCTTGTTCGAGATCATCGCGTCATTAGTACTGGTTACAATGGCACACCGCGACACTTGAAGAACTGCAACGAAGGCGGATGTAAGAATTCATTCCCAAACGCTGTATGCTCTTGTTCTGTTAGTAAACTTACCATTCAACAGGTCCACGATGCAACCGCGGCGAAGGTGGTGGTGTTGGTCTGTCAACATGCCTCTGCCTTCACGCCGAGGAAAACGCCCTCCTAGAAGCTGGACGAGAGCGTATACGCGAAGGCGCTATCCTTTACTGTGACACGTAGGTCTTTGTCCTTGCTCACCTTCCCTTCAAATGCGTACAGGAACACATGCTGTCTATCCCAAGGCGCCTTTGGCTAACTTATAACAGCTGCCCTTGCTTGACATGTACCGTGAAAATTGCGCAGGTTGGAATCTCTGAAGTTGTGTATTCGCAAGGCTACAATATGGATCAAGATGTGCGCACTCTGCTCCCTCCATTTCCAACGGGACCGCTGACGAGATTTAAGAGCGCTGCGATTCTAGAGGCTGCAGGTATCCGTCTTCGACGCTTCTCTCCTGTAAGTAGTTTTTCAGATCAACGAACTTGCGGGGTGTTGCTAATCGTAACTCAGCCACGGAATGGACTCATATATCTTGAGGCATCAGAGTCTACAACGCTCAGCCAGTGAACATGTCTGCGAACAATCAGTCAGTTTAAAGATTAGACGCTTGTCCACAGGATCGGCAGGATATAAAGAGGACAGACTGAGATTTAGAGAGCAATATGAAATTCCTTTCTTGGATGTGATATCCAAGTGATGGTAATTTGGTACCATCGGTACCATCTGGTAAATTACTGATACGAACTGATACGGTCTGCACTGGCTCCGCTCTCGGACAGGCCGCCGCGGGGCGCGTTTGTCCATTCTCGTCCAGAATAGAAGGCGGTGTAACACCCCACTATGGTTTTATCGAAAAAAGTGGGCGATTGAAGGGAAGAGATGACTCAAAGGTAGACGGAGGATCGTTGACGCATGGTTATCTTCTATATAAGATATCCTTCCTCCAAATTTATATGAACACTGATACTTTCCACGAAACTTTGCGCAACTGAACGTGCCCTAACCCCCGACCTGTACCTCGCCGTCTTCGGGAGACCGAATCACCCTCGCCATGCCCACCGTCCACCTGCTCGATTATGTTGCTGGCAATGTCCGCTCCTTGGTGAATGCTATAAACAAAGTTGGCTACGATGTCGAATGGATCAAGTCTCCGGAGGATGTGAAAAATGCCGAGGTAAGGGAATCCTCTTTTTCTGAACACTGGTCAATCCCCCGGGCATGCGGAGATAACTGACGATGGAATTGCAGAAATTGATCCTGCCTGGCGTGGGCCACTTTGGCCATTGTATCTCACAACTATCGGAGGGTGGCTTTCTGGGGCCTATACGACAGCACATCGAATCCGGGAAACCGTTTATGGGCATTTGCGTCGGTCTCCAAGCGCTCTTCCAAGGATCTGCTGAAGACCCCGATGTGCCGGGACTGGGAGTGATTCCTATGCGCATGCAAAAATTCAACGATCTTACAAAGAGCGTGCCTCATATCGGGTGGAATTCTGCCATCAATACTGGCAATTCCTCACAACAAAGCTTCTACGGGTTGGACCCTAGCAGCAAGTATTATTATGTCCATTCCTATGCTGCACTCTACACACCCGGCGCTCTTGAGAAGGACGGCTGGTCTATTGCCACGGCCACTTACGGCGACGAGGAGTTCATTGGCGCCATCGCACGAGGCAACATCTTTGCAACTCAGTTCCATCCCGAGAAGAGCGGACAGGCTGGCTTGCGAACGATCCGTGCTTTCCTGGATGGTGACCAAATTCAGACGGTCCTTGAAGGAGCCTCTGGGAAGACAGCCACGGGACTGACTCGCAGAATCATCGCTTGCCTTGACGTCCGCGCAAACGATGCTGGAGATCTCGTTGTCACCAAGGGGGACCAGTATGATGTTCGCGAGAAAAGCGGCGTGGATGCTGGAGGCCAAGTCAGAAACCTGGGGAAGCCAGTCGATATGGCTAAGAAGTACTATGAGCAAGGAGCCGACGAGGTTACATTCTTGAACATTACGTCCTTCAGAAACTGCCCTGTTGCCGATACGCCCATGCTGGAGATCTTAAGGAGAACATCCGAGACAGTTTTTGTTCCCCTCACGATTGGCGGTGGAATCAAAGATACCGTGGATACCGACGGCACCGAAATCTCGGCTCTCGAAGTGGCAACGATGTATTTCAAGTCCGGTGCTGACAAAGTGAGTATCGGCTCGGATGCTGTCATTGCAGCGGAGGAATATTATGCGGCCGGCGAGAAACTGTCCGGGAAAACGGCCATTGAAACGATATCGAAAGCATACGGAAACCAGGCCGTGGTGGTGAGCGTTGATCCCAAGCGGGTGTACGTGCAAAGTCCCGAGGATACCAAGCATCACACCATCAAGACCCAGTTTCCAAATGAAGCGGGTCAGACTTATTGTTGGTATCAGTGTACCATCAAGGGTGGTCGCGAGACACGAGACATCGATGTTTGGCAATTAGCCAGAGCGGTTGAGGCGATGGGCGCTGGAGAGCTCCTCCTCAACTGTATCGACAAGGATGGAAGTAACAGTGGATTTGACCTGGAGTTGATCAACGACGTCAAGGCCGCCATCAAAATACCAGTCATTGCCTCCAGTGGAGCGGGCAACCCGGAACACTTCGCGGAAGTCTTCAACAAGACCACCACCGATGCGGCATTAGGTGCCGGCATGGTAAGCACTCGAATCTCATATTTCTTGTTGCAAAAACGCTAACGTAGGACTAGTTCCACCGCGGTGAATACACAGTGAGCCAAGTAAAGGATTACCTGGGCGAGAAAGGATTCTTGGTTCGCAGATTCGAGGCAGGTGCTTAGTAGACAGATAGACTAGAAATCATGCATATAATTTTGTTTCTCTTTTTAAATTTGGGTGATTGAACCAAATGTGTTGGTTATGAGATTGCCTGGTGGGATGTACATACGGAGTATACTTGTAGTTACTAGACAGGGGAATCGTACTGACTAAGGTACCTACTCTCTCCGGTTCCGGAAGGAGGCACCGAGCACGTGACCACAGTCAGAGGTTGCCACCGTGACTTTCATCTTCCGCCCACACGAATTCCTATCCCATTCCGCAACTTGCTCACCCACGACATTGCGTCGAATTGACCCCGACGCCCGATTCCCTCGCATCGTTGCATCTCGCGCCTCCTACTAACACGGATCCGACTTTCGCTCCTTCAAATTTGCATTCGTTCACGACTCATAGGCACCCGCTCATCTCAGGTCCCTCAGCCGGCCCATCAGGATAACAGAACTTGTTTGGCTGTCTGCTGGGAGAAACAACACCTATATCCTACAGTAGGGTATAGAGTCCTGGATCTAGTTTTTTGCCATTCACTAGTTCCGTCTTTCTCTTCTCTTACCTCTCTTCCTGCGCCGTCTGCTGGCCCGGTGTGCAGCAAACCCAAGCAGGTCGACTTCCGGCGCCTTTGATTAACAGCAGGTTGGCCAGATTCAAGAACGCACTTTCACACCCTCTCGTCACTGGACCATAACTTGACTCTGTTTGTATTCACCAGGCTTGATCGTGTTTGTATGCAGTGATTTGATTGCTTTCTCGTCTGGCACTCCAACAAGAGTCTCTAGCTTATGAGTTCGATCAATATCACCAACAGATATTCGACTTCTGTTTTCAAGATTCTATGAAAAGGAAGATCTTCGAATCCTGAATCCTGTGTGGGCGGTTTTGCTGCCGTTTTCAGTATTGCCTTGCTTTCTCGTTCTCTCTCTCTCTCTCTCTTTGTCCTTTTCTGTCACTTGTATCCTTCCTTGCGAAGGCGATACCCCTTAATCTTGGTTTAATAACATTCACGAACACTTTCATTGGACGTGCAACTGAATACAATGTCATCCTCTGTTCACTTCAAGTTCAAGTCTCAAAAAGAGCCCTCACGGGTGACTTTTGATGGCACCGGTATCTCTGTCTTTGAATTGAAGCGAGAAATTATCACTCAGAGTAGACTCGGTGATGGGACTGATTTTGAACTTTCAATCTATAATGAAGATACCGGAGAAGGTACGTGCCTGGACTACTGGAACTGCATCCCTGACCCTTTCACCACCTCTCACATATTTCCCGATGATTCTACCGCTATAGAAGCTAACTAGGACATATAGAATATGACGATGACACGACCATCATACCTCGCTCGACATCAGTTGTTGCTCGACGATTACCCGCAGCGCGACCTGGAAAGGGTGGTGCTGCGCGCTACGTATCTGGCAAAATGCCGGTCAATGCGCGCAATGCCTCTCGAAGCGAACCAGCTTTCTCAGGTCGACCAACTCCGAACGCCAGCAGTTCCGTTAGCAATGGTGTTTTGGAATTGAACAATGCCCAGACCGAAGAGGAGAAAATCAATGCCCTTTTCAATTTGCAGGCAAACCAATGGAAGGAACAACAGCAAGAAATGGCAAAGTAAGTTACTCCATCATTGCTTTATAGACCTTGTTTTGACAATGATCTGTAGTGCGATGCCTGTCCCGTTTGGCCGGGGAAGAGGCAAACCGATCAACGTTCCAGATCACCCACCGCCTCCTGGGTACCTGTGTTACCGCTGCCGTGAGAAAGGTACGTCGTGATAATCCTCCATTTCAGTCGTGTGAAGATATTAACCGGTCATAGGTCATTGGATCCAAGCGTGTCCAACAAACAACGATCCAAAGTTTGACGGCAAGTACCGCGTCAAAAGATCCACTGGTATCCCCCGCTCGCTCCAAACGAAGGTCGAGAAACCAGAGTCCCTTGTGCTGGACGGCTCTACTGAAGACTTGCGGAACACTGGGGTGATGGTCAATGCGGATGGGGACTTCGTCATTGCCAAGCCCGACAAAGCAGCTTGGGAACTGTACCAAGAAAAAGCCAAAGCTTCGGCGGCGGCGGCAGCTGAAGCGGCGGCAGCAGAGACCAGCAAAGAATTGCAAGCTCGTGGTTTGGAATGCCCCATTGATAAGCGCATGTTCCTAGAACCCACCAAAACACCTTGCTGCCAGCGAACCTACTGCAATGATTGTATCACGAACGCGTTGATCGAAAGTGACTTTGTCTGTCCTGGTTGTGGAACGGAAGGTGTTCTGCTTGACAATCTTGCTGTCGATGAAGACGCCATTGCCAAGATCAAATCCTACGAAGCAGAGAAGGCAGACCAGAAGAGGGAAAAGGAAAAGCAGTCGACAGCCCCGGAGGATCAGACCGACAGCAAACAACCAGTGTCGACTGCCGAGTCCAACGTACAATCACCGCCGGTACCATCGGATGATGGCAAGGGCGACGACGACCATCAGTCGAAGAAAAGACCTGCTGAAGATGAAAGTAACGATGAACCTTCAGAAGCGTCAACCCAAGGTGCTCCAAAGAAGCAAAAACCGGACGATCAACCGTCGGAGACGAATACATCAACCCCACCGGCTGGCGAGTCTTCCGCCAACCCTCAATCCGCGCCATTTCCACAACAAATGCCCTTTGGCGGCATGAATTTCATGCCTACGCAAGGAATGCCGCCTATGCCATTCTCAGGACCAAATTTCATGGGCGATGGAATGGGGTTCATGAACCCCATGGGCTTCCCCAATGGCATGGACCCCACGTGGTCCCAGATGAATCCCATGAATTTCAATCCGCTTCAAAACGGGATGTACAATAATGGATACGGCTCACAGAACATGTTCTCTGGAGATCCGTCAATGAACATGTTTCCTATGGGACAGATGGCAGGTCAAATGCAAAACCCTGCATTTCCTCAAGGACCAGGGATGGGAAACTTTTCCAATCAACAACGGACGACCTTCAGCACGCCATTTGCGAGGGAGGAAGACACTGCTTACTTTCGGCAGCCCGTCAACCCGCAGCGTCATCAGGCGAGACACCGGAGGATAAGACCGAGTGATTATCGCGAACTTTGACGCGTGGACGATCGAAGTGCTTCATTATTGTCGTGGAAACCACCCCCAATGACATGTGCGGGACGGTCTTGAACATATTTGATATTCATGAGTGGCCTTTGGCGTCTATTGAAAGATATGTGACGCACCTGTCGCGACCCGCACGAGCTGCATTCAGTGGGATTGTCTTCCCAATTGAAAGTGCAGGCATGGAACGGAATGTGCCAGGCTATCTGGAGGATACTATCATTCTGTGTTTTCATAGATGCTGTACTGAAGTGTATAATTAAGCATATTTTATATCTCATTGTTCTCTTATCATTTCCACTCTGTAGAAGTATACTTCCTTTTCAAAGGCCAGTAGAGGACGACTATCTGTTGCAGTCGGCGCGTGCGTCAGCAGCCCAGATAATGTAGTTATAGAAAGCGATAGGCTGTGTTTCTTTCAAGATACTTAACTCATCAGGAAGCAGAAGCCATGGAATGTGCTCGAATATGTAGATGCAGTCATTATCCAATCGCCTATGCAGAAAACCTCATGTGATATTTTATGCCTGAGGCAGCAAAAGCGCAGGTCATATGACACCCTGACTAACGCCCCCCTACCAACCCAGTCTTAAACCACGACGTCTCCTTTTGATCCGAGATCATCGTTGTATCATCATACCACATCACTAAATCAATCATAACCATTCAACTGCCAGTGGAATACACCTGGACCTGCAATCTGACCCCGCGACGGCCCATACTGCGTACACAAAATCAAACCCATCTCTTACCGAAGACGACTCGCCGTTCTGGACATTGAATAAATATGGCTAGGTTTATGAGTAACAACAGTACCACAAGCAATCATCTACACGAGATTGCCGATCCGTCTTCTCAGATCACTGTCCTCGCGAGCTGCTACAGTGTTAATGCGTCCACTTCGGCCGTCACTGGATTCCATTACTGTACTACGACGGGGGCCGGTAAGATCTCGCCTCCCTAGCCAATTTAAAGCCCTTCAAAGGCCTTTTTTGCTGCTTCCATATCAATCAGGCGACCTGATACTGACGTGATCATCTTTTTCATTGTAGGGGCACAGTGGTATCCCTGAGGTCCCCTCAGGGTCTAAATACGAACACATAAGTCCTCCCCGTGGTCTCTCTATCAGTTCCGAGATGGAGAGCATTGTTCTGGGCCCTACGTTTCCAGAACAGAAAGGGGAGGCAACGTATACTATCCCGGAAGAGTGTGAGAGGCTCTTCTGTGACAGCTTGTCAGCGATCTTCCTTGGTGAGAGGAGCGACGCTGGACGAGAGTCGCTTGGGATAGATGCGGGTCAAATTGCACGGAATTGCGTACCGCATGGGCGTGCTCGGGTTGAAAAATGGTTTGAGGTGTTGGATTACACGAGTGATTCCATATACCGAGGATTTGTGACCGACATAAGTGGCGATCGAACGTTATTTGTGTTCTTCGGCGACGATACACTTGGGCATGGCCTCAAAACCGGGTATGAGTGCACCCTCTCCCTTTGTCGTCTAAACAGTAATCACAGCTTACAGTTGACCGATATGCTAACTATCCGTCGTCCAGGCTGATCGCCCTCTTCGAGCTAGCAGCCATTCCTAATTTCGATTGCGCCCGGATCGTGGCCTGCGTTCCACGCTTCCAGGACGCTTCGGAGACTGAGATTGTCAGGAATCTGGGCTGGTGCGGCTTTAATCTGACAACCTTACAGCCATGGAGTACGAGGGCGTCTCCTCTTAGTACCAAGTGGCTGTTCTTGGACGCCGAAGTTTAGCTTCGGGTTCGTATTGAGGTAATCCCTCTTCTTGGCATACGACAGAACTATGTTTCGTTTGTGCCTTTATTTTGTCAAGATTCCCTGTGCCTTGTGATGTATCGGCGATTGTTGTTACTGGGCGTCTTCGAAGTTAGCTTTCTTCATTATTTTCGCATAGCTGTGACAGCTCTGGCTTTCTTATGGGCGTTCAAAATTCGATTATTCGAACAATACCAGTGACTTGATCATACTACAATTTGATATTTATGTAGTACAGTATAATATGCATTATGTATATCCATGACGATTGGAACGAGCGGGGGTGACCTCACCATGACATGGGTCCGTAGGTTCCGAACGTCCCTTCCTATCTTATCTCCGTGCAGCTCTGCAGTGCATGTCGACATCGTCACACCTCCTTCTTGCTTCACAGCATCCACGCATACGCCTCTTACCTCTCTTAATGTACCTAGGTCACGGTTTCCTCTCTAGCGCCCTCTAACAGAACACATGTTTCCCAAATTCCTCCTCCCATCGACCGTGTTTCGCTCTCGGAGCAGAAATGCGGGGTGGTCTCCGCCGTTGAAGCCAACAACCGCGGACAAACATGACGAGAATATCCACGATGAGGGCCACCTAAACGGCCATGTATCTTACATCCAATGCTCGCATTGCGCCACCGACATTTGCTTGACGTCCCAGATCATCAGTAAGGGCTTCACAGGTCGACACGGTCGCGCGTATCTCGTTTCCGCCGAGCCCATCGCGCGGGCCGTGTCAGTCAACGCGACATCGTCGCCAACAGAGTCGCTGCCAAACACGATAATCCAGAAGCCCGTGGCGCGGCACCTGGTGACGGGGGCGCACACCGTCAGCGATATCAACTGCGCGATCTGCGGGAACGTGCTCGGCTGGAAATACGTCGCGGCCGAGGAGGAGTCCCAGCGGTACAAGGTTGGCAAGTTTATTCTCGAAACGAGACGGACCATGACGTCGGCGAATTGGGAATCGGGGGCGTACATCGATTCGACGTCGCTGTTCTTCCCGCGCGATCGTGACGAGCAGAACCTAGCGGATTTGAACGACTCCGTCGAGTTTGACAGTCAGGATGAGGAAGAATGTGAAGATCTGTTTGCGGGCATCTGGAGCCCTGGACTGGCTCTGCGTCGGAGAAGCCGTAAGATTGATCGGCGCCCGTCGATGTTTGGCTTAACGGCCTGACGAGTGGTGGTTTTATGGATGGAGAGTAAATTACGTGCGCCATGAATAGCTGTTGCTCTTAACATACCTTAACATACCCATCTTACTTACGATATCAATAATACTAATGATTTACGTTGCCATGTTGAGCCCACTGATAATGAATAGACGAAGCTATCTGTAAAGCCTGGATTCTTGAATATGGGTATCGATTCTGTCTATGGTCTTCCTGGATAGGTAAAGGAAAGATGACCAGTAGAAATGGAGTTTTTCTTTCGCCTTAAAGTACCAGCAGCACTGATGCACACGGCGAACGGGGGAACAGGTAAACATGCAATGAACTGGTTATTATACACTGACAAGCAAAAAAAAAAAAAAAAGGTATCATGCGGAGTCATCTGTACGCGCTCGCTTTGTCGCATCTTCACCATTTTCGGCAGCTGAACGCTTCTGTCCAGAGCTAGCTCCTTCCGATGGCTGGGAACTCGGCTGCTTGCGCTTCTTCACAAGTCCAGAGAGATCATTTGCGTTCTTCGTGGCAGCATCCAGTCGAGCTGCTTGTTGCGCGGGCGTTTCTCCCATCATCTGGCCGAGTATGCCCTTCAGGAAGGCTTCGTTCTTGTCATTGGACTCCTCAATTGATACCGGTGGGCGACGAAGATCGATGAGCTGCAAAATAGTTAGATAAGCTGACACTCTAACATGGTTACGAGTAGAGATAGCAATTACCCTTTGCTCCATGTCCGCCACGATCTCTTTCACATTTGCGATCTTCCTCTTGATAGCCGTGGCCTTGTCTTCATCCAGCGACTCATCTGCCAGTTGTTTCTCCTCCTGGGCCATCCGAGCCCGGCAGCTTTCGATGGCCTTCTCCATCTGGACTGCAGCCTCGGCGCGCATCTCCTCATTGAACTTCTCTTGTCCACCAGTTTTACCCGTGTCGGCGTCTTCCTTATGAGCCGAGTCAAACTCCAGCGCAAGAGAGAGCTTGTAGTGACATTCGGCGACGGACGGATCCTCCATTGGGAATAGAGATTGTCTCAACTCGAGGGTGGTCCGAAGGTCAGACACGGCATCCGAGAACCTCTCTGCCTCCAGTGATATTTCCGCCTGCAAATCATAGGTATCCGCAAGGCGCTCCTTGATGTGCTTGACGTTTGGCGGCAGCTCTGTAGACTTCCCTTTGCCACTTTCCTCCTCCGCCATGGTAAGCTGCTTGTGATAGAGGATTCGAGCGAGATCGAGGACTTCGAAAGCGTTCGCAAAGTCATCGTCATCGTCGTCCTCGGCACCACCATCCTTTTCACCTTCCTCCTCAGAGTCCGAATCGTCGTAGTTCTCGTCGCCAGTGAATTGAAAGAATGCGGTGTTCTCCGCCTTTTTCGCCGTCGTGGCTTCACCCAAGGACGCGTTCTTGGCAGCTCCGGAGGCGATGGCATTTTGGACCAGGTTCGGCGATGACGCTGATTTCGACGAAGTAGTGTTCTCTTCCGATTTACTGCCCGGTTGCGCCGGAGTTTCTCCAGCGACCCTGGAGCCGAGGACATCACTTTTGCTCACTGCGACGTTGTAGAGGGCTTTCCCGTAGGAGTAGAGTAGGTCGGCATTGCCAGGCGACATTTCTCCCTTCAGGTTAGCTTGAAGCTCGGTGGCCTCAGAATACAGCTCTGCAGCGGCGTTGAAATCTTTGACGGCATCCTTCGCGGCGGCTCGTGCGATAAGATCGTCGAGGCGTTCTTGGGTGTCCTCCGCCGTCTTTTCCACCGGAGGTTGTTCCGATTCGGGTTTATCTGAGGTCGACATGATCGCGGTTTCTTCGAATGCGGTTCAAATAGGAGGAGGTACGTGTGAGTCGCCGGCTTTGTTATAGTTAGAAACGAATATGATATATGCGCAATGAAAAGTGGTGGAGGTCGGTAGGTAGTAGGTAGTAGGTAAGTAACGAGTGCAAGGTATGGGACTGATTAAAATCACGGGAGGGTCTGGAACCACCCGCGGTCGCGTCGCGCTTGGACGCGTTTACTTCCTTTATCGTCAACTCTTATCCTCAGCTTCACTTTTCTCATCCCCGCACTATTATCTTTCTGCTTCTTGATTGTTTCATAAGAAAGCTGAACCAGTTAATGCAAGAGTCAGAATTACGTTATATCATAATTCCTCCTCTCGCCTCCATTGCACTCGCGATTCTCGGAATTGCGGACTGAAGCGTTTGACACGGATATTGCAGAAGCAGCTTCAAATTGCTATACATCCATGAGAATGGACTCAGACCCCGTACCTTCATCATCGCCCGCGTTTGGGACACCGGCGCACCCGTTCCGAAAGAGCAAACCTACTGCAGTCCCAGCAAGAACGTCTATTCTGCCGATATTACTCCCCCCAACCACCCTTCGACCGGTGGCATTCCGCACAATTACCCGAAAGCACAACTTGACAATCTCTTCATCCGCTCTTCAAGCGCTAGCCGCGTTTGTGGGTAAGAACTGTGGCTCAGGATGGCGCGAAGAAGGTCTCGCAGAGCGCGTGCTGGACGAGGTAGCTAAGAGTTGGCGAAAAGCTGGCGGAGGGGTCATCATGGAAGAAGGGAAAGGCGCATCCCTAAAGGCGATTTTACAGACCATTGAAGGGAACATGAGCGGTGGGCGGATAGCCACGAGCAAGGGAACGAGCGCAGAACAGGTGCCTATGGCTGGGAATCAGACTTGGGATGTCTTGGCCTCTGAATCCCAACAGGCCCCGACTACAATATCATCCGACAACATGGACCAGGGAGAATCTGATACGCCGACACATCCCAGACACTGGATCAAGGTCGTCGAGGCGTTTGATATTCCGCGCCTGACCTACAATGCCGACAAGAAGTATTTCGAAATCACCAAGTCGAAGCCTACCTTGTTCCCTCCGCCTTCACGCAAGACTACTCTGTTCCGGGACCGCTACAACACGGTTTATCAACGCTTATTAAGAAATGAGTCATTTCAAACGTCTTCCAGCGGACGTTCATTAAAGCGGACATCCTCTTTTGCGTCGAATCAATGCTACAAACTCACACCCATTGCGAACTTGCTCGGCAGAAGTGGCACATCCCATTTGCTGCTTGGTCTACTATCTACTTCTCCTACCGGCGAACTTTCTCTCACTGATCTCACAGGAAGCATCGCATTGGATCTGAGCCATGCACGCATGATCCCAGAGGATGGCGCTTGGTTTGCGCCTGGTATGATCGTACTTGTGGACGGTATCTACGAAGAAGAAGAAACCGTTAGGGGGTCGACTTTAGGCGGAAACAGTGGTGTTGGCGGCGCGATTGGCGGGCGATTTGTCGGAGTCTCGATATGCGGGCCGCCATGTGAACGGCGAGATGTCTCCCTCGGGACAAACAATCGCAACAGCGCGGGAGAGATTAGTTCCAGTGGAGGATTTGGATGGATCGATTTCTTGGGAGTTGGCAGTGAGCGCGCCAGAGGCCCACGTATGAGGCAGATACAAGCCAAGTGGCTACGGGACAGCAACCAGGGCGTTGAGGGCCATGCCAGGCTGAAAGTAGCCATTATGAGCGAGGTCAACCTTGACAACATGAGAACACTCGATGGCCTCCGACGGCTATTCAATTCATACAACCACCTCCCTTTGGAAGATCGACCAAGTGTCTTCATTCTCATCGGCAACTTCGTTCAAAAGGCAGTCATCAACGGCGGTACTCAGGCGGGCAGCATTGAGTATAAGGAGTACTTTGATGCGCTGGCCACAGTACTCTCGGAATTCTCAGCTTTGCTGCAGCGCTCCACTTTCGTTTTTGTTCCAGGTGACAACGACCCGTGGGCCTCGGCCTTTTCAGCTGGAGCTGCTTGTACTATACCTCGCCAGGGCGTTCCTGAATTGTTCACCTCGAGGGTGAAACGCGCGTTCACGTCCGCCAACGCCGAGATCAATCGGTCTCAGACCTCGGAGCCCCCTGGCGAGGCTATATGGACATCCAATCCATCCCGTCTTACATTCTTCGGGCCCGTCCACGACATTGCCATTCTCCGGGACGACATTTCAGGGAGATTGAGACGCAGTGCAGTGACCACCGGCCAGGAGAACAACAACTCTGATACAACCATGAATGGCCACTCTGATAACGCTTCTATGGAGATGGGCTCTACTGCTCCGGAAGACCAAACCGAGGATCAGACAGAGCAACCTGACGTGAGGAACAAATCGACACCACCGGCAGTCCTCATGGCTCGGAAACTCGTCAAAACCATCCTTGACCAAGGAACGATGTCTCCCTTCCCTCTCTCCACGCGGCCCGTCCTTTGGGACTACGCAGCTTCACTACAGCTTTACCCTCTGCCCACGAGTTTCATCCTAGCGGATGCTGAGGCGGTGCCGTTTTGTATGACGTACGAGGGATGCCATGTGATGAACCCGGGGCGACTTATTCCTGAGGGAGGGTCGTCTGTGAAATGGATAGAATACGACGTTGTGAAGAATCGTGGGAAGGTGAAGGAAGAGCGTCTTTGAGGTACTTTCCGCGGGCTTTTAGGATAGGTTTAACGATTAATGACGTGAAAATAGAGCATTATTGTAATATAGACATGGAGACGAAATCTTGCAACATGGTCCATTCCAAAGCTCGCAGCTGCTTCGTACAATGCTAGGACTACCTACACAGAAGGCAATTACCAATTCATCATTTCACCACTTAGAATATGCATACAAAGAGGTCACCAGCCTTCACAACATTTCATATAGCCTATATATATCGGCACACAGTGGATCATGAAATAGATGCTTGGTCGAGATGGGACCCAAGCTTTCAAGCAAGTTACACGAAGGTTGGTGAATCAATCAAAGCAAAGGTCATTGTACATATAGATACAAATAGAAAAGCCGCCATGCCGAGGCGCTGGCATATGCAAAGTCCGTGATGCCCAACGCCGTTTAAAAAGAAAAAGAACGGAAGAATACCCACAAACATACCACAGTATCAAGTCGTGTTTCAATGAATCGGGCCAGATGAAACTGCACGCCGTCAATCGATCGTGATTACATCCGCATTGCTGTGTGTGGCAGCAGCCTTCTGAGGGCTCTTATTTTCCAAGCGTGCGTTCTGAACAGTGTTTCCACTAGCCGCGGGTTCTGTGTTCCCCATTGTTGGCTTCGACGGTATTGGCTTTGTCTCGAGAGGTGACTGGTTCAGGATGGGTATGTCGTCGAGTCCAGAGAAACATTTGTCGAGCTCTGTTAAGAGATTTCCGACCTTGTCAATGGTAGCAACAACGCCGTTTTCGAGGCCCTGCCAGCCATCGCCCTTCGAATGATACAGTCTTTCCTTCAGCCTTGATTTCAGCTGGTCTTCGCTGGATCTACCCTGGAGACCACCTGCTTCCCTCAGAACCCAAACCAGGCTGTTTGGACGTTGAGTGATAAGCAGTTGGAAGCGCACTTTTTGCATAGGATAGTGAATCTGGAAGGTTTTCGCGTTGCGCGCTATCACTTGGACCCTCAAAGGGTCTTTGTGTGATGGATTCGCCATTAATCCATCCAGGGCCTGCATTAACGGCAGCGTGACTGACAGAAGTCCTGTGACAGTACCCAAGCTGGATGTAGCGCCGGCGTTGTTAAGTAGGGAAGTAAACGACCCCTGCATACGACGGTGAGGGTTCGGGTAATCGAAGGCGATGCCCAAACGGAGCTGGAAGAGAGGCTTCTCCTGAGTTACAAGATGCAGGGGATCGATGATTGTGTGCGTTGAAGAGGTAGTCAAGTTGATGTCAATATTCGCAGAGAGTTCCGCGCGGGGTCCGTAAAGGAAGCCGACGCGGGACAACGATAAGGACTGGGGTTGCATCTTCTTTCGCCGAAGAGTCTCCAGGATCGACAAGGCGCACTCCAATCGTTGCAAACTTTCCAGAAGTTCGCACATCGCAGACCGACCAGCCGCTGTAAGCAGACGGATCGCAAACTTGTTTCCGCCATGGTGTAACACCAACGAGCGGTCCTGTTTGGAGACTAAGGCGCCAACATCGTTAGGTGGAGATAGCAATTCACCATAAGCCACCAAGACAGCGGCCTTTTCGTGTGGGTCAACACCACTGAACGCAAGCCGGATGGTGTCCTTGATGAATGACCTTCTAGCCAGTTCGGCCGGCATGGCCACTTGGAACGCCCGCGGGAGTTTCAATGCCTGATAATGGATGAGGATATCGGGGACCTGAAGACTTGCTTCAATCACAAGTTGTGGCAGAGGCGGGTGGAAGCTGATCGACTGTAAGTCCGCTAAGTAACGGGCGTTTGCTTGCATTGTCAAAATGCCGTAGAGAGAATGGCCCATATCTGCAAAAGGAGACTTCATATTATGCTGAGGGGCGGGGAAAAAGGTATTGCAGACGATTTGAGCGGATCGTGGAGCAGAAATGCCGCTATTGGCATCGAACGGTAGGGCACTTTCGGACGGCACTGCTGGTTGGAGTTGGACAACCCACCAACTGTCTCCGTCCATGCTACTCGTCGCTGCCAGAACCCAGTTCCGCTCCCAGCTCCTGTGCCAGAAGAAAGAAAACCGGAGGATGTTGGCTGGAAAGTGTCTTCTGAAGTCAAGCTTCAAGCTCCTGGGATTCACCACCTGGAAGCCCAGTAACTTAGCATTGGATTCGACCTCTTCTATCGCAGAAATGCAGCGAAGACGGGCCACCCGAGACACAATTTCATCCGCAAATGGCTTGTCCGTATTGCGATCGACATCGGATCGTTCCAGTGTACTGGGGGTAGTGGACAAGATACTTGTTCCCGACATGGGCTCAACCGAGACGCGGAGATGTCGTGACCTTGTGAGCTGAACGTCAAGTTGACAAGCTCCTGGTTCAGTTCGACTAAGTCGGCCACGTAAAGACAGAGCGCCTGTCGAGAACAGCGAATGCTTGCTTAATTTCTCAAATGCCGAAGAAAGGATATGCGACGTATGCAACGCAATGACACTCCGCAGAATGCATTCCATGGAAAGGTTTTTGCTGTCAAATTCAATGTCTCGGCTGTCGACTTCCTGTCCATCTCTGATCCAACGGAGGCCTATACTTGGCAATCCGTTGATACTGTTTTCGGAGCTTCGACGGCCACTCTTGATGCCGATCTCAAGCCAGCTTTTGGGACCGGGCCTTAGCGTCCAGTACTGCAGCACCAGAGTGCGGTGCAACAATTCAACACGCAGAGTGTCAGACCACAGGCCTCTTGCTAACTCAGCAGCCTGTTTGAATAGCGCATTGATCTTGGTAGTAAGGACTAAACCATGCAACAAATCAAAACAGCCCGCCAGGCCCTTGGTCCGAAGCGTATCGTTTATTCGCATGTCGAGTTCGTTGAAAATACGGCCCTTCGGAATCGGTGATGACGGTGTGAAAAGAAATCGAATATCCACGAAGTAGAATTGCGAGGTTTCATCCTCTGCACCAATCGACAGATCAAGCTCAAACTCGTCAGGTACGATAAATGTAACCCGGCCATCGTGCACGCGATAGGTTTGAAATGGCGTCGGCACGGAATCACTTAACACGAGCCGCGCGCTGATGAGTCTGTTGATTTTCTGCAACCGTTTGAGTGCGCCCTTTGCTGTTAAAGGTCGCGGTGGCTTGTATCCCAGCTGAATAGCGACCTGTCAGTTTGGATATAACGTAGGTAATCAACTAAGAGAGCTTACCGTGGGCATCGAGACCACTTTCCCCTTAGCCAGTACCTCGAGAGCGGTCTTTAGATCAGGATTCCCGACCTGAGCTTGGACCAGATCTCTCTTCATATCCCCAATACATTGTAAGGCCCCCGCATAGGCTTGGTGGCGAATGCGAATAAAATTCTGGATATCAATCAGCCGACTAACATCAGCTGCTTGGCGACTCCATTGCGAAAGGACGAGGAGTTTGATAAATTCTGCTCGCTTGGAATGAGCAAAGTCCAAGAGTCGAAGTTTCTTCTGCAGATTTTGCTCTGATTGATTCCCCAACGGCTTTCCATTGGGAGCGCCAGGCAAGGGTCCTGAATCCTGAGGTGGTACTTGGACCTCCGCCAACTCTGTGATCAATTCCGATAGTTCATTCCAGCACTGCTGAACGGACCGGTTGACCAGTTTTGAGAAGGGAAAGAACCCCTGTGTGATGTGAGGTAATTCCGGGGGTTGTCGAAGTCCAACAAAGTCAATTTTGGTCGTGGAGGAGTCCACATTTTGTTTGTAGCCATCTATGCCTTTCGCCGAACCGTTGAGGCGGTTTGCTCCATCATTATGCGCAGAAGAAACACCGTGGGCACCGTCGCTGCCACTCAGGGGAGGGATTCCATTTCGCGAAGAATCAGGGACGCTCGGTCCTTTGGGATGTCCACCGACATTCGGTTCGTCCATGATTACACCCGGCATGTCTGGACTCAAGTCGCTTTCAACCGCAAGAGCCCTCCCCTCCTTCACCCCTGCACGGCGCAAGGAAAGCAGCCCGGTAGCGGGACTGTGTCAAATGCAAAGGAGCCGGCGCCGGGGTAGGAAGGGAAGCTGGTGGGAGGCTCTCCGTGATCGATCGGAAAACTTTAGCGCAATGCCATGTGTATCGCGAGGCAGCGTGTGAGCGTTGGTGTTGGAGAATCCGACCGTCACAAATATCCAAACGAGGTCTATACGCTGTAGTAGGTCGGTTTGCCGAAGGGGAGAGCTGGAAACGATGGACGCGGTGGTCGCAAGAAGACCGCGAAAGGGTGTGAGATAACTGATTCCAGCCAGCGTTTTCAGCGGACCATGTCGCGGAAAGTTGACTGGTATACATACGGTGACCAAAAGAAAGGTAAAAGAGACTAGTTGCGGAGACTAGAAGAAGCACTGCAGAAGGCGCACAAGGGATCGTTCAGGAATCGAGGGCGATTTGAGCGGGGAGGTTCAAAAAGTCAAGCCAGGACAATGGGCGGGCAAAACAGGGAAGAGAAAGAGACAGAATCCGATATAGAGCGAATAAGGAAGTGATAAGAGGGAAGTGTGGATTACAGAGAGAATTAGGTATTATCAGCTAGTACAAAGCACAGAGGCTTAAGGAACGGCGAATGCTGAAACAGAATGAATGATGAGGCCCGCGCGATGCGATGTAAATGCACGAGCAGCCGCAGTGGCTGGTGGGTGGTGGCCGGAGCGCCTTAGCCACTGGTATCAGTACTGTATTATACCAATGACGTACTGGCCCAACCGCGGTTGACTGTGATAAGACGGTAATACACTGACCGTAATTCTCCGGATCCAGGTACTTGTGTTACTATGACATTCTCAAGGGAGCTGAGGTACCTCCCTCCTGATGACCGCGGAGGGTTGCCGTCGGCTTTCCCACTCCCGACATCCTCACCATCTGGCTCATCATAGCATTACTTGATCCCATCTAGCTCTACTTCATCATAGTCTCAAGGAATTTCCATTCTATTCTCACCATTGTCCAAGCTCATCCTCGATCTTACTAGAGATAACTATCTCCGAACCCACTAGCCACCGTGCGACCAAGATGAACAGGTCGTCCACATGACAGCTGCATGCCAGAGTGACCTCTTCTTTCCGCGAAGAATAGATCCCAGATAGTGTTCTCTTTCCAGTTTACAGGCGTTGAACGCTTCTTGAGGTATGTAGATGCCTGCTACTCATACCATTATTACTCCAAGAACTGGCTGACAAAACAGTTACAGTCCCGTGGATTCTAGATCTATATTCCCTTGGATATGAGATAGACGGCCTCTCCGCGAGCCTCCCATCATGCAGGACGATGAAATTACAGAGAACATACAACCGCCTCCGCAATACCCTGGCGATGACACACGCCCGACAAGCAAAAAGGAACTTGTTGGATGGTATAGCTATGGCTGGGCCGCTGAGGTGTTCACCGTATGTGCTATGGGTATGAGTCTCCGGTCGAGTGATGTCTTTTGCCGTGCCTGACTTCTGTTCTAGGATCCTTTCTTCCCATCACATTAGAGCAAATGGCGCGAGACAGCGGAGTCCTCCTGGCCGACAAAACGACCCCGTGCAGCGCAACATGGAAGACCCCACAGGGGACCTCCCCAACTTTATCTGCAGACACAACAGGTCTTTGGAGTAGCCAGGCCCCACGAACAAGTCAATGTATTGTTCACATACTGGGCGCAGAAATCAACACGGCGAGCTTTGCCATGTACACCTTCTCCGTGAGCGTGTTTGTTCAAGCCATCCTGATCATATCCATGTCGGGCGCTGCAGACCACGGGAGTTATCGGAAGATACTCCTGGTCGCATGTGCCCTGATTGGCTCGATATCGACCATGATGTTTATTGCGGTTAAGCCCAATCTCTACATACTTGGGGGATTGTTTGCGGTGGTGGCAAACACATGTTTTGGGGCGTCGTTCGTGTTGTTGAATTCGTTCTTGCCTCTACTAGTTCGTCACCACCCTTCTCTTCTTGCCAAACATCGCCAAGCCGGGGCTTCGCCCAACGGTGATCGGCCACCTGCTACGCATAGAGCTCATCGGACTGAAGACGAGGTCAATGTTACAACACCGCTCCTTCCGTCTGGGAGCACAAATACGGATGGTGCGACCCAGGAATCTGTGTCGGACACCTCGTTGGAGTTGAAGCTTTCTACGAAAATATCTTCCAACGGAATCGGCATTGGCTATATTGCTGCGGTGATTCTGCAAATTATATGCATTGTGGTTGTAGTCAACACCAACCAGACCACCTTTTCGCTGCGACTCGTCCTTTTCTTGATTGGGCTTTGGTGGTTTATCTTCACTTTTCCCGCGGCGCTGTGGTTACGGCCGCGACCTGGCCCACCCTTGCGATATGCAGACGGCGGGAAAGAGCGCAGATCGTGGCTTGGGTATATCGCATATGCTTGGAAGTCATTGGGCCGGACTGCCATGCGGACTCGGCACCTGAAAGATATCTTGTTGTTCCTGGCATCTTGGTTCTTGCTTAGCGACGGGATCGCCACGGTCAGTGGGACTGCCGTACTGTTTGCAAAAACTCAGCTCGACATGGAGCCGGCCGCTCTGGGGATGATCAATGTGATTGCCATGATGGCCGGGGTGTTTGGGGCGTTTTCCTGGAGCTACGTCTCACGCGTCCTGAATCTCCGCGCATCGCAGACGATCATCGCTTGTATCATTCTGTTCGAACTTGTACCGATTTATGGGCTGTTGGGTTTCATCCCGGCGATTAAGCGACTGGGCTTTATCGGCCTTCAACAGCCATGGGAGATGTATCCCCTGAGCTTTGTGTATGGACTCGTCATGGGTGGGCTGTCGTCTTATTGCCGAAGCTTCTTTGGCGAGTTGATTCCTCCTGGATACGAGGCCGCTTTCTATGCACTGTACGCGATCACGGATAAGGGGTCGAGTATCTTCGGACCCGCCATTGTGGGGGCCATCACCGATCGGTATGGAGAAATTCGACCGGCTTTTGGGTTCCTGGCCATCTTGATTCTTCTCCCGCTGCCGTTGATGCTTTTGGTTGATGTGGACCGAGGAAAACGGGATGCTCAAGCTCTTTCAGCCGAGTTAGAGGGTACTCGGGACGAACCAGTTGCGGATGGTTCTCTGGAATAGATTTAGTAGTGTTGATGCTGTGCAAGGTGGTGGTAGGGGTGCATGATTCATCATTGTGCGGCTGGGCATGGCCAGGTATGTACGTAGGAGGTGTATCCGACGTCTATTGTGGTAGGTACCTTGCAGGATTGGTGCGAATCAGGTGGCAAGGGATGAAACCCCTCCAATAATATAGATATCGCCATGAAATGTTTCTGGTCCCTTGGGTAGGGTACGTTCCTAGATACGATAAGTAGAGCGATGTACAAATAGGTGCTTGACCACATGGGTTGTGTGGTACAGTTGGAGCTATGATAGGTCTGTTGAGCTAGCTATACGAGTATATGTGACTGGGGTGGATTACTGGTAACACCATAACCAGTAGTCAGTAATTGTAATCAAATTATGCAATCTGGCCTTATTATAAACGGAACGGGGTTCATTCCGCGGATGTTTCTTTTTGTCACTGAAAGAAATTCGAACAACAGTACCTAGAGAGTTCTGGCCGTGATGTCTACAGTAGGGACCTATTAAGGAACCCTTCGTGGATCTCCTGCCCGTGTGGACGGCATTGTCGATCCTGTTCGCCATAGTGGAGTCTATAATCTGTATTATTTTTAGGAAGCATGTATCGTCACTGTTATTCGCCAATGTGTGGTGAAGGAGGTATCTACAGTAACTAACTAGTTAGTTGGGGGCGCTGCCGGATAGGCTGACACACCCAGAAAGAACAAACTGTCCTTAACTCAGCTTCCCCATACTTCGTCAGTCCTACTTATATCTCCACCCAGCCTTCCTATCCACCCAATTTTTCTTTCTCGCATCTGAGCTATCTCTATTTCCCCCTCCCTCACCTTTCTTCTCCCCTGTCATCTTCGTTGGTGAGCTTGGGATTTTCCTTCCCGTACTTCATATCGCAGGAAGTTCGGGTCTGTCAAGGAACGTTGTTTGTTTACTTGACCCTGTCGATCGTCCTCCACCACCACCACCACCACCACCACCACCACCACCACCACAACAACAACTATCATCATGCGTTCTTTCGCTCCCTTGGCCCTGAGCCTCCTCGGTGCCTCCGCCGTGGTCTCGGCCGCCGATGCGACGGCCGAGACGGAGTCTGATGTGGTCTCCCTCACCAAGGACACCTTCAAGCCCTTCATGGAGGAGAACAACCTCGTCCTCGCCGAGTTCTTTGCTCCCTGGTGCGGTCACTGCAAGGCTCTGGCCCCCAAGTATGAGGAGGCTGCCACCGAGCTGAAGGGGAAGAACATTCCTCTGGTCAAGGTCGACTGCACGGCCGAAGAAGACCTCTGCCGGGAGCAGGGTGTCGAGGGCTACCCCACGATGAAGATCTTCCGTGGTCCCGACTCGAGCAAGCCTTATCAGGGTGCTCGCCAGGCTGATGCGTAAGTCATTACAGTAACAAGGTCTCATGGTATGGCGTACTGACCCCATTTCCAGCATTGTGTCCTACATGGTCAAGCAGTCCCTTCCCGCCGTCTCCCCCGTCACCGAAGAGAACCTCGAGGAAGTCAAGACTATGGACAAGATTGTGGTGATCGGTTATTTCGCCGAAGATGACAAGGCTACCAAGGACGCTTTCACCACCTTCGCCGAGGCTCAGCGTGACAACTACCTCTTCGCCGCCGCCTCTGACGAGGCCATCGCCAAGGCTGAGGGTGTCAAGCAGCCCGCCGTTGTCCTCTACAAGGACTTTGATGAAAAGAAGGCCGTGTACAAGGGAGACATTGAGCAAGACGCTCTTCTGAGCTGGGTGAAGACCGCCAGCACTCCTCTCGTGGGTGAGATCGGTCCTGAGACGTACTCGGGCTACATGTCGGTAAGTAACAAGCCATTGTGTTTTTCCCTGTGAAAGAAGTTGAGCTCTAACCACTCCTTTCATTAGGCTGGTATCCCCCTCGCCTACATCTTCGCCCAGACCAAGGAGGAGCGTGAGAAGTTCGCTGAGGAGTTCAAGCCCATCGCTGAGAAGCACAAGGGTGCCATCAACATTGCCACTATCGACGCTGCCATGTTCGGCGCCCACGCTGGAAACCTCAACCTTGACACCGAAAAGTTCCCTGCCTTCGCCATCCAGGACCCCTCCAAGAACGCCAAGTATCCTTATGACCAGGACAAGGAGCTCAAGGCTAAGGATGTCGGCAAGTTCATCAAGGACGTCCTGGACGGCAAGGTTGAGCCTAGCATCAAGTCTGAGCCCATTCCCGAGACTCAGGAAGGTCCTGTCACTGTTGTCGTTGCCCACTCTTACAAGGAGCTTGTGATCGACAACGAGAAGGATGTTCTCCTCGAGTTCTACGCCCCGTGGTGCGGTCACTGCAAGGCGTAAGTTTCCCCGTGACATGACCTCTTGAATGCCAGCTAATTAATTGTCCTTGATTAGTCTCGCTCCCAAGTACGATGAACTTGCTGAGCTCTATGCCAAGAACGAGGACTTCGCCTCCAAGGTCACCGTCGCCAAGATCGACGCGACTGCCAACGATGTCCCGGATTCCATCACTGGTTTCCCTACGATCAAGCTCTACCCCGCCGGATCTAAGGACTCTCCCGTTGAGTACGCTGGCTCTCGTACCGTGGAGGACCTTGCCAACTTCATCAAGGAGAACGGCAAGCACAAGATTGACGCCTACGCGGCCCCCGCCAAGGAGGCTGAGGAGTCCAGCGAAGCCGCTGAGACCCCGTCGGAATCCGCCGAGTCTGAGGCTCCTGCCGCTACCGGTGAGGAGAAGGCGGACCATGATGAGCTGTAAACTTGGGTAGTTCAAATGACATGTTTTTCCTTCTTCGAATTGCTGTATTTCCTCTTGATCACACCTTGGGTATTTGAACTCATTGTAATCCTCAATCTCATCCTGAACGCTATGTCCTGCTTTTTATCGTATGGATTGTCAGCCTGTCTTTCGATAGTTGGGAGTTGCCCCGAGAGTAGGTTTAGTGGGATGTAGCTGTGGCTGGACACTTGATGCATGGAGTATACTCAGATATACATGCGCATCAACTAGACCTTGACAAGAGAGAAGGACACCAAAACGGGCATTGATTGATTAAAAAACTAATAGACATTTAACTCAAGAGAAGTAGCCTGCCATTGACCGGAGAAGCGCCCAAGCTATCATGGGGCATGGGCGGTCTCAGCACCGAGTGGTATCACCGCTGGCTACATGTTGGAAATTTGTAGGAAACCCCAAACGCCAAACTCACACCAGAAAGAAAACCCGAAATAGACACTATATCAACACTACATAGTTCAACCCAATTCTAGGGTAAAGAACCCACAGAATTCAATCCGCTGATACTCAGGTATGTCCCCGGCAGAGACGATAAATGGCGACTTAATCTCAATCCGTCCCCTCTGCAGCTGCTAAGGCTTCGAGAGCGTCAGCATCATCGAATTCATCAGCCGGGGCTGAATTGGTGCTCTTCACAGCGTTATCCTCTTCTCCTGGAGCAGACTCCGCCGGCTTTGCGGGAGAAGGTTTCGACGCATTATCCGCCGAGGACGGCTGGATCGGGGCCAGGGGGCTAGCGGTTATCGGCTTCGACGTCAAGCTCCAGTCAATGACTTCGTCAGGACCGTACCGGGCAGCGAGCCACTCGTTGCACTTTTTGAAATGTCCGTTGTTGAACTGCGAGGCAATCCGTTAGATGAATCGCTCCCAAAACGACAACGACGTCGTTGCACCAGAAACGGAACGACGGGATGGGCTCTTACAAATCCTCTGTGCGCACTCAAAGGGCTAGGATGAACCGATTGCAGCACGCAGTGCCTTTCTCGGTTGACATCAGCCACGCGCTTTGCCGCGGGCGAGCCCCAGGCCAGAAAAACGACGCCCCGGGAACGCACGCGCGCGACAACCTCCAGCGCCTTTTGGGTCAAGCGCTCCCAGCCTTTATTCGAATGGCTGGCGGCCTGGTGGGCGCGAACCGTCAGGCAAGTGTTGAGCATCAAGACGCCGCGCTCGGCCCAGGGGGTCAGGAGGCCACCTTTGTTGGGCGGGCGTTGGAAGGACGGGTAGTCGTTCTGGATGCCGGTGAAGATGTTGACGAGGGAAGGGGGCGCGGGCGTGGGAGGGCGGACGGAGAAGGCCAGACCATGGGCCTGGTTGTGGTTATGGTAAGGGTCTTGACCGACAATGACAACCTTGACCGTGTGGAGGGGGGTATGTCGCGACCTGCGAGCGAGTCAGTGGATGTCGGCGGCAAGGGAGAGGAGGGTGGGATGATGGTTCGCACCAGGAGTAGATATCGTTCTCGGGAGGGAAGACCTTCACGCCGGCCTGCTTTTCTTTCTGCAGGAAGCGCTTCAGGGCTAGGAACTCCGGCTTCACGATCTCCTCCTTGAGCTGGGCCAGCCAGCTCTCGTCCATGGTGTCGATTTCCAGTTGAAGGAGTTCCTTCTGCTCGGGCGTCAACGTGGCCACCCATTTCTCCTTGTTGAAGCTTGAAGACGTGGTAGAGGGACGCACGGCGCCCGGTTTGGGCTTGGGGGCCCCGAAGAACGATGTGATGCTGCCATTGGCCTTGGGTCTCTTCGCATCGGCCGCTGGGGTCGACAGATGGTTAGCATCGCGCTTGACGCCACTTGGACTAGGCATATTGGCAACGGGGAGCGAATTGAGAGGAAGAGCAGAGAATTGGTATAGGCAGGATGCAGCGACAGACTCACCCCGTCTGAAGCAGCGATACATCGAGAAACGATACTCGGACACGCGTCGACATGTGCGCGACCAGACGCGTTGTGGAGAAAATCCATTCATTGCCGTATTAGGCTAAGCTTGACATGGGAAGTGTGGGTCCCTCTTTGGTCGCTGACTTCATCAATCTAGACAGCTTGAGCTGCGAGCAACGGAAGCACGCTCAGGTTCCCACAACATGTCTGCGTCACACTTGGTCCATGAGCCTGGTCCGATTTGAACTCACGTGTGGGAGTACACGAACATGATCCTCACTTACCTTGTCCCATCGTTATCAAACCGATTGCTACGATATGGAGCTTACCTGGCTCGCTGATACGCCTCAGTCCCGAGGCCGCACCAGAGCCTTGAGAGCATGTCCCCAGTGCCAACGAAGAAAGGTGCGTCTTTGCCGTCTCCTCCGGCTTACGGAATGCTGGAAGCTAAATCAAGCAACGCCAGAAACGGTGTCGCCATCTCGGCACGGGAAACAACCCTCTCCAAACCCAGCTCGGCCCAACCCGCCCGATCCAACGAAACAATGTTCGAGATCCCGATAACCATCCGCCGAGAGAGACAGGTCCTCGCACGCCCAGCCAGCTCCCTACGGAAAATTCCCGGACAGACCGCTTTGTGGGGGATCTGAATCCCGAGTCTTTGATTCGCGAGAAGCTGGGTGATACTTCGGATAGTCAACTTCGGAATCGTATCGGACTATGGATCAGTTCCTCTGACGTGGACAATGCTGAAGGAAGTCGGGACGGTATCTCTAACACCATCAATTCATTTGCCGGTCGAGAGTCCGAAGCGGTTGCGACTGTGCTACAACAGCGATATGCATCTGCGATAAGGGCATGCGAGCGTCTGCCTTCGGCAACGCTGGACCAGTTACTTCCCTTATACTTCTCCAGAGTGAACCACATTCTCCCACTGGTCGACAAGGATTCAATGCTCCACGCTCAGTCGGATGGCACGGCTTCAGTCTTCCTCGAGAGAGCCATATGCCTCGTTGCAGCGAAGGATCCATCGGCTACTCCTCACCTCCGCATCACAGCCGAAGGACCCCCCATGACTCCCCGTCAGTTCTGCTCGGACATATACAAAGGATTGGTGGTCGCGATCAACGAGGGCCTCGAACCCGATCGCGTTACTCGCATCCGTGTCTTGGCCCTTCTTTCATTGCATTGTGAAGGCTACGAGGGTGCAGAAGCCGCTTCGATGCATCTTTGTCATGCCATTCACCAGGCTCAGACAGCAGGTTTACATCTTGATCGTCCCGATCGGGTGCCCGGAGATCCGTTATCGGCCCTCTTCTGGTGTTTATGGACACTGGATAAGATGCACGCCTGCATCGGTGGCCGGCCCGTTCTTTTCGCGGATCGTGACATTGGAGTAGAAAAGCCTCATGTGAACTCATCCAGTTCCAGGACCGCATTTGATATCTGGTTTGCAATCTCCGATCTACTTGCCCGGGTGATATCCTTCTACCGGCCAGGTGCCGACCATACCGTTGGGTGGGAAGCTGATTTCCCGACTTTTGAGGAAATCATCGGGGATAATATCCGCGACGATCTAGATTACGGTACACTTGGTGCGTCAGTGCATTCGGCGTCAACCCTTTTTCCAGTCTAACAATATATGCAGGGCTGTTGGAACTTTTCTACCATGCAGTCGGTATACTTTCGTGCCGATACAAGCTAACTGACCGCCCGGATGGATCGAAGCCATCCTACATTCGTCAGGGATTGGCTGCAGTTCGAATACATTCGATCATCGCTACCGAATGTCCTCAGACGTTGCCCCCTCTGCCGATTGTACCTTACGCACTGGCCCTTTCGATGGGCGTATCATATCAACAATTCCGTTCGAGTAAACTCATCACTCATTTTGAACGGGCGAAGGCCAGTCTGGAAGCGTGCTGTGCGCTTCTGGAAGATCTGGGAGTCTACTGGTACTCGGCGGAAGCGATGGCACGGCTAGGTCGGAAAGCCCTGCACCAGATCGAGGAAGTGAAGCCAGGGCCTAGTCAACAAGGCACGGGGTCCAGACAACCAGCCCTATCGGTAGAGTCGCCTATCATTGCTTCGACTCATCCAAACAATGCGGTGTCAGACACCCCGTTCGTGAACCGCTCAGACGATCAGCGACCCTTCAGCGATTTGCCGACGACGGCGTCTGCGATGGAGACGCATCCAGGACTGGAGACTATTGGGCCTCAACCCGCAACAGGCTTCCAAGCCTCAGAAATGGATGGATTTGCCGACATTGACATGCTGTTTGGAGATTTCCTGGACTTGTCCTTACCCACCAATTTCTGGGACCCTGTCTTGGCGCTCCAGGACCAAAGTGGGATATGACGATCGATTGCCTTTTCGAACCTTGTGTGCTAAATTAAGAACCTCGTGGAGATCGTTTAGTAAGAATTGTCGTTGGATGGTCTGGCATCGGCGGAAGGCCTCATTCGCCGAGGAGTTGGTCGTGCCGGAACGGCCGGACTGTCGATCCTCATCAACGCAAGCCACGATTCTGATGAACAACCACCAGGTCAGCCTTGGATCGAGAGGTGCCAAGTGGGGTCAGCTCAATGACAAGAGCTTGCTGTCGCTGACGCTGCGCCGTGATGTCGTGGACTTCGCTAGAAATGGGCCTCAACCTTAAACCAACGAAAATCCGCTCTCGGAGTGGAGTTCACTACGGTAGACGACGGTTCTGGACCACGAGAGGATTGATCTTGTCCTCGATCTAGAGTAAAATGAACGAATCCTTGGTGTGGATTTAGGGGCTTTTCCCCTGAGGCTGTTTTTTTTTTTCCCGCCCTCTGTCATTTCCAGTCTAACGCTCGGATATGTCGCCCATCCTCTGCTCACTTCGGCATCAGCTTATTACTCTGCTGCATACGAATCATCCCCAATGATTGGACATTTTTGTCTCCCGATGGCTCCCTCCGAGGTCGGTTCTTGAAATCACTCGATCCACGTTGCTTTGTCTGCAAGATACATTATTAGCTTCGCTCGCTTTGTTTCAGATCCAGCTTCAAAGCTCCACCCGTCTTCTCTGGCCCACTGCGGCCACGCCGCTTAGGCTCCTTTTCTGAAATCACAGTCCTTATCTTGTCATTGATCCCTGTGCTGTACGGGGTAGTTGCCTTACGAGTCTCTTCGCCCGCGACTTCACGTCAACATTGACTTTCTGCGTGGTCTATGTGGGACTATAACACCAAGCCTGGCCCCCGAAATTAGCGTCACCAATCTGTCTGCACGCACACCCGCTTTTTCTTGGGGCCTGGATTTCTGACCGTCGCGAAGCTCGATGGCGCGGGTATCTTATCCCTGGCCCATAAACCTCGTCCAGTAGTACCTCGCTGCGTGGTTCACACTACCATGTACAGTTAGACAATCAACTCATCGCGCCGCTCTTTTGGGGGTCATGACAATCAGGTCTCCCATGGCTCCCCTATCTGAAGATCCAAACGCACCGGTGTCGCCGGCCGAGAACCCTGTTGAAGGGGACACTTCGCCCTCTGCGAATGTAAAAGCCAAACGAGTCCCTGTCCATCCGATTCCCCAGCTGCAAGGTCCGTTTGAAGAGTCTATCCTTGAGGCACTCGAAGATGCGAAGGAGGAATGGGAAGTCGATCTAGACGCTCAGTCCCGACGAAGAGACCTACTCGAGAACCCGGAATATGTGCGGCTCTGTGGCCGGAAATGGAGGCAACGACGCGGCGAACGGCAAGCAGTCGCCTTAATTGACCTCCTGACGATATAGAAACTAACTGGCTCTGCAGGTACCATCCGTTCTGGAAGCTTACCGCTCAGATGTCGTTCGGTATCAACCTCCTTGTCAAAGAACTGGCCAAGTCAAATGCAGAAGTCTTGAAGATCCTCCAATGCCATGTGGATGAGGTCGATGGATTCCTCGGCCGGACCACCGAAGACTTTCTCATCATCCAGATCGATGTCCGCACTCGAATTCAGTACCTGAGTCTTCCCCTGGAGAACCTGGAGGTTTTTGATGAGATGCTGGAAGACCGCAGCTTCCGCATGTCCATGATCGACTACAACGACAAGATCGAACATGCCATTTCGCGCTTTACCATATCCATTCAAGACACGCTCAAGGATTTGCAAAAGGGAAGGGAAGCCATCGGCGCTCTATGGCAGCATCTCAAGCAATCTTCAGTCGACAATGCACCGCTGTCTACCCACCTGATCGCCATCTATAATGCCATGCTAGCGAACACAGAAGGATGGAACATGGCTTTCTCCAAGCTCCAGCGAAAGGGCATTGCCCTTCAGGCTGCGCTCTCTCAGCTAGGACTTGCCATTACTGAGATGCAACGACGGGTCGGCATAGCAAGCAGGAAGGAAGTGGTGCGTAACAATCAAGTCTTCGGAGCCACGCCTCCCAAGTGATGTAGCTTTCGTCTAACTTACAACAGGTATCTTCCCTGCAAACTCCGAGCACACCCCAGCAGGGCTTCTCCTTCAGACAGCGACTCTTCGACAAAAGGCGGTCGGTTAGAAGCTCGACATGTCCAGCCCTGGAAAAGCCCCTACCAAATGATCCAAACCCTCTAGGCCTTGCGCAAACACCGCCTCCACCCCGGGTGAGAGATTCACGGAGGCTGACCCAGAAGAGCGTCCCGAATCTCAGAGCGGCAAGGACATTGGCCAGTCGCGGTGAGAATGCGGCCCCTGACCCGGTCAAATCTGCAGCTGGGCCCGAAGACAGTTCAAATCCAATCCCCCTTGTCCCCAAGTTCCATCGGAGCTTGACCAAGCGACTCTCAAAGGCGAAGTTGACTACGAAGAAGTCGTTCTCTGACCTGCGGCCTGCTACAGCGCCGGGCAGAACGGCCAAGTCTCAAAGCATCTCGGTGGAACAGGCGACGATCGTCAAGGATAGAAAGGAGCCCATGGTATCATCGCCAGCCTTCACACAGAGAGACCAACCTCGGACATCCCAACCACCAAGAAAGCCGGAAACCATGAAATCACAGCTTCTACACCATATTAAATCCGACCGGGTAATCGACGCCTGGGAGAGTACCACACAGAAAGAAAAAATCGGCCGTCGTCTGTCGCAGAAGAAGAAAGACGCACCATGGAGCAAGTTCCGAGCAAAGACGGCAACTATCCCGCGTTCTGCTGGTGATCTCCAAACGAAGCTATTCGAAGAAGACCTAGACAGACAGATGGCCTGGCTGCAGGAGGAAAGCGAGGCGCTGAACACCTATTCTTTGAAACCGAGGCGCGACGTTGCCCCAAGAATACATGTGCTCTCTGTCCATATGACATTGACACAGGAGCCGGAGCCTGAAGAAATAGGGGGGATGGGTAGTATCAGCGAGCAACAGACAGACGAGGATACGCAGTCGATTATAACTGCTCTCCCCTCGGTGCCACCCTCGGTAAGCACTGTCAAGCCGACTTGAGTGTCTGATGTGACTAACATGAGTAGATTGCTGGTTCTGCTCCGCAAACGCCCAGAACCTTTAGGCGATGACCATTTCCGTGAACTCGACTGACTTGTGGACGCTTCCACCACAGTCGATTCTATCTCCGCGACATACTCGCAAACCATCATTACACTGCCCGGCCGAGGATACCGGTGCCTCTTCTTCGTACAAAGATCTGCCCGTTTCTGGCAAACATCCGCTTCGCTGTATATATATTGTGCTATATTGACTATAGACCGCTCTGAGATCAGGAGCATGCGCAGGCGCATGAATACATAATTTCTAACCCTTCAGCTGATGTAATATCAAGACAAGCCAGTAGATCCCATACAAGGAACTCAGTCAAAGCCGGAAGTAAAGTAGCAACACAACTCCATGAACCATAAGATTTCGATTGCGTTACTCATACATGTATCTAACCAACGACCTAAACGGGGTGAATTTTCTCAGCTCATGATTCCCGCCGAAGGCGCCATCCACATCAGACGCGCAGCTCAGGAGGTAAACGCCAAAAACAACATTGATTAATCCGCGACAACATATGGGCGACTCTAATACCAACGTAAAACACCGACAACAAACAAAAGCCAAACCGCCAAGCAGATCAGATCAATCTACTTGCAGCGCTTCTCGACAATGTTCGCACCATGCTCCTCGTACTCTTTCTTAGAGATCCACATCTGATGGAACGTCCCCAGACTGGCGAGGATACTTCCACCGATCCAAGAGCCAAAGCGCCGCTCGGCGGTATTCCCTGGGGCGGAGATGCGCACCCGCGGACCGGGATACGTCTGCATGAGCTCCTGGTTCAAGCGATCGGTGAAGCCGTGGAGGAGGCTGGAGGCGCCGGTGACGACGACGTTGGCCAGCAGATGCGGGCGAATGTCGACGTCGACGCCATTGAGCGCGGCCTTGATCAGCTCGGGGATGGTCTGCGCCGGGGTGGGCGCAGGGAAGGAGGACTCGGGGTCGGGGATGGCGGCCTTTGCGTCGAAGAGCGACTCCACGATGCGGTAGCGTTCCGCGCCAAAGAGCTGGTTGTATCCGTCGGGGAATTCGAAGGGCCGGGCCGGGGTGGTCTTTGCGGCCTCTTCGTTGGGTACGCCGTTCAGGCCCGGGCCAAAGAGTTTGTTGGGGCCTGGCCACACCTGCACCACGCACTCCTTGAACTCGGACAGCGTGCGCTCCTCCAGCAGCGCGCGGTAGGACGCGTCGGGTTCTTTCTCGGGCGGGAACGTCTTGAGCTTGACCTGGGGCGGCTGGCCGGCGTCGACGGCCGTTTTCGAGGCAATGAGGTAGTGCGGGGTGATGGTGATGGGCTGCGGGTTGTTGGACTTGAACAGGGCGCGAATCTGCGAGGAGATGTAGTCGCCGCCCAGCGGGGAGTGCTGGACGCCCCGTTTCAGGATCATGCCGTCGTGCACCGGGGTGACGGATATATTGGAAGCTCCGACATCGATGACGAGCGCAGAGGCCTTTCCGGACGCAAAACTGACCGTGACAAAGACTCCATGTTAGTGGACACATCAGACGGAGCAAACAAGAGATGCGACATACGCTGCAAGCACACCGTTCCGCGCCAGATAAAACGCCGGCGTACCCCATTTCTCCATGGCGATTTCGATGGTCTTCTCGCGCGCCTTGGACGGGTTCCAGCCGCACTCGGTCATCAGCAGTGGACTGTCGGCGAGTGGCTTCTCGTTGGACTCCACGCCCTCCATCTCAGTGGGCATCTCCCCCTCCGGGACATCGTTGAGGCCGTTCATGAAGGGGTTTCCGGGCTTCGGGCCCGTCAGTCGCGACGTGAACGAGTATTCCCACACTTTCTCCGCCATGTCCCAGTCCTCTACGATGCCATCCCTGCCCATGGGGTTGTGGATGGAGAGGCCCGGGCGGGGCGTGACGTAGATATCATCGCCGTAGATGAGCTTTTCTTGTCCTTCGTAGGTATATTTGCCGTAGTACGTCGGGATCAGAGACTTTGGCGTGTCCTCTCCTGCAAAACCGGCGCGCGTTGTCGAAAACCCGGGGTCGAGGACAATGGCGGAGACCTCGTCTGGACGCGGTGGAAGTCAGCTAGGATTGTTCAGGGGGTTCTTGCGACGGGCCTCGCAAAGAGACGGTCGTGAGACACGCAATGGGTATTGGTGAATGACATACCTCCGCCGTATTCGGCAGCTGAAGGTGGAACGGAAGGGTTCATGTCGAGATACACAGCGTGCGCAGCAGCTGAATAGTCATGAACCTGTAGCAGTTGGAGAAGAAGACGCGTAGAAAGGAGTTCAGAACGAATCTAATCCTGCGAGAAGCAAGACGCGACTCAATGGGATCGGGGAGGTTAATGGGGAGGAAGAAGGGAGATGATGGAGGACGGAACGAAAGACAGCCAGCCGTTCGTTGGTTTTGCGCGGCGGAACCTAAAAGCTTTGGCTGGCGCATCCATCTTAGTACGTACTACTGCTACCTTACTACTACACCTCCTCCTTCCATCATTCTCAATACATAAATTCTTCTATTCTACCACCCTCCTCTTTTACTCTTTTCTCCCTCAACTCAACATGGACACCGATGTCAATCCAAATCCAGAAACCCTCTTCCGCCCAGTAAAACGGCGCAAGTTCCTACGCCGCCGCCCCGAAGCACCCCGAGATGAACCTCAAGCCGACAGCAGCTCCCCAGCTCCATCACAACCACAACCCCAAGACGAAACCCAAGCCAGCGACGGCGTCCACCCGACCGATATCGCCCGCCTACGACGGCTCCAGCGCGCCCGAAAAGGCGGCATCGAATTCTCCGCCACCTCGCGACAAGCCGCGGAGCATGCGAGCAAGAACGCGCTGTCGACAGCAAGCGCCGACGAGATCGAGTCGGAGCGGATCCGTGCCATGTGCGACCGCTTCACCGGCCACACGGGCCAAACCGTCGATGTCGATAGACACATGTACGCTCAACCCCCCTTCTCCTGCTTTGTCGGAGCCCCGCGCCCACTTGGGGCATTGTTCATCTGCAACGGAGACAGACTAACAAGATAAGGATGGCCTATATAGAATCCGAAATGGCTAAACGATACCGGCACAACAACGTGCCCACAGACTCCGTTGAACCGGACCCTTCGGCTGCCGACGACGCCGGCGGCGGCGGCGGCGGCGGCGGCGGCGCGCCACCCTCGTCCGATCTCCTGCTACGCGAGCCCGCGTCGATGGGGAAGCTCCACGAGATCGACCTGGGACAGGAAGCACGGCTGCATAATATCGCGCGCACAGAGGAGGCGACGAAGAGGCTTGTGCGTGACGAGGCGGACGTTTCCTCCGCTGACGACAAGGCACCGTCGACAGAGAAGACCGATAAGCCGTGGCGTGGCCGGAAACGGCGCACAAGCGAGGATATCAAACGAGACCGGCTTGTGGAAGAGGTCTTACGGGAGAGTAAATGTGAGTGGCTTTGCTTCTTGGGGGCTACTGGCCTTGTTCCGTCGCTAACGGTCGATGCAGTGGATGTATATGACGAGCCAGAAGAGGAAGATATGGCTATGAGTGGAGACGACCAAGCTGCCGACGATAGAGTTGCGGAGCAGTTCCGGAGAGATTTCCTCGACGCTATCCAGTCCCGGCGTCGCATCGCACGGGCGAAGACAACTACGACCTCCAAGACCGCTAAGCCGGAAGCACCAAAGGGGCCGAAGCTGGGAGGCAGTCGCAGTGCGAGAGCCGCGATGCGCGAGATGCAGGAGAAGTCAGCACGAAAGTGACGGTCAATCTTTCCGTATGATGCTGGTCATGGTGCAGAGCGTTCGAACATAGAAACTATATTCAATGATGTAATTACAGCGGTGAATTAATATCCGGGGATTTCAGCCACAGGATTTGTCTGTCGTCTTAAGTGGAGGTTTGGAATGGACCGTAATTACTACCCAGACTGCACTCGCACTGAAATTTGTACGCCAGGAAGATGAAACGTTTGACTCGGTGACGCCTGAATGCAAGTCAAAAGGAAATCTGAACAAAACTCGGCGAGTAGAAGCACGAACACATGTATGTAACTGTAAGAATTCGGAGGAGAACGTGTAGGAGGTTCTTTAGGAGGGCAAAAAGAATAGAACTGCACGTGGATAGAGCGGCAGAAGGACACAAAGGAAAAAGCGGATCAAAAAAGAAGAAAAGACGACACGGGCTTGCTTCCTCCACAAAGCATTTATTTCCTTCTAGATGTCGTTTTCCCTGTCGGAAAGGAAATCATATATCACGCGGCATCATCATCCGTTATCTTCCCTCGGCACCGTTGATGCTCATCTGGTCCGGGTTGAATCGCCGTCTCCGCATGGGCGCCTTTTTCCGTTTGGCAATCGCCGAATTTTGGGCACTGCCAGGGACAGCCCCCATCTCAGTATCGCCATCATTGTCGGCGTCCGGCGCATACGCTTCATACCTGGCCGTCTCGTCCAGTTCCGTGATATCTGTGGGCTTCATCCGCAGCCATTTCATGCGAGGGCCTGATCGGGACCTCTCAGACACGCGGAATCCGTAGATCCGAGATTCATACACCTTGCCGGGCCCAAGACCCGGGCAGAAGTTGGCAGTCCGTACACCGTTGATCTCGGCGGGCTGCCACGGAGGAGGAACGTCCGGTGACACTTGGTTGTTCATAGAAGCCAGCGAGGATGATCGTGTCGGTGACAAAGCGGAGCTATCCAGTCGAGATCCAATATCGAGATCGGGGAAGGTCATGAAGAACAGGCAGCCAAACGTGGTGCCGAAGAAGGCGCCATCCACGGAGTGGAATCGGCTGTTCGGGGGCGTGTATAGATCCTGGCAGCTTGGGCAGAACAACTTCACCGTCTCTTGGCCGGGAGTGTCGGAGCGGCCGACGGGCAGGACTTTGCACCCATTGCAGTACACACGAGGGCAAACACCGAAATGTTGCATTTCATACTTCTCGAGCATCTGTTGGATTCCCGGCCGCGAAGTGATGTATCGCTGGTGGATGAGACCGTACAGCAGCTCCGCAGAGCTCTCGATCACACTCAGATCGCTAGCCACTCGTGCATGGCGCCGATCGCCCGCTCTGCGGTATCCAAGCGGCTTTTCATCCCCCAGTATTTCATCCTCGTCCTCGTCCTCCTCATCCTCCTCTTCATCCTCCTCGTCATCCTCGGGCTCCACGTCCAGGATCATTTCCAATGCCTCTTTGTACATGGGCACCTGCGACTGGAGACCCGTCAGGTTGAAATCATCCTCGATAAAGTCCTCCGACACCTCGGCGAAGAACTCGTGCCCCATCAGGGAGCAGAAGGAGGAGATCCACGACTCCGGGGCCCCTTCCGAAGATGACATATCGAATGGGTCGGTCGCGGAGGACGCGGATGTTGATTCAGACAGTTGACTCAGATCCAGCCTGTCTAGGCCGTCGGCCAACGCCGAACCTGTCTCTCTCGACACGTTGCCGAGATACTGATGTGGACACCCCTGATACAATCTCCCGATGAGATGAACGCCCTCAGCTGACTTGTACGAGCTGACAGTGCCCGGATACAAGTCGCAAGTCCGAAGAGACGGACTGGTAGAATCAAGTCAAGGCGGGTGAGACGATAAGAGCGCTGAGTGAAGGGTAGGTCTCGACGAAAGATGGCGACTCCGAGCAGGGTAGGCTAGGCAGTCATGCCACAGTGCGGAAGGAATATTGTGCGATGAGAGCGAGTTGACGCGATGGCGATGGCTTTTCCCCCGCTGACTGTCTTCAAAGCCGCATGAAAGATTGTGACTGAGCGAATCCTATCGTAGGGACAACGAGACAGTGATTCTGTGCGTGAGCCACAATGCAATAAGAGATTGGCGAAGTCAGAAAGCCGACTCTATTCCCCCTCTCTCAGAATGCAGTGATCGATCGACGGAGTCGAGGGGTCTCCGAAATTAGGTTCGTGGGGCGGCGGTGCGGTGGAAAAAAGTGGCTGATACGGTTCAGTGGAAGCGAAGGTGATGAAGTTCGAGATCCCCCAGGTGGCTCCCAATTGGCAAGTTCACGAGATCGACATGACTCTGTACTCTGGATGGGGAGGGGGGAAGTTTGATAGGAGCGAAGGAAATCGCCTGGAGGTTGGTCGGTTCCATGGGGTGTTGTCACGTGACCGTACAGAGGGAGGGGCACATACGGTATGGGAAGGATCCCTTAATCTGCTGATGCTAGAAATGAAAGGGGGGTAGAAGGAAGGATAATGAATCGGATTTAGTCTCCCTGAACGGCAGTGATGGGGAGTGTGGTAAAACTGGCGAAGTGGGAGATATAAACAGGCCTACAACTCCGTATATACAAACAAGAAGGCACCGCCCAGCAGATCACCTCAAAACAAGTCTCGAATGACTCGTGATAGCTCTCCTTCATCCCCCAAAACTCCTGAAAGTCCCTCGCCCGTATTTTGAATTTCGCCGTCGTGGCCAACAAACCCATTCATTCCATCTGGTCCCGTGCCGGACGCCATAAATGAGCTGAATCCGCCCACGGCCTCGAACAGGTTCGTGAGTTCGTGGCTCATCTGCAGTCCATTCAACGGACTGTTGCCCAGCTCACCAACACCGTTCAGGGAACCGTACACCGATATGTTCTCAATTGGGTGACCCGCCAACCCAGCCATGGCCACGGCCGCCGTTGAATGAGGGTCGTTGGAGTCAGATCCGAAGGGACGAACCAGTACACCCAGTCTTTCGCCAATTTTCCGGAGACCTTTGATTGTCTTCCATAGCCGCTTGGAGACATACGACTTGGTGCTGAACCCGTTGATCAGGTCGAGGGCCATGTAGAACTCGTCTCGCACCTGACGGTTGAATTCCGCTGGTGCATGACATACGGCCAGGAAGAGGACTGCCAACGCAGCAACAAGAAAGTAGTTGAACGTGATCTGCTGTGTGCGATAGATATCCGACATCTGGTTGAGCTGGGTCAGAACCCGGACGGTGTCTTTCGCGACATCCACCACAGTCTGCGCGTGACCTTTGTCTTCCGCGATGCTGGCAGCCGAGTGAAGGACCGGGCGGTAGATCAGGATACGAAGCTGGTTCATACGAAGATATAGCAGTACTCGTAGCCGTCGGAGGCCCCGGCTGGCGTTCTCGCCGTGCTTGGGAGACTCGACGGAGTAGAACTTGAGCGAGTCGGGGACCTGCTTATACCATTGGAGGATCTGATAGTCCAGGTAGCCGATCTCGTCTCGGCGGATATCAGTTGTACCTTCGGAGCCTAGTCCAGAGTACCAGATCTTCGAGCTAATGCGATTGTATGATACCATGCATTTCAAATACGGCAGGGACGAGTCCTGACAAAGGGTTAGCCGGTATGAACTGGCACATTTGCATGCAAACACTAAGTGCATTCTTACCGGTTCCGGCAGGTTGGGATCGATGTCCTCATCCTGGATGACAAAGGGCAGCCCTGTTCCGAAGCTCCAGCGTCTGTCCAGACTGTACACTGCCCAGAAAATTTTGATCACTTCAGGCCATTGCTCCTCGTTAGGGAAGGATTTCGCGAGCGCATCCCGTCGGTGAAGGCCCATTTCGAGACACATGCGAGCAGCGAGACCGATAACGCGGTAAGCCATGGCATCATCATCCGTGTGAAAGTGATAGGTAGCCTAGAGAGATCAGTTGCCAATCCCCACGCCCGGAATAAAGACTACTTCCCACCATCCCGAAAAGCTGGATAGTCTTGATATCCAAAGGTTCCCATAGTTTGGCCTCAATCACGGGTTTAACACTGAGGTAGAGACGTTGACCGAGTTCACTCTGTCCGCCTCCTTCGACGATCAGGGTTGTTGCAAGAATCATCTTCAACAAATTTGTACTGTCGTCTTGAAGGCCGTCGGAGCCAGGTAGCCCCCGCTGGGCAAACCCGGTCCGTGTCGCAGCCTCCATGAAGGTATACAGCAGGTTTACCTGCTGGGTTACCTTGTCGATCTCGACGAGCGGGTACATGATTCCGATTTCTTCTTCATAAATACGACAGAGCCGGAGAGCCTCTTCGCGTTTGATCGTCCATATTGGGTCCTTGGTTGGATGAACAAGAGGAGGTACAAAAGATGGGACCTGCGGAGGCGACTCGGCAGGGGTAGCTTGTGCTGAGGTCAGGTCATCGTTGATAACCTCCTCTGCCGGGGCAATGCCCATGTTCTGAAGACTTGACCTTGCGACGTCAAAGTTGAAGGCTGAGCTAATGGGACCATGGAAACGGGGATGTCTGACTCGCGGCTTGGGGACCCGCGCCGGCATGGGGGTGAAGACGGGCTGGGAGCCATCTCGAGAGAAATGCTGATCGAAGCCTGGAGAGTCGATGGAAGATCTCTGAGAGCGAAGATCGCTTAAACTTGTAAACAGGCTATTCACTTGATCCTGGAGCGCAGTAATCTGATCTTTCATAGAGCGGAACTCTCTGGTTGGGATCCGATGTTAGTGATACATTCGCGGAATCGAGACGGAGAGAAGAAATTGAGGGATTAACATACTCGGAGTCCTTGAAATTATTGTTGCAGCAATTAGGGGCATATCGACCTATCAAAGATGGTCAATGGTTATAAGACTGAATTGTAAGACATGGAGAATCATGCGATGCGGTGGGCCGGCAGCAGTCGCTTCACATGGCAGTTGGACTGGGGTACTAACACTCAAGATTCAGGTGGCCACAGCGTTGGCACGGCACTTGGCCGTTACATTTGATCTTGCGTCGTTTGCATTCGTTACTGGCCAAGCGGTCAGCCCACCACCGAGGATCTGATTACCCAAGAAAGCGGAGGGGAGGTCATACCAGGCGATGGAGATGTAGCGATTCCGCTTCGTGCGCGTGTGCGTTCCGTTGGTCTGTTCCGCCTTCCTTTTCGCACTATCCCCGCCGGAGGGACTGGTCTGCTCTGCTGTCGCCGGCGGCGGCGCGGTCCTGTCAACCTGAGGGGACTCTGAAGCCATGCGGACGGTTTTCTGCGGCGATAGAATCTGTCGTGGTAGGAGAAAAGGCGAGCCTCAAGTGCGGAGAGATTCCTTCCCACCAGCTCGAGTGGGCGCGCGGGGGTTTCCGTTTCCCCAGATCCGGAGTGGGTAATGATAATCAGGGAGATTATTAGTAATTGGAGCCACCTCTTTGCTCGCAAGCTCAAGAATTGATTTGCCTCATGGATATGGAATTGACAGATCAGTATTGGCATAGTTCACCATAATAATGTAGATATGGATCGCACAGTACTGACAGAGAACATACTAAACTCCTCGCACGATAGGACATGTTCAGTTCGGGCCTCGGAATTGAGATTCCCCGAAGATGGACGGAGAAGATCTCCAAATCAATAACTCACTCTGTCGCAATCGATCACATCTTTAGCCCTAATAGAGGATCTCAACAAGACAACCGTCGGAATGAAGCTTCAGCAATGCTATCTATATAGCTCCCTCCGGTGGTTACCGCGACGGTCCTCACTATTCGCACATACGTCCTTCTACACCCTCCACCGAGCTCTGTTCACCACAAAACCGACATCCTCCCAGGCATCTTTCCAGCCAACTCCTCTCAACACCCTCGAAGATGCCAGTGTGAACTATTTCCGCGAAACAAGCTTCGTCCCAGAGCAACCGGCCGTCTTCCCCCGCCAGCATTTCCGCCACAATCTGCCCGCCTTCGAGCGCTGGTTCCGACCACCCTCCGCGTCCACTGCCGCTCAACTAAATACGGAGTATCTGGCGCAACACGGCGCCAATGCATTTGTCCCGCTAGAGCTCACACAATCGCAACCCGCCGCGCCAACCACCGACTCCCCAACGCAGCCCGATAATCTCACCTTCCGGCAATTCCACGCGCCGCTGAGCCTATTCCTGGAATGGATGCGCACCGCAGAAACCCAGCCCCAGTCAGCACGCCTCTACCTGGCACAATGCCAATTGACCGACCTGCCCCCGGCCCTCCGTGACGACTTCCCGACCCCCGATATTGTACGCCTGGCTGGGAAGGGCGACGTGTATGATACCAATGTCTGGATCGGGTGTCCACCAACGTATACACCGCTGCATCGGGACCCGAATCCGAACTTGTTCGTGCAGCTTGCGGGACAGAAGGTCGTGCGGCTCCTCCCACCGAGCGATGGCCAGACGTTATTTGCGACGGTAAGGCGACAGCTCGGTCAGAGTGGCGGGCGCGAGGCGGCCGCTTTTCGAGGGGAGGAGATGATGCAGGGGCGGGAGAGAGAGCTTCTGGAGCAGGCCGTTTGGGGAGATGGGCCTGCGGACTCGGGGCCCAGATACCAGGGGTATGAGGCGCGTTTAGAAGCGGGGGATGGGATGTTCATCCCCAAGGGGTGGTGGCACAGTATTAAAGGGGTTGGAGATGGGGTTACAGCTTCAGTAAGTGTCTGCTGTCTGGTCGGATTGACTTCTTTACTGACGGATAATGCAGGTCAATTGGTGGTTCCGATAGCATCTCTAAATATTAGCGATTAGCATCAACAAGGTACGATCATGGGTTGAACGGGGTGAGTAACTATACGTTCTGAATATCTAGGATGACTGAGGATTTGGATTCTTCTGCACATTAGACCCTGAGGTTTCTTGTCTTTTCACCGATTCAGCTCATCTTCCGACTACACCCCATTTCCTTCAGTGATTAGACAAGATTTTCTGGCTCATCACAAAGTAATGGGCAGAAATTAGCTTTATACCTCTTTTCTTTATATTCTCCGGCTCGGTTCCATGGGAGCTATCCGACATCGACTAAAAGCCAATACTTACGAGAACAGGAGTATGGATCAAAGAGGTTAAAGACTACCAATACCATATCGGTCAGTAGATATCTGGGATCCTTTAGGGAAATGCCTAGTTAGATATTGTTGGACTGCGATAACGTGGGGCATCTCTCATACGAGAGGTCAAGCACGTAGGTATATTTTAACATTATTCGCCCTGATCTACACGGCAGTGCACGCGTGTATTTGCTTTTGGGTCTCTGAACTGCCGATCCATGTGGGCCTGGGCTCGACGGTGCAACATCTACCAGCGAATGCTTCAGAGACAGCGAATGCTCCACAGTTGAATGTCGTCTGTTGTGGTCTAGTCGTGTTGCACTCCCTGCTCACAGCGGTGAATATACCTACCAAGGTGTTTTACTCTGTCGCCAGTCTCTGCAAACACTGTTCATCCACCGAAACCACGTTTGGTATATTACTCCTGTTTCTTATAGCTAGAAGAAGAAGCTGACTGTCTATTATCGGTGGGTCGCAATGGACCTCTAACATGGCCGGTTAAGGTCAACAGGTAGGTATCCGATTGAGCGCAAGCCGAGATGGAAGGAGTCTCTATGAGTACGGCCCGAGTTTCGGGTTCTAGAGAAGGATACATGGAGTAAGAGCCTGCGGTAAACTCGGCCCGGCGCTATCTGATCGGCATCCTTACCCATCGGAGTACATTTCAGACGATCAGTGCGCTCTGCCGATGCGCACGATGCAGCGAACAGTCCCACCCATAGGTCACTCGCGGCAGCATGATCGACTCAGAATATAAGACCAGTCGCCAAGATAGTAAGGAGCCTAGGGTTGACAACTCTTCTGCCTACTATGGGCAGCGTGTACGATATCATTGAATGAGAAGAACTAAACCGAATTATCCTAAACATATAGTACAGTGATCCTTCGGTCCATGGTTGGTATGTTAGTAAATAGTAGATTGATATACAGTGTATATCCGTGCACTGCTTATCCACATATTATTTTCGTTACGTGTGTTCTTCAATTAGGTACCTAAGTCACTCCATACATAGCTATGGAAAATCAAGTACGTAGACGTGCATATGCTTGTCTGCCCATGCCAACTCCCGTCCGTATATGGTATCCCGAGTGAAGATACCTCCTACAAAGAGCTAGTCTAACCGTAAAGAGAACCGGAGCCATTGATTATCAACCAGCTCCAGTCGGAGTTCCTATTCAGGCAAGGATATCGCAATCACATTTCTCTCCCTGGGCCTGCAGACGCCTGCATAGCCATTCAGAGCCTAGTTTTTAGCACATCTGCTCTTGGCACTGCACGATATGGACTTCTCCTTTCCAAGTGAACAGGGCTGTATTCGAAGAGTCGTTGATGGTACAGTTCGGCGCATACTCGACACGAACAGACGCCCTAATCCCTTCTACAAAAGGATAAGGCCCCACAGCTCGTAGTGCAGGATCAACAACCTTCGCATAAGATGGAAGGGTCGGCCCGCTCTGGGGTATTTTCAGGTCGTATCAAGATATAGATACCATTAGGATCTACCCCTCTGCATATCGAGGCTCCGCCGATAGTCACATCATCGCACATTAGACGCCAGCTCCATCCAAGATGGAACTTCTGTTGCTTGGCTGCGGCCCGGTGAAGCCCAGCGTCTGGGCAGTTGACGCCCTCCGAAAAAGAGTTCCAATGGCCAGTACACCGTCCTACGAGCAATATATTAGAGGACCGCCTCTGGATCGAGCAAGTATGCAAGTAGACCGACCCAGACGATCGATGTCGAATTTTCCCCCCAGAAAGCGTCTTCTACTCTTCGCAATGACAAGTCCTCCTCCCCTCAAGCAAACATGGCTTGATAGGCTCAAGACTGATGTCGTCCCGAAGCATGCCGACAAACCCCTTCAGGCTTGCTGTCTCTGCTTGGGATTAGTGGACAGTACTCTTTTACTAGGTGAGCTAGTCGCAGATTCCAGGAGCGCGGTCGATAGAAGCTGACAGCCGCAGCCCATTACACCTACGTTACAATGCAGACCGGTATGGATCTCGCTAAATCGCATCTCATTTGCTCGATCTAGCTCATCGCTGCCATAGGGAACATTTTCTTGGTCGGCTTAGGCGTTTCCAACCAAAACACGCACCCTTATGGCTGGGTCCCATGCTTGACTTCAATCGGATGCTTCGTCCTTGGGTGCGCCATGTTTGCTTATCTGAACGCTGCCCTTGGCCCTAAACGCCGAGGAACCTTATTCATCTCATTTTTTATCCAATCCCTCCTTCTCATCATCACAGCACTCCTAGTTCAGAGTGGGGCTATACCGGGTCTTCAGAGCAGCAGCGAACGCAATATAGAGATTATATGGAGCCAGGAAGTACTCATCGTATTATTGAGCATCCAGGCCGGGGGGCAGATTGTTGCTAGTCGTGCGCTCGGCTACAACGACCTCCCAACGCTGGTGGTTACTGTCACATTATGTGACCTGGTGTCAGACCCCAAGCTATTTCGCCTTCGAAACCAGAAACGGGACCGGCGTTTACTCTCTATTATCCTAACTTTTGTGGGGGCTATCGCCGGGGGATGGATTACCAAGGCAACGGGGGATATCTATGCGGTGATATGGCTGGTCGCAGGTATCAAACTTTTGATCAGTGCGACGTGGCTCTTCTGGGGGGATGATGATGACTGTATGTGACTGTTGTCGTATAATCTGTTGTCGTGGATGGTTATATAACAGTACGATACCCTGAGTTTATTGGGCACGATGGTGGTGTATGATGGCTCGCGATACTATGTTCGTCCTGCCATGTTAGGCCTTAAGGGTCCTAGCCATGGCATCATCCGAGTCAGCTGGCTAGCCGTCCGAGGGCCGATTCATTATGAATGGGGACAGCATCCTGGTTGCTCCACTTAGAGAAGAATCCTGAATCTACTTCAACAACAGTGTAAGCAAATAATGATACAGCAACAGCAATCCAACCTTTGATACGAACCACCTTATTAGACCTTGCCTGGGCTAGGTATTGGTAAATTTACATCCAAACTGTTAACTACAAGTTGTACAAAAAAAGGACCGACGATATAAAAATTGTAGGACCAGAAAGTATGTATGCGCACCAGAGTAACGGAGTATACAAACCAACGTCATGCGGACGGGATCGACGATCGTTCTAGAATCCTCCGCAGAGCACCACCCAAAAGCAACCACCGATTTAAACCCTCACAACTCAATTCTCACCTCACCACCACCAACACAGCAATGCACACGCCACTCCACACCTTCTCCCGCGCAACACTCTTCCACCTCATCCTAAATCCATTCCTATCCACACCAACCCGCGCAATCGCCTCACCCGCCGCCGCCAACGCCCTCAAACTCGCACCACACTCCCACACCCTCAGCCGGACCTCCATCGCCTACCCGCAGTGCGCACCAGCAAACCTCTACACCACAATGTCCTCCTCCCACAGCCAAGAACACTCCGCCAAGACCAACGCGCAGGGCGACGCCCAGCCCGACCAGCGCAAAGAACCCTACCTGGCGCTGCCCGACGCCAGCACCGCAGACCCGACGCATAAACTCGACCTCAGCGAAGGCGGGTCGTCGGTGAAACTGGACCATCTGGGCCCGCTGGTCGTGAACCAGGATGGGACGCTGTCGCGCATCGCGAACTGGGAGCATATGACGGAGATTGAGAAGAAGAATACGCTGCGCGTGCTGGGGAAGCGGAATAAGTTGCGGATGGATGCGCTTAAAGAGGCTGGTGTTGGGCAGGAGGGAGAGGATGGGAATAAGTGATTGGATTTCTATCTTGGTGTCGTTGTCTGTTTGAAGCTGGGTATAGGACTGGGTGCCGTGTATATTTCAGTCGGGAGATCTACGCTGTATAATATGTAATCTACGTCGAATGCGACATGGTTAAAGAATTTCATACACTTGGTCTATGTCGTATATTGTATATATAGAATGGCACATCCATAACACCGTCATCCGAAGATCCAATCGGCGAACCTGGAAAAGATGTTGCTGCCAAAGATTAGCTTGACTCAATCGAGACGCTGACAAACTTACCTCGACGGGGTGGGAACATAATTCCGCTGGTACTCCTCAATCTCCTCCACTCCGGTGGTGATATCGATCTCTTCCGGCAACCGGAACTTGGTCTTGTGCCAGAATTTCCACCCGAAATAGAGGACAGGGAAGACGCCAATCATCGTATACGAGAAGAAGAACGTCGGGATATCCCACTCGCCCGGGAGGAAGACAGTGTATCCACCCACAAACGTCATGACGAGGGTACATGTCATCGCGACATAAGCCACATACGGCTGGCCGTAACTGCGGTAGGGCAGCGTGTGCCGGGGGACGCCTTGCGCGATGAGAGCCTTGCGGAACCGCGTGTAGGTGAAGGTGACGACGGTGAAGTTGATCAGCTGGGACGCAGTGACCTGTGAGAGCTGATTAGATCTGCGACTTCGGGGGAAGCATGAACCACCTACCAAATTCACAAACCAGTTCAGAACCACCGAGGAGCTGTTAGACACCTGCAAAAAGGCGAGGAGTGCAATCAGCAAGACCACCGCGACACAGTAGATAGGCACACCGGACTTTGTGCATTTGGTGAAAATCCGGGGCGCTTTGCGGTCCAACGCCAGGCCGTACAGACTGCGGCTGGCGCAGTAGACGTAGCTGTTTCCGGCGCTGAACGCAGCCAAAAGCACCATCGCGTTGACGATATGCGGAAGAACGGGGATGTGGAGTCTGTCCATCGCAACCACGTATGGCGATGCGGCTGCGCCAGGCAGACCCTTCTCGTACGCGGCGGCCAGCGCTTCGTCGTTGTAAGGGACGAGGATCCCGACACACAGGGTACCCAGAACAAAGAATGCCGTGAGTCGGTAGAAGATCCCGTTGTACGTCTTAGGGAGGACGCCTCGAGGGTTGACGGTTTCACCGGCGGCCATGGACACGTAGTCCGGTCCGGCGATGGTAAAACTGGCCTGGATCAAGCATGCAAGGAAGCCTAGCCAACGACCAAGGTCGCCGGTCTTGTAGTACTCGGCGAAGGAGCCAGGGTTGTTCCAGTATCGAAAGCCGAACCGATCACCGAGCGGGTTGCCACCCACCATCACGATGAAGGTGAAGAAGATCAGTCCCACACTCAACAGGACCTTTCCCAAGGCAAGCCAGAACTCCGCTTCGCCGTACCATTGCACGGCGAATACGTTCAGAAGTCTACATTCGCATGTTAGCGGTGAGCCGTGCAGCAGGCGGGCTGGACGAACATATAGAGCACTAGTACAATCACAATGACGGCCACGATTGGAATCTTGTCAGTCCAGTAATTGATGATCAAATTACATGCAGTCACTTCAAAGGGTACCAGAGCAGCTTCGAAGACGAAGAAATTCCACCCTGCTGCGACCCCGAAGGCGTCATCGACATAGCGCGCCGCAAACCGGATAAAGGGCGACGAGATGGGCAAGTATGTGACCATTTCGGCCAGACCTAGTGATTCCTGTTCTTAGTAAAGCTGCAGACCAGAAGATAGGGCATAAACGGGCACAGGGAGTAGACCCCTCAGTCGCAATGGGAGTGAGGAGTATGCTTCTTGGTCCTCCATCGTCGCATGGGTGTGTTGATCGCAAGGGCACATGGTATAGGCGCTGTGGATATCGGGAAGAGGACGCAAGAAAAGTTGCTTTGGGTGGAATTGTTGCTGGCGGCAGCATAGATGGGCTCCGAGGAGTGCGGGGGCAGGGATCCGTACAAACTGTTATACAACAAATGACGCAGCACCTATAGAGAGAGAAACATAAGATTTGATAGTTCTCAAGAAGAGCACAAGGGCTGTGAAGTTGAACGTTGAACGATTGAGTTAGAAGCAGCTGTCCCAGTGCTGGTCATCCAGGAAGTTGTTTTGAAGCTCGCATTCATAGTTGATACCTCGCGAACGTTTGTTTCAAGAGATGGCGGTATATCCCCTTCTCTTTCCTACCAGAATATATCTCTTTTTGCATCTGTAGTCCACAAACCTAGGTACCTACCAAAAATTCCTATTCTTCCAAAGACCAGTCCTGGTTGACAACGGGACAGACAAGGGAACCAAGACAAGCGACAAATACGCAAAACCAAGACAAGGGAACTAACCATATGGAGAATGCGATGAACAAACTCGCGGGTCCTCCTTTGATCAGAGTACTTCCAATCTGGACATACAAGGCCGTGCCGATAGTACCGCCGATACCGATCAATTGGATATGTCTAGGCTTGAGCTTCCGGTGGGTATGATCGTAGACTGGTTTGGTCGAACCGTTGTCGAGAGACCCTTCACTATCGTCGATTACGGCGCCTTTCTCAGGGACGGCTGCGACTGAAGCTCCGGACCGTTGCGACAGCTTGTCGGTCCCGAATTCCGTTCGATTGACGGAGGGGGGAGATACCCCGCCATGGATGGCGGTCGTGATTGAGGTTGCGCCATGTTCGATATCGGGGCCGGAGTAGGCCATGGTTGATAGCGGGATTACAGTCAGGAGGCGGGTTATCTGGTCATATTATTGAAAAGTCGGGAAAGAAGGAGCAACAAGTCGAAGCAAGAAAGAAGAACACAGAATCTGAGGAGAATAAAAATGTTCGGCGCCGTCCGAGAAAAAAAAATTTCCCGGTTTTGGGGGATTTAGACTAGCTGGACTGGGCCCAAGACGGTAGTATCACCGTAGTATCCTCCGGTTCCGTGGGGAGGCGGGGACATGTGCATTAGGGGAAAATTAGGGATAGGCGATCCGCTCAATAGAAAGAATTAGAATCAGATTATGATGCTCTTGTGTTACCTACTCTGTAGGCAATTGACTGGTTTTCATCCAGAAGCGAATCAGAGACAAAAGTTCCTGTGTTGTCAGCCCCCGCCAGTCGGCTACCCGAAGGTTAACCCTCGTGGTTAAGCATCGCGTGAGTCGGATGGATGCTTGGCTATATTTCTCCCTGAAGGATCGCCCAACTGTCCTGATAAGTGTCCTGATAAGCAATGCGGTAGGATGCAAAGAACCACAACACTGCAGGGATAACGATTAAAACTCGCAGTCTGCAGCGAAACACGAGGTGAGAGGGGTAGAGATCTATACTGCAGGGGGCATGGTGTCGCACTACGGTAGAGGAAGTGGAACCCGTTGTTATCGCTAAAGGCTAAGGATTATTGAACCGAGGCTGTAGCTACCACTAACTACTTTGGAACTAGTATCATGCAAAGCGACAGAATGAGTCCAATATAGTCCAACATGTATGAATAGAGGGGATTTTGTAGTAAATTAGAAAATACATAATGTGCCGACTCCTGCAGCTGAATCAATACTGATGGCAAATCTACGCTCAAGATCAGTCTTGTGGCTTACATCAGTCCTCGACTGCTCATAGAAGATATGTACTCCATGTGGTAACTACAAGACCATATATGTTTGCCACAGCCCTTGCCTATGGACAAAAGGTAGCATGCAAGCAGAACAATCTGGAAACCGAACCCAGACAGTTATCGATAAACATTCCAGCCAACGTTCAATGTTCGTCAGGCGAATTAGGCAGATTCTTCGGCCCTTCTGAAGATAGTTTCTCGGAATCCTGCGAAGGAGGTTTCTCGCCTAGATCGCTCGGTGGGAAAAAGGAGGCATTGTCGTCATAATGGAGGTAATGCGATAGATCGTCTTCAAAAGGATGTTCCGCGCCCTCGGATTGAGAACCCGACTGCTGAGGAGATCGCCTTGAGGGGTGTTGTAGATTCTCAGGATGGACGTGATGCATAGACATGTTTGTAGCTCGGGGGGAATGCGCGGTCTGAACTGGTAGTAGAACGAAAACCCTCTCAAGGTCGTCTGTATATCATCGCTATGAGACTCTAAGGGTAGTAGAAGTAGCTGATAAAGCTCGACGCTGCGGTTCGACACGGTTGATGGCGGTGCTTGACGTCAGCCTGGAGAGCGCAGGTGATGCGAATATCCGAGATCTGGTTGGCCAGCACATGGTTGCAGGTAACCTTACCCCAAAGTTGCAATCAAGCGGTCCCTGTAGTGACCTAAGGTAGCAGACCCTAATTAAGCCTCATGGACGATCATCAACTACCTAGCTAGACAATCCTCTACCAGACATAGAGCCTAATCTATATTCCAACTGTACCTAGTCCCATACCGAGGTATGCGAACACCATCAAACTCCCCAATAACGCCAGACCCACGGTTACGTCGGCCTCCGAACTTCCCCGCCTGCCCCGCCGAGTGAGATTCTCCGACCTTTCTTTTCCTTTCCTTCAAGCTGCACTCGACAGCTCACTATCTTCGCCTCAATTCACCTCAAAAAACCATCTCACAATGTCTGAGCGATTCGCCCCGAAGGTACCGGTCCAGCTGGATCCTCCCAAAGATGACCCCATAACCGTGGAGGAATTGTCCAAGTGTGATGGTACGTGTGCTTCTGATCTCCAATTTCTTAATCGAGCGTTTACAAACGTCCAATTATTCAAATTCCCTGACTAACTGTGTGGACTTGAATTGCAGGCACGGATCCAAGCCGCCCGACGCTGGTGGCCATCAAGGGCATTGTCTTCGACGTGTCCAAGAATCCCGCCTACAGCCCCAGCGGCCAGTATCATGGTACGTGATCGATGGGCTACCCCGGTTTGAGTGATTATACTCACGCCCTTTCTCCAGTGTTCGCTGGAAAAGACCCCTCTCGTGCTCTCGCCTGTTCGTCGCTCAAGCCCGAAAACTGCGTCCCCGATTGGTATGACCTGGATGACAAGGAGAAGACCGTGCTTGATGAATGGTTCACCTTCTTCAGTAAGAGATATAATATCGTTGGAAAGGTGAAGGATGCTACGAACTATTAGAGACTGCACAAATCGGGGTTGCAGAAGCCCGTTCGATGAAGTTATTATACCCAGGGAAACTACCTCCTGTTTGTTTCTGAAGCGCCATTCGGATGCTCCCATTTCCGATTGAGATTGGTATCTCGTCTTGAATCGCAGGATAATTCTGAATGAATTATTTGCACACAATTAGCGTCTATAAAACTTTTCTTTGTACATGCCAAATCACGCCTTTCCTTTCCGAGTTCTCCGTTGCATCCGCTTCTTCGCAATGATCCGATTGCGTTTAGCGATCTTGTTCTGTTCCTCCGTATCGCCCGAATCCTTGTCTTTCCCTCCAGTACTGTCCGACCGCTTCCTTTTCTGGCCCTTGGGAGACGGTTTGCCCTTCGACTGGTCGCCGCCCGGCGCTTTCTCTCCCTTCTGTTGATCCTTCTTGAAAGCGCGCACCTTGGCCTGTTGCTCCGCTCGACGTTTGACAACCTGGGCATTCTCAATAGCAAACTCTGCAATGAGCCGTTTCTTCTTGTCCTTCACGTCTTCGGAGCCGGTCTTTGGCGCTTCCACCGCGTGGCCGTTCAGCCACCGGAGACCCATCAGCGCATGACGGTGAGTGAAATACTCAATGAATCCATATCCTCGGCTTCTTCCGGCGCCACTGTCCTCGGCGACCTTGCTACCATCACGACCTTCGAACACGATCTTAGCCTGTCTCACAACACCCAATCCCTTCTTCTTTCTCAGGCGCTCGGCCTCTTTCATCTCGTCAGAGGCTCGTTGCAATTCGTCCTTGGAAAGAGGTTCGCGGATACCGGCTGAGACATCCTTGGCAAACCCAACAACAGCCTGTCGCGCGAGCTGCTTCAGGTCCTTCGAGGTGACGTGTCGTGGGATATTCCGGATCGAAAGTCGGGTCAAACTCAAGTGAAGGGCGGGGTTCTTCTTGATGAAATTCTGTCGCTGCTTGTAACTGTCTTCTCTCATTTTGACCTCGGAGGGTGACAGCTTCTGGTACAGTGGAGAGTTGCGCGGGATCGTTCCTTCGGAGAGGAGGAACAGGCGACGCTTGTCAGTATCGCGGACTAATCGGCGTGATACTCCCTCCTCTTCGAGCTGGGCGGCGCGCGACTTGCTCACTGCACGAGAGACTTGGAGTACACGGCCCTCGAGGGTATACCGTCCGGTGGGATCGGCATTTTCATTTTGCAGAACAGAATGTTTCATGGCAGTGGAGGCCTTCTTGGACTTTTCCTTTTCGGCGACAACTGGATCTTGCTGCTTGGGGGAGTCGCGCACACACGCCGCTGCATCCTCGGCCTTCCAGAAACAGACAAATCCAGTGCCACGAGGGCGTTCTGTTTCGTGGTCAACCACAATGCGGGCATATCGAAGGTTTCCGAATTGGGTGAAATGCTCATACAGCATTTCGTCGTCACACGTAAATGGCAGATTCCGGATGAAAACCGTGGCAGCGGTTCTTTCGTCCTCTTTTTCTTCCTCTGGTTCTTCAAGATCGTCTTCATCCTCGTCCAGCTCTTCGTCGCTGTCAATGTCCTCCTCGTCTTCCTCAGCAGACATAGACTCATCATCGTCTTCATCTTCATCCTTGTCGGCTTCGGCTATGGCAACATCGCTAGATTCCTCCGCATCTTCTTCTTTCGGCTCTTCAGCGCCCTTCTGCAAATCCTCCCAAACCTTCTTCTCAACGGCCCAATCGACGGCCAAGGTTCTTCCATCGACCTCTTTCCCGTTGACTGCGGCTAGCGCTTTTTCGGCGTTCTTCTTTCCTCGCAAAATCACGAATCCAAAACCAGCCAATTGACCACCCTTCTTAGGAAGTGTAGCCTGCTTGACTTTGCCAAAGCTTCTAAAAAGAACCGCAAGGTCGTCCGGTTCTTTAATGCTCCAAGGCAAGTTGCGGACGATCAACTTCGGTGGCTGGGCTGCCGCCCGTTGCTGTTCCCGTTGTTTCTTCCGTTCAAGGGCTTCGGAAGAAGGTACACTCTTGCCCAGGCTTTCGTCGATCGTACGATGACGGGGCTGGGCGTAGTCAACCTTGATCTTCTTTCCCTCAAACACGGAGCCATTGTATTCCTCCAAGGCGGCTTTGGCGTCGTCGACATCAGCAAAGGTCACGAAACCATATCCCTTCGATTTCTTGGTTTCCGGGTCAAGGACAGCAAGGGCGTGCTTGATCACGTAGGACTGCGAGAAATATTCCGTCAAGCTCTCCGTCGTGGTGGAAGCGGGTAGCGATCGGACGAACAGAGTTCTCCTGGGTTGCGTGGAGACTTGCGATTCCTGGGCATCTTCCTTCTTCATAGTATCCATGGGGACTTCTGCTTCTGCGGAGCCTTCCATCTTTCCGTCGGGACGGTCTTTATTGAGGTCGTCGGATCCGGCCATGGCTGGAAGACAGAAGTGACTTTTTTTTTGTCCTTGCGACAAAATCAGCGGCAGAAAATATCAACCGGTGGTTTTGCGGGATAAGAGTGGGTCTGGGCGGTGAGGGTCAATGGGCCGACCATCTCCCGCGATTAGATACGAAGCTTCATCTACGCGCAACACCGACAGACACAATGGCGGAGGATTTTGGTGACGATGCCGATTTCAACGATCTTCTCGATGCGGAAAAGAAGACCACGGACTCAGCTCCAGAAAGAACCGCCTCAACGCCCACGACACGACCGCCCTCCAAGGTCCAGCAACCGAAACCCCAGGCGCTTCCGAATCGGACCGCTCCCTCTGCGATCTTAGTCTCGACAAGGCAAAAAGGCAATCCGATCTTGGACTTCATCAAGATTGTACCGTGGGAATACGCAGACATTCCAGCGGATTATGTTGTGGGCACTACGACGTGCGCGTTGTTCCTCTCGCTGAAATACCACCGACTACACCCCGAGTATATCTACTCGCGCATTCGGCAACTAGCAGGAAAATACCTCCTCCGCATTCTCCTGATTATTGTGGATATTCCGAACCACGAGGACAGTCTGAAGGAGCTCTCCAAAACATCCCTGGTGAACAACCTGACGCTGGTGCTCTGCTGGTCCGCCCCCGAAGCTGCGCATTATCTTGAACTATTCAAGTCCTCCGAGAAGTCTCAACCCACCGCCATCCGCACGCAGCAGGCCCAGTCATATAAAGAATCCCTGGTTGAATTCGTCACGACCCCCCGGAGTATCAACAAATCGGACGCGGCCAGTCTCATATCTACATTTGGGAGTTTACAGAACGCTGTCAACGCCCAGCCGGAACAGATCAGCGCTGTACCTGGATGGGGCGAGAAGAAGGTTAGAAAGTGGTGTAATGCAGTGAGGGAAGACTTCCGAGTCGACCCTGGCAAAAGAGCGGCTACAAAGACGGGTGGTGAAGGCGAATCACGAGCTAAAGCGCGTCGTACTCGCCCTGCCGCATCGGAATCCTTGGATGTCCCCGATGACAATGAGGCGATGCTGGCGGCTGAGATGGGAGAGGGCCGTACTGAGTCGGGAAAGAATGCTGATCGTAATCCAACTCAGGAGGAAGAAATGAGCGAGGGCATTATGGCAGCACTGGCGAAACTTCGGGAGAATGGCGGTTGAACTGCCTCGCCCATTATACACGTACAACGGGCATCAAGCCCATGTTTGACAACAAGACACCTCCAACAGAGCCGCCCTTGGATGGATGGGACATGACTGCATCTTCCATGACGAGTCCCCGTGTGATGACCAGGATCCACAGACCACTGTCCTCTTGTACTGCTCCTTTCAACGGATTTGGAAACTGCTCAATGGGGCGATGACTTTGGTCCTTGAGACAGTCGTCTGCTACAAGCTCATTCCAAAGACTTATGCAGTCGAGTCATGGAGTTGCTGATGCCAAATCTTGGCCTTCCATCTATGCAGCCGGGCAAAGATACCATCTCATCGACCATTGGGCCTGTGGCAGTCGACAGCAGCCCAGGCGGATGCTACCACACCGGCATGGTAGGGCTGTACCTCGAATACGAGACCACTAGAAGATTAATAGCTGCAATGAGACTGTTATGTAACTAGTTATGAAGTGCATAAATGAGTCAGCATGTCGCATGTCGTCATACCACGTGAAGGCAAGGTGGGGAAACCCAAAAGGGAAATCGGGCGGCGGGCGAACATTGGGAGATGAGGAATTCACCAACAGTGAACACGATCCATCCTCTCGTGGAATATGCGGCCCCCTGGTCACATCACGGTGTGTTCCTGGTTGCCTCCATCGATTGTCGCCCTTGATCGCCTCAGCAAAGCCAATCCAACTCCACACACCGGTGGGTAGTTCGCTTCCCCACCGGACACGTCCGCCCGCCTGATCTGTGCTTTCTCTTCCACCGTCGCCCGGTCACCGCCAGATCATGACACCATGGGGGAAGAGGGGAACGACAGCGCCGGGCCCAGGACTAAGCCCGACGACAGTAGTCATGGCGTGAGCCGGCCCAGTTCGTCGGGTGCCTCGCAGGCGCGACGGCTGGGCCGGAGTAATAATAATAGTCACTCCGGTCCGTCTAGGTCCTCCTCGCGATCGGGCCAGCAACCGGCCCAGGCGAAAAACTTTGAGTTTGTCCTGGTCACCGATAATGAGTCGCGCCGGCAGGTTCGTCGGCATGCCATGCGCCAGTATATGCACCAGCGGCGGTTAGACAGCATTGCTCGACTCGGGCCCTCCCGTGCGCCTGTCGGTGGCTGGACGACTCGTTCCACGTCCATTTCTCAGGGCGCCGGTCAGTCTTCCAAAGAGGAAGATGTGCCGGACGAGTCTCGGGAGGATGATAAAGGCGTTGTCTCGGTCAAGCGTGAGGATGGGGACACGCAAATCGCTGCAAAGGAGAATGTGCGTCCTCACCTGGTCATTTCTAAACCACAGCCTATCAAAAGTGAAGAAGTACAATCGCCGCCTATTTCGGAGACCAAATCTCCAGCCGCCCAGGTTTATCGGGGGGATGGAGGCTCGAAAGATCCTTTCAGCTCTTATCCCATTACCATCAGCAATGCGGATCATCAGTTGATCCAACATTGTAAGTGCCTGACCCTGGATGCTTCAATCGTCTCAGGTGGAGGGAAGCGTAGGCCTCGTTGACGACTGGGCTTCCACTCGCATGCCTTGGACTGTCTGAGTAGGAGCTTACAATTGCAAGTTGTGGTGACGTATCCGTCCATGATGTACAAGTTTGGTGATTCCATCGCAAACAACCCAATGGTCGAAATCTTTCGTCGTTTCGCGCTGCACGATGAGGTGCCCTTCCAGGCCATGCTTGCGATCGCCTCGAAGCACCGTGCCGGTGTCGAGGGGAAAAAGGAATCGGTGCAGAGTCTCACGCACAAGATGCGTGCGCTGCGACTGATGAATGAGCGCATCCAAAGCGACTCGAAAGGCCAGCTGGATGGGACGATCTACGCTGTGGCGACGATGGCTGTTATCGAGGTATTTGGTTCCCCCAGTACTATCATACCGTTGCTAATGCCATGGAGAAATGGTCGAAGGACGCTTCGATCGAGCGCATGCATTTCAGAGGCCTGGCCTCCATGATACGGAACCGTGGGGGCATGCAAGGCATGCGTCAATCGAGCCCTTTCTTAGAAAAGGTTCTGTACTGGTATGGCCGGGCCGTCCACCGCCAGAAATAACCCCCGCTGACACTCTGCAGGGTGGACTTTAGCTGTGCCCCAAAGGCCATCGTCAGTACATCGCTACCATGGACCGGCAGCGTCCCCGACAGCTGTCCGTCTGGGTTCGACTTTCTTGTCCCAGACGCCCATCTCGCCATCCCGCATGGCCCCAACACGGCGGAAGGTAACGACAGCCTGTGCGAGCAGTACCGGGCATGCGAGGACTTTCTGCGCTTCTTCCGCCACCTCTACGCATTGGAGAGCGTGGTGTTGCAGTCCCCGCCGAACATATCATCCCCAACAACCAACCAGCGCGTCAAGCACTTCGTCCCGCAGACGCACCTCTATTCCATCCTCACCACCCTCCCCGACTACGACCACGGCATCCGCGACATCCGCTTCATCGACGAATACACAGGCATGGCCTGTCTCTTCTTCCTCGCCATCGTCCTCTACGAGTGCTACGAAACTTCCACCAACTTCGACCACTACCTCGAATGGCTCAACAGCGAAGTCACCAAACTGAATCCCCACACCAACCCGAGCATCACCTCCGTCCTATGGCTCTTCCTCAACAACGGCGGTCACCCCGAAGGCCACGCCGGCGATAACGGCGACCGCTGCTGGGTCGTCTCGCGCATGGTGCGCATCGCCAAGCGGCTGGAGTGGAAGCGGCACGGGGCGATCTGGGACCGGCTGCGGCAGGTGCTGATCGACCTGCTTCTCACGCAGCAGGAATGCGCCCTCGGGTCCGACTACGTCGACGACGACGCTCTGGCCGCCCGACTGCGTCGGCGTGCCGTAGCGGCAGAGTACTTCTGGGACGAGGACGAGATGCGCCAGGAGATTCTCGGCGTGGCGATCCCGCCCTCTCCGGCTGTGAATGTCCCCATCTTGACATAATCCCACTATAGGCACGACATGACCGTCTACGATCCGCGATGTGTAACGTGCGACGAGCGATGACTGTATTTTCTATCTACTTGACTTTGGCGGGCCAGTTCCCATGCGTTACGTCCATAATATGAACACATAATGCCATCGAAGAAAAACGTATCTGTATCTGCTCTGGTAGTGATATCCATAGACGATGCAACAGATACTCCGTATGAAACGACAGGACGGATCCAATCTAATCACATTGCTCTATTATACACATATATCACGTCATCTCAATTGGTGGGTATTGATTGCGTCTAAGGATTAAACGAAGCGAAAACGAAAGCAAATCAAGCCGCATATATCCATGACAACCTCCAAATATCATCCATGGCATCACTCAATCGTATAGATATGGCGGGCGGGAAACGAAATCAACAAAGCAGAGACGCTGCTATCACTTTCCATAGGGTACGTACGTATTCCACCAGTTCCCGTGGTATGGTATCAAGATCAAAAGAAAAGGACAAAGCTGGCAAATCGGCGGTATATCGGTCATGGGATTCGTGGGGCCGGGGGTGGGTTGGCCGTTGCGTTGCGTATGGATGGCGAGGGGGGCGCGCGCTGTACGTGCCCTCCCGCATCGCAGGCGACAAACGCTAGCTAGGTAGGCTTGTCGCATCCGATGCGGCCGAGGAGCGCCTTGCGGTCGCTCTGTTCGCCGAGGCGGACGCGGCCGCGGCCGCGGGCGCGCACCGTCGACGGGCCGTTGGCGCGGCGCCATTCGGCGGCGGCGACGTCGGCGGGCACAGCGCTGCCGTTGGCGCCGTCCTTGCCCGCGACGGCGGCGGCATCGACTGCAGCCTCTTCTTCTTCGTCGTCGCTGCGCGAGTCCTCGGCGTTGCCAGTGCGGAGGACGCCGATGGCGACGCGCACGATCATGGTGAACCAGATGAGGGAGAGGGTCTGCAGGGCGAGGAGGAAGGAGAGGAAGATCCACTTGATGGTGCGGTTCATGCAGATGGGGCCGTCGATGTTGAGGAAGGGGTAGAAGAGGTAGGTGAATTGGTCGGGGTAGCCGTCGGTGGAAATCATCTCGGCGGTGGTGCCCGAGTAGCAGCCGTAGAACATGGCCGCCGGCACGTTCTTGTAGATGGACCAGCAGAGCAGCGGGTAGAAGATGTGGCGGGAGATCAGCCAGCCGACCATGAAGATGACGAAGGCGGCCGTGCAGCATCGCTCGTATTTGAGGTACTTGAGGATTTTGGCGGTCTGTATACATTGTTAGCGTCGCTGGTCTCGCTGGTTGTGGGGTCGAGACGTACCGGCAGCAGGAGGTCGACGATGTCCATCAGGCACATCACCACGTTGGACACGTTATAGAAACCGTAGATATAGGCGGAGCCCAGGAGCGTGCTGGTGATGATGTGGTGGGTGAACATCTGGTAGTGGTCTTTCCGCGGCTCTTCGATGTTGATAACAAAGATTTGCTGCACCCAAAAGGCCAATTGCACCAGGAGGTACCATTTCAGGGTCCCGGACACGCCGCGCGCAGGCCATTCCGACCAGATGGCGCGGAAATCCATCCAATAGGGGGAGTTGGACCAGATATACTAGAGAAAGCAGAAGAGTTAGCGCTACGCATGTAACAGACATGCGAGGAGACGAGACGAGGACGGCGCACCATTCCAAAGGTCCAGAAGAACGCGTAGTACAGCCATTGCCAGCCCTGTTCAGCGAACCGGACAGAGGTCTTGCGCTTCAGGCCGCAGCGGCTGGCCACGGGGCGGAGGATCCAGTCGATGGTGATGGCGCGGATCGCGGTGAATGCGATGGCGGCGCTGGCGACGAAATAAACGTCATTCCACCCTTGGACGTAGACGCCTTGCGACGGCTGGTAGTACGACAATTCGAAAAATGGCGTGGTGTATGGGCGGAGCGATGGGTACAGGTGGTGGACGGCCAACAGCATGGACAGGGTGGTCAAGGAAATGCCTATAGATCGGCGAATGGTCAGCACGTGGCCTTTGCGAGCATTACCGCGGAAGGCGATTGAGTTGCTCTTTATTTGGGGGATCGCGATGGACCGGCAAAGACATACCGATTTGGTTTTGCACGACCCATTCACGGAACGTGGTTTCTTTGGCGGCCGGACGGTGGTGGCCATTGGAAGAGGAAACGCAGGCATTCAAATCCGAGACCGATTGCGCGGGCGACGAAACGTCCTTGGCCATGACGGAGATCTGAGAGGATCCCAGGTCCTGGGGTAGTGCTCAAGACCAATGGGAGAGGATCGAAGCGACGGAGGACGAAGTGGTTCCCGACCACTAGGTAGAGCCTAGGTAGAGCGAGCGGGACGAGTTGAGAGAGTCAAAGCGAGAGCGGAAGCGAGAAGGGCGGAGAGGTGGAGGACGGGATTATCGGGATTCGGTTGCGGGTACACACACTCGTGTCGGGATGTTGAGATTGTTGGGAGGACAGGAATGAGGACCAAGTGCCGGACTGGTCGTAGATTGTTGGGAGAGACGAGGACGGAGGAGGTGAAAGAAGGAGAGAGAAAAGGTGATTTTATGAACCCGGTGGATTTAATCCAGCATAAATCATAAGTAAACACAGAGGAAAATGCAAAGACCACCACCAGCGACGCGGAATATCCAGGGGCAAGGGAGATATCTCGATGCGAGAGAAGAGGACAGAAGGCATCAACAGAAGAAGAATCCCAAGACAGAAAAGATTGTGTTGGATCGTTTGATAACTGGAGTCGATGAGGGGACGGTGTTTGTTTCACGCGGGACGTCACTTACGTACCACGATACCTGCCCGGTACCTGTGAATTCCACCGCACCACCCTATTCTTCCCAGGTACCGGTGCGGTACCTCCTCACCGCCGACTCCAACCACCACCAACCCTAACAACAATCTCCAATCGAAGCGGCTCACCGTCTCACACGCTGTTCTGGTTCGTTCTCGAGGTTCATCGTGCTCGGTCGTCTGATCAGTTGGAGCCCTAAGCGATGCAGATCATCCCGATACTCCAGGTATACTTGTAAAGAATTCCCGGTGCAAATGGGTTTTTGGTAGTGGATAGGTTGCATCATCCAACGTACGAATAACCGTGCATCATACAGAGTGCAATAAGGACAATACGAATCATCAGCTTAGGTACGAACAATTACGAATCCAGGTTCACCCCGAGGATCGCTATCAGCGTAACCAAAGTTGTCCATCAACGCTTCCCCACCAACGCTCCCCTCATGACCCGCGTGGCTCGGCGCCACCACTCCCCCCAGTGCCCGTCTGGTCACTTTCCAGCCCAGCCGTCACTCCATTCACATACTGCGTCGCATTGACGCCCAGTTGCGCTAGATCCACGCCGCCCTGTCCGGCCATCGCCCGCGACATGGCTCGTACCACTTCTTCCTCTTCCCAGATGCTCCCGCCGCTGCGATCCTCCTCCCCGGCCACCACCGTGCGCCAGTAGGCATCGTCCCGCTCCTTCAGCACCTTGTCGCGCACCACGGCGTTGCGCGCCACGCTGGTTGCATGGAGCTTGGAGCTGGCCCCGGAGAGGGACGTCAGCGCCGCCGACACCAGCTGGTCGACCTGGTCCGCCTGCGACGGCGGCGCAAAGAAGAACCGCTGCGTCGCCGACACGTAGATTAGGCCCGCGCAGACGCTGTCGAAGACGGCGAACGCGAGCGGGCGCAGCAGCGTGATGCGATGGTACAGGCTGGCGGGGGGCGTCATGCCGGCGCGCACGGCCGCCGACGCCGACTGCACCGGGTCGTACGAAACCACCACATAGAGATCCAGGGCCGCGAGGACGAGGCCCGCCAGCGTGAACTTGTTGCGCCAGCTGGCGGCCTCGCGGCCGGCGAGCGGCGCCGAGGTCACCACGCCGAGAATGACCATGTGGACCAGATGCGGAATCAGCGTGTTGAACGGCAGGTAGTAGAGTAGGTAGGTGTTGACGCTGTCCAGCGAGCAGAACGGACAATCCGTCAAGGCCTTCGGTCCATAGCGTAGATACACTTTCCGGGCGCCCAGAGAGGTCAATTTCGAACGCAGTAAGGTATCCGCATCGGTCAGTCGGTTCCCTGGTCGGAATCGCGCCAGCCGGTTGAAGATCACATCGGTTGGGGTGTTGATGCGCGACCGCGTCAGGCTGAAGATGCTGGGGGCGGGGGCATGGGGGTTGAACGGGAGACTGAGAAGGAGGAACACGAGAATGGCGAGGAAGAGGATGTTCAACGCGCGGGAGGCATTGGTGGGAAGAGGGCGAGGCGTCGGTCGAGAAGCTAATGCCACGCGGAGACTGCGATAGAAGTTGATCGCCCGGGGGATGATGACGGGGGCGAAGAAGATGAGGAGCGACTTGATGCTGGCGTATGTCAGTAGATCTGCCATGTCTATCGAGGGCATACTTACGTTTGAAACGAAATTCCGAGGTCACCCATCTTCCCAGCAGGTCGACATTACTGAACTGAAGGCAATGGGGACAACAAAGACAAAATGACGGAGAAGGTGTAATCTTATCGGCCCCTGGCGCCAAGACATCCACTCGCTACCAGTCAACTACCTACTATCCTACTACTATATATCTGATATTATCTACGAACAATATCATTTTACAGGGTATCTGGAGGGACCACCTTTTGCCAACATTTCGAATCTCCTTCCCCTGGAGAATCGTGTGAATCTAGAACGCATAATTTCTAGCAGGCGAGCGTCAGTCGCATAATACCCAACTCCAATCCACACAAAGAGATGCCACCGTAAACGGGCCATTAAACCCCAGTCCTGAGGAAAGTGGAAATTGTACATGGCTGCGTACTCGAAGGCAACAGGATAAAACCCCGCCAAATCCCAGTCCAGGAGCGAGAGCTGACCAGACGGAGAAACTAGAAGGTTGCGAGGCGCAAGATCATGATGAGTCAAGACGAATGGCTCGATGGTCATTGGCACTCCCACAGTAGAATCTGGCGAGTCTGATACTTGAGGCTGCTTCGAATCTTGAATCGCTCGCCGCATAGACGTAAAGTTCGTCCAGAATCGGAAGAAGTGGGCAATTTCACCTGGGCCAGAATTCGCCGGAAGACCGTAGCCATCTTCGAGGTAAAAAGACCTGCATTCGCCTGTCGTGAGGGATCCGGCCGTTGGTGAAGTAATAGATCTGAGGGTTTTTACGAAGCGGCGAAGCTGCAGACCAAGCTTGACTGTCATGAACCAGCCCAGATCTCTCCAAGCGCCGTCCAATGTAGTGCCCTCGATGCGATCCATAATCATGTAAGTATTGCGCCCGTTTTCGATTGTTCTTCGTACGCAATGACCGCGAATCCCAAGCTGGCTGGCGACTTCAGTGGCCTTCAGAGCATCTTCAAGCTCTGAAGGCTCATAATGCTTGGCTATGAGATTCGAGGAGAGGTGAAATACCCGAGAACTGGACGCGCACTGTGATGAGCTAGTTCCAAGTCTGTATACCCCTCTAGCTGCTCTTCAACAAAGGCTACCGTCATTCTTGCGGCGAGATACGGAGAAGGGGTGATGAAGAAGCTCATCCTGAGACACTTGTTCGCTTCCAGTCAAAGCGAATTCGGGATTATTGATGTTCCGTCGCAGCGGCTTCGCCAGACAGTTCCCCGATACTTTAGACCAAATAGACACTGTAGGTGAAGAGGGGTTGTAGAACGTTCGTACAAGGGACCAATGTAGAGGGCGTTTTGAGAGCCTTTCTCAGAAGTACCATTACGAAGTCAGATATAACTGATCACATAAAACGCTATCGTAAGTACACCCTGGCAAATTAAATCGTAACTCCGTGCACCCCAGCTAATCCATGACCAAAAAGTACAACAGAGACAAAACTACACATGTCCGGAGTGCATCGCGGGATGATGTGCGGGATTGGGCATCGGCACTCCAGACGAGTCTCGTGAGTACTTGGACGACGCAGCATCGTTCGGATTAAATGGCCCCGAAATCTTCAACGGAAATCGAGTCATGCTCCGCATGGACGTCGGTCTTCTCACGGGCGACGGTGCGCTGTATGTCGGGAGAGAATCTTCTCGCTTGAGGCCGAGCTGGAGCGACCGTTGACTGCCGGTGCGGGAGACCACTTTCTGGGGGGCCACCGCACCATACACTCGAACATGGCGGGCTGTCACGCCGGTCCCACGGTCTGCAAAGACAAAACTCTGAGAACACTGTCAGTTCCAGTTGCCATTCTGGCAGTGGGAAGCACTCACCGCGATTAGATTGACCACACTCATCACCATGGCCAAGATGCCAGCGGAGAGCACGATTCTCCAAAAGGCAAGGCCCAGCTTGTCCTGACTTGTGGCCGGAGTATTCAGATCGCCCAGGATTCCCACCCCCATGATCATCATCGCCAACGCCAACATGATGAAGCCGGAGTCCTGGCCCAAGAGCGGCCAGTTGCGATCAAAGTATCCACGGAAGAAGGGCAGTTCAGATATGATGAGGAATACTGTTCCAACAACGGCTGGTTAGTCACTAAGCAACGCCAGAAGGTCTCGAATCACTTACTGCTGACTCCCGCCGTTATAGCATGGGAAACGGCCTCGAAAAAGAAGAAGCTGCTCTGCAGCGAGATCTTCACCAGCATCACTGCGCAGGCAGCGATGATATCCAGAAAAGCGATGATGTTCAGAACCCGGATGGCATTGAGGATCACGAAACCGGGACCAGCCAGGGATTCTTTCAGTGAAGCCATCATGGCTTTGGCTCTTATGCAACGAATGTATACAGCGCCGATCTCAGTCGCAACGCGGTGATGAAATGAGCTTTGGGTTTCTTTGAAGCTGCGGGAGACTCGGTTTGCTTCCAAGAGACTGGTTAAATAGAGAGTGGAAAGGGCTAGATGAATGGAAATGACTGGCCAGCAGATGATCTATGGAAGCAGACGACAATAAAGAAATGAAGAAGGAATGATGAGGTCAACTCGGGGTTAAAGAAAGAACGGGTTAACAATGAGAAGAAAGGAAAGCGGCGATAAAGCGCAATTATTGAGAATGACCGTATAGTCGAGAAGAAGGAGCCCAACAGACCAGGAAACCCATGGGCACAATAAAAGAACCTGATCCTGAAACACGTATCGAAGCGAAGGATCGATTATTGTCCATTCATTAGGCGCTGGGATCTTTTTTATAGATCATTGTCCTATTCAGGCTGGTTTCATTGTGGCCGGCGCCTACGCCCAACACGAGGTGGGATGTATTCAGCATCGCTTGACGCATTCGAGACCAGTAACACATGATGGGTTCTTGGGTATGGAGGGCGATAGCAAACTGTCTCCAGACGATGGAGGTGGTCACAGCTGGAAGCCGGGGAAGTCCAGGGACTGGTTGAGACTGTTCGATGTAAATCACTAGCCGCCGGTCTTGAAACCTCCGTTGTCTGCAGGATACCAGGTCTTGAGGATCGCACTGAGAATTGTTGCTCTCATTAGAGGCCCAAATCATCTGTGTAAGCGCCGACTGGTGCAGTTTGAGATAAGTGTAACTTGGTATGCTTATGGCGGAGCTGAGGTGAACTCTGCGGCAAAAGTCGAAGCTTAGGGCTAGTCGGGCCCTTATCTCTATGGGACATCTACCAGGTGCAGGTGGAGATATATACCCGGTAGAGATATATATCCAGGGCCATCCTGTCTCGCGTCGATGCCAACGATTCCAGCTCAATTAGATGCCTCAATACCGTTACACAACATGAGTGCGCCAATCATGAATCAAACCTGAGCAGTCTATACCTACATCCATGTTCTACATAGTTGAGTTGTGATGCTATTCCCGTTCCCGTCTGTACAAAGAGACAGACCGAAAGAATATTTCCCCTCGACAATATATGTCCTCCAGTTAACAGTAAAATAGACAAGTCTATACCAGAATATGTATACACTTTTATTCCTGTAAAATAGGTCTGTGAAGTAGATAGCGGAATACTCAAGACGGCAATCCGAGCCGGCGCAGCGGCTCGAGGCTTTAAAGGGAGCGGCAAAAAACATCTGGGGAATCTGAAGTTTTTCCCCGCCGGCTTCTTTCTTTCCATTGCATTCCAACCCCATCTCACGGCCTTCTGCGCATCCTCACCCACCACTTTCATTCTTTCACTCATACTTTCACTAATCTTAGACGTGCAACTCCCTCCTCCACTCCTTAGCCATCATGACTCGTGGAAACCAAAGAGAAAAGGCCCGGGCCAAGAACCTGAAGCAGCAGAAAGAACAAAACGTAAGCAACCCCCCCTTTTCACGCGTGCTCCTTTCCGACTCACACTGATCTCGCATGCAGAAACACAAGACCACTATGTCCGGATCCCAGTTCCAGCGCGCAAAGGAGGATGCCGCGGCCATCATGCGCGAAAAGCAACGACTGGGTATGTCTTCTCCTTTGGCCCCTGCGACCCTGACCCTGACCCTGTCTTTGGCCCTATCGCCCAGTGCACTGCTGACCTGTCTTGTTTACAGCCGACGAGCGACGCGCGGCAGAAGCGGCGAAAAAGAAATAGCCTCACAGAGGCCTTTCGTGTCCAACTCGAAATTTGTCAACTTATATCCAAGGCTCTACTTTCCTCGTGCCTCCATCGTATTATACCAGTGGCGGGACGTTGATTTGGAGTGATCATAAAGACAATAGGCAATTGGGCCGTCGCAGTTGGATCGCGGGGGCTGGCCGAACCTGCAATGCGACAGTTGGGCAGTGACGGGATACCGGAGGATAGGATGAAGGAGTCATCGGCGCATGTTATGAGACTACGGTATTATCGAGGCGTTCATCCAAGTAGCGTGTCTATTGATTTTTCTTACTTAATTCTGGTGGAACCGGGGGTTCCTTGGGTACATAAATCACGGGGGTATCAACAATACAGAGGTTGAAGCAGGTTCTCGACCTGCCATGCACGACGCGAACGCCGATACCATGGACGTTTCATCGGTTCGCTGTCCAATAAGCCTTCGCCATGGCTAGCCAGCCCTTCCATCCGGTCCCTGGCTTCGCAGCATCCTCGCTACTGGCGTTATGAGCCGGACACAGTTCATTCTTGACGGGTAAAAAGAGATCGAATGCGCAGACAGCCAGGTCCACGAACGTCCAGAGACTCTCGCCTTCCCATCCAACATCTCGCGCAAAGCACACCACCTTGCGAACGGTGTCTGTCCGTAGGGTGGGATCTGGGACAGTTCCTAACAGGTATAAAAGGAACATCCAACCAGAGATGTCGGTCGTATGCGCCAGGCACCAGGTCAACGTAGGATCGACAGCCCGACGACCGAGCTGAAGATAACAATCGCACAAATTGTCCGTGCCCAACGAGAGAACATCGTGGAGTTCTCGAATGTAACTAAATGCATAATAGTTGCGCGGGTGGAGCTCTCCGGCGCGCAAAACAGTAGTAAGCTCCTGCTCCCAGAGCTCGGCAGTAGCCTCGCAATCTGGTGTCTGAGGTGCACCCGATGTCCCTCCAGACCTCCGGATGAAGAGCAGGTGCTTCAGGACCCAGAGCCGATGCTCCCACAGCGTGGGAGACTTGGTATGTCGTCGTAGCGGAGAACACACATAGGTCGTCATGAGCGTGAGTTCCGAATGAAGGAGACTGATGAGCGCCTCTCGACTTGCGGGGTTGGTCAACCCGAGGCTTTGCATCATGTCACGTAGTCGTTTCTTACGCCAATTGCACGCCGTAGTATGTTCACAGTCGAACAGCAAGATGATCTCCGAAGACACGGAGAGGTCGTCAAGACGGTTGTCCGACTCTGGACTTTTATTTGAGGGACTAGATCCCGAAATCAGAACCGAATCCGAGAAGAAAATCTTCCTGGCAGCCACAAAAGCCTGCGCCATGTACTTTTTCGTGATCCCTATCGAACACCCATCTTGCAGGAGTGGCCCAAGAGCCGGGGGAAGGATCTCGAACTCGAGAATCCGACCGTTCCTGTTGCGGAAAATCTGGGCGAGCTCAGTAAATGCAGCGTTGGGACCGGACATCGAGAGCTAAGCCAGCATGTGCGACATTGAATGCATCGATTGATCATCTGTGGTAAACAGTCGCGGGGAGAAAAAGGCCCGGCGGGCGGAAAGACCAACAACGTCATTTCGATCACGGGTGTTGTTCGTCCCGTAGGACCGCATCACAGCTACGATTCTCTCTTTGCTCCCGTCGCTGGCTCCCAATTGTCGTCGTCAGCCCAAGGATCACCTAAAGACCGGGCATTTTACGTTCAGCATCGAGGGTCTTTTTGACCCCTCCTACCTTCGACTCGTGCGGTGAAATTCTGACCAGACCGCACCTCGTCCGTACCATCTCACCATGTTGTCCCTCATCTGGACGGTTTTCTTCGTCCATGTCGCTATATATCTGATCAATACCATCGGAGCCAGCACGATCGACGGTCTGGTACGTCGCGCGCAACCTGTCCTCTTGCTTGCCCCTCCCACGCGCTGGGCCGTTTCTCGAGACCAACGTGCTAACAAGCCCAGTTATGGCTTCTGTATCTGAAACTCCCGACGTCGACATCGAAATGCGCCCAGGAACAAACCCGGCTCAAACGCGAGGTCGTCCAACTAAAGCGAGAGATGAACAACACGAGTTCGCAGGACGAGTTTGCAAAGTGGGCTAAGATCCGCAGACGGCACGACAAGACAATGGAAGAATACGAGAAGATCAGTACGATTGCTCTCCTTCTCCTTAGAGATACTGGTAGGAATGAAAGCTGACAGCTGCCGAAACAGACAAGACCCTCAACGCGCAGAAAACGTCCTTCGACTGGAGCGTCAAAATCGCCCGATGGCTCAGCACGAACGGCCTCAAGATCTTCCTGCAGTTCTGGTACTCGAAAACCCCCGTCTTCGCCCTCCCACAAGCCTGGTTCCCCTACTACGTCGAATGGGTCCTATCCTTCCCGCGGGCGCCCATGGGATCGGTGAGCATCCAGGTCTGGAGCAACGTGTGTGCTACGGCGATTTCGGTGCTCGCAGAGATTGTCACTGCAGCTTTTATGCAGATGGCAAGCAGGACGGCTGTCCCGGTTGCAGCAGAGGATAAAAAGGAGCTATGAGTACGGGCAAGTTGTGTCCATTACGAAAAGGAGTCTGGCTAGGAAGAAAGGATAGAAATTGAACATGATTTTTCTTAATTCAAGATACGATAATGCGGTAAAGGGTGTAGTGTTCGTCAGATATTGAAAACAATCGTTTATCGTCAATAATCCCTACATAGTAGGGATCTCAGGGCTTGACTCTATGATTGGTATATCATCACGCGAACACGCAGAAGCGAGGGAGAAGAGTATCTATCAGTGGGAGTCCGACCCCTTCGACAGGGCATCTGTGACACAAGTCACCGCTTTCCATAAGCTACAGACTCTTAAAAAAAAGGGTAGATGAACTCCTCGCCTCGAGAATGAGCCCCGTTGGGTTACCCAGTCCAATGACCGGGCAATCGCATGACTATTGAACCACGACGAATGGCAACCCGATAAACCTCTCTCCGACGCCAGCCATACCACCATTGTTTCCACCGAGGTGTCGGGCAGGGCGTGAGCGCCGGGAGAGAATAGGGCAGTCAGCCGCTGTCAAATTGCTTCTATGGCGGCGCGTTTCCGCATTGCCTGACCGGAATAGAGGGTCAGGATGTCCGGGGACTTTCCCCAAAGCTTGGCCTCTCCTCGGAAGAAGAGAGAGAGCATCCTAGAAGGCGTACTCTGTGTGTGAGCTTTGAATGCGATCCTTTGAGCGAGGAGTTGGGAGAAAGAAGGAAGAAAACTTCGGGGCGGAATTTCGCTGGTTTTTTTCTTCGCTCGGTTGGATCAGGCGGAGCTAGTCCTTTTAAGGATTAGTATATCATGTGATTATTTATATATATGCCTGTTTTGTAAGGCATCAACATTCGATCTATGTACGGAGTACATAGTTCTGCGTCTACATAATGTAAAGTGAGGCTCGATTTGCAAGTCCGTATATTGATAGAAAGCGCACACTACAATCTGGCTTACAGATAGAATAAGGTAGTAAGAAAGTGATACTCGCAATATTGTGTCTAATACAAATCTTCACCTAACCGATCTTATTTCTTTCCCTTGCCCGCCTTCTTCGCCTTCGCACCAGCCTTGGTGGCAGGAGAAGCAGTCACTTCACTCGCGCCCTTCTTAGGCGTGGGCTGCTTTGGTGTGCCCTTCTCAGAGCCAGCCTTCTTCTCCTTCTTCGACTTCTTCGGGGTATCCTCAGCATCCTTGGTCTCCTTGGGCTCCTTGGGGGCCTCAATAGCCTTGGGGGCTTCCTCAGCCGGGGCCTCCTGGCTAGCTTCAATTGCCTTGGGCTCCTCCTGAACGGGAACGTCTTCCACACTCTTCAGCTGGGGCATTTCGAACTCGTATCCCAGAGCCTTGAGCTTCTCGGCTTTGGCAAGTCGCCGCTTCTGCTCGCGCTCGATGCGCTCGGTCCACTGTTCTCTCGTCTTTCCCTTGTCAAGTCGCTTCTTTTCGATCCGGTTCCAGGGAGTGCGCTTGAACCGTCTGTTGGCACCCTTCCAGATCTCCGGGTGCAGCTGCTCCTGCGGCACGTACTTGCACTTCAGGATGTGACCGTACATGAGATAGTTGTCCATCGTACCGGCGACAATCTTAGCGACCGACGTGGAGGCAAACTCGATGAAGGCGTAGTGTTTCGAGCGACCGGTGATACGGTTGCGGGAGAGACGCAGACGGGTGATATCACCGAACTGAGAGAAGTACGCACGCATCTGATGTTCGTAGAAACCGTGGGGAATACGTCTGCAGGGCTGTTAATGCTGATACTGAAACATCAGTGCGCGAGAGCGACATACCCAACATATACAACACCCGGCTGCTCAGACTCTGTCTTGTGCTCCTTCTGCTTCTTCAAGATCTTGCGTTTCGTCTTCTTCGAATCGGGGATCTTAGGGACAGGCTGATCGGGGTCAAAGCCTTCGTCGCCAGACTCGTCTTCATCACCGCTGCTCTCGAAACCCTTGATGAGCGCAACGGTCTGGTCGTCCTCCTCATCCTCACTCTCACTAGCGCCATTGGCAGGGGTCTCATCGGACTCCTCCGCAGCAGCCTTCTTTCCTTTGGTGTTTGCTTTGGAGATGCTCTGGAGCTTGGGTGCCTTGGCTTTAGGCGCGGGAGCGGCAGTGCCATCCTCCTTCTTGGACTTCTTGTTGCTCGACTTCTTGTCGGTCTCAGCCTTGGACTCCTTCACATTCACTTCGGGCTCGCTCTCCTCGTCGTCGCTGAGGAAATCGGCCGCACGCTTGCGAGGCTTGATCTGCCGGGCCGGTTCGCCATTGACCTTCACGTTCGGGGCGGGCTTCTCCTCTGCCTTTGCGGCCTTGTCCTTGCCCTTCTTCGGAGCCGGTTTGGCGGCCGGCTTGGGGGATTCGACGGGCTTCGCGTCGACCTTCTTGGTCTTCTTTGCGGGCGAGTCGGAGGCAGCGGCGGCCGCAGCAGCTGTCAACGGTTAGAACCAACATAATGAGACACTTATTCGGGAGTAGTGAATATCATACCCTTGCGCTTCTTGTCCTTCTTATCAGGGGCCATTTTTAAATGGTAATTGAAATTGCAGGCCCTGGTTAAGCACTGCAGTCTGATCTTTGGTTAGCAAAAAAAGATGCGGGAGACTTTTTTTTTGCGCCTACTTTTTTTTCTTCCCGCAACGCCAAGACCGCAACCTACCGTCTGACCGCCTTAGCTCCGGAACATCAAAACACCCCAGTTCTATATTGCTCAGGATTCCATTCTCCGCTCTCGTTGGGTTCACGTCACAGTACATGCCATGGGGAAGAACAAGAATGCGACCAAGCCGCTGACACAGGAGGAAATCTGGGATGATTCCGCGCTGGTGCAGAGCTGGGATGAGGCCGTGGAAGAATACAAAGTACGTGGGAACGAATGTCCCATCGCACGTGATTCCCAGCTGATCATGATGAACAGCTCTATCATAGCATCCATGCTCGCGGCGAGAATGTCGAGGATGTCCTGAGGGAAGCCGAAGCCGCTGAGCTCGAGAAGTCGCAGGATCAGGAAGAAGAGCCGGAAGTGGATTCCAAAGACGCCATGGAAGCTGATGTGGAACCACCAGCGACGGCACCCCAGACTTCTCACCTTACAGCCCCTCAGGTATGTGTGCAGAAGACAGTTATGTGACTATTTCAATTGTTCTGACTTTGTTTAGACTGCTGGAGAGTCTGCGCCGCCCATTGGAGCCCACGCTGGCGGGCCTAGTATGGGATCCGCCGTGCCTCAAGTAGCGCTGGCACAAGGTATGCACTCTCTGCCCCTGAAGGTAGAATTGGCTGACATATCATAGTTCAAGATGAAGGGCTGAAGAATCTTATGATGGCCTGGTACTATGCGGGATATTATACTGGCCTGTATGAGGGGCAGCAAAGGGCCAACAATACCAATCCTAATCAACCAGGGAATTGATAAGGCTTTCTTGGAACCGGAAGGACAGTTCATCATCAAATACATGCACTAATTACCAGGCCACCTTTCAGTCTCGCCTCGCAATGACATGATCAGCAACTGCAGGACTCAGCGGACGCCCCGAGCATGCTACTAGTGGGGGGAGGTCAGAATTGCTTCAGTTTGTGAGGCCTTGGGCCGGATGAAGAGCCAGGAACGTACGACCTCCGTGCTGGGTGTGTTGAGGCCATTTGACTTACTGCACCCACAATGCTCTGGAATTATCACGTCTGGTGTGTGTATTCGTTTCATTAGCCGTTGGACACCGTCATGTGAAGTCTTTGAGGCTCATACTCCTACGAAGGATCTCTATTTCGGCGTGTGACTTCCACAGTCCACTTCATTGGAAATATAACGATGCCAGCGCTATGTTCTATAACGCCTTACAATACCTGGACCCTGAACATATCTGTATCTGAACCACATTATGACAGATCGTCTCTCCGCATCCCCACACCTTCAAGTGCATAGACCCCGAGCTCAGGTTTGTAGTGTCACGTCTGACAGGCTTCCAGTCAGGCGAAGGAAGATCAAATCCGCATCGATGCACCAAGGACGCCAACAGGACCGTCTGCTCGACGTAGCTGATGTTCCGGCCAATGCAACATCTGGCCTTCATCCAAGCCCAGGAGGCGTCAGCGCTCTCCTCTCCCGGACTCCGCCAGGCCGCATTCTGTGTCGGTTTCCGACAAGAGTTCCACCTGGCGCTCTTCCAGCAGCGCCCTTTCAGCCTGCCGCTAGACATCTACGACAGCTACCGTCTGTGGCGCCACAGACGGCGCCGGACCGCGTGTGGATCAACCATCTCCTGATAATCTGCGCAATGGCTATACAGTACTGTTACGGCCGCTCGCAGAACACCCCCCGATACGAGGAGATCGTCGCGCGTCGCAGCCAATGGCTCAAGTGCTGTCTGCCATCGTTCTCGCCGGTATATTTCGAAGCAGCAGACCACGCAGCCGGCGGGCTCTTCCCCAAGATGTGGTATCTCGACGACTGCCACACTGTGGCCGCGCAGAACGTCGGGCTCATGGACATCCTCCTCGCGGCGTATGGCCCGCAGATGGCGCACCTCGGCCCCAGCCACACGCTAGCGTTGTCGTCCATCGATGCGTCGATCAAGTCTACCGTGCTGGAGATCTGCGGCGCGGGGTTGTCCAATAGACAGTCGCCCATTGCGCTGCTGACGGCGTCGATTGCTATCGCTATCTGTGGAGAGTGGTTCACGAACCGCCCGGAGCAGCAGGCCTTGATGTCCATTCTGGTGAGCATGAGTCAGGACAATAACTACTGGCTGTCCCAGGCAATGCAAGAGCGGCTTAAGCGGACATGGGCGTGGGGCCGCGTGATCAGCCAAGGAAACACTGTAAGGCACGTCTTGACAGTCTTGGAGCCATACTACGAAGAATCCAATCTACGATTCGAAACTACCCAGAACGAATGATTTTATTAAAAGCTGACATCACATGTCGAGACCAGAGCAATATGAATCAAGGAATGAAAGCGGTGGGCTATGCTGTCATCCATACAGGACAATGACTAAAAGAATGAATCACCAACCATCCAGGCCTCATGCACTGCTTTACAGACCCAACTTGCCAAGCAGGTTGCCCGCAATGGGCAGGCTGCCGAGGAGGCCCTTCTTGGTTGGCGTGGGGGTGGGAACGGCCGCGGCGGTGGGCGAGGGCGTCACGGTGGGAGTCGGGGTGGAGGTAGGAGAGGGGATGGCGGAATGGGGCTTCTCCTCCTTGTGCTCTTCGGCGGGCTCCTCAGTAGGCTTCTCCTCCTTGGGCTTCTCGTCCTTGGGCTTCTCTTCAGGCTTGTCCTCGGGCTTGGGAGCAGGAGTCTCCGCATCCTCATCATGATGCGGCTTCTCGACGTGAACGTCGACAGGCCCATCAGCCTTCTTGTCGTTGTCCTTGGACGGCTTCTGCTCCTCGGAGTCGTCGTCCTCACCGTCCTGCTTGTGGTGGGCCTTGGCGACCTCCTCGGGCGTGGGCGGGATCTCGGGGAGCTTCTGCTTGTTGTCGGACTCGTGGGAGCCCTGGGTGCCGTAGAGCTCGTCCTTGCCGTGGTCGCCGTCGTGCGCCTCCTGCAGCTCCTTCGTCTTTTGATCGATGTCATCGTTGATCTCGTCCATCATGTGGGAGGAGGACTGCGCGGGTCAGCTTGTTGATCCGTTCACTTCGAGACGATATACACTCACGCTCAGAGCATGGGCTTCGAATTCCACCCACGGGTCCATCATCTGGTCCTGGCCGTCGTCCTGCTGCACAGGGAGGGCGCGGGCGGACACGGCGAGGAAGAAGGCCACGGCCCAGATGGACATGCTTAGACGGGCCATTTTGTCGGTGTGTGATGAGGGTGATGATATAGGGTAAGCTAAACTGCGAACTATGGACAAAGGAGCGGACGGATTCGACAGGATGTCAAGGACTGGCCAGAAGTGGAGAGTAAAAGAAAGAACGACGGTGAAGAGAAAGCGCGTGGGAGAAGAGGACCGGCTGGCGAGCTGGAATGTCCTGATTCTTTATACCCCAGCACCAGGGATGCAGGCTGAAGCCTCCTCCGGGCATGCTCTGGTATGTGCGTTGGCAACACACCATAGAAAGTTCAGGGGACTCGAACGAGGAATGCACATTGTCGCGGACAGCTACACATTCTCTATCGCGCGCCGTCTTACGTGTGTGGTTTTTCGGGAGCAATGCAGGCATGATGAGCAAGGAGGCATGCCATCCACCCGCGTCAACGGGCGTTTAAGCATTCTCCCAGCGAGAAGATATGTAGATCGCCTGGCTCCGTTGCCCGGAGCATTTTCGCAGGGCTTGATCAACGACGGGATGCACAGTTGAGACAAGGATCTACGACAGGGGCATGAACCAGGGACGAGAAGTATTACAGCTGCCGCGACACGCTGGATCCCAATCGCGCTGCATACATAGAGCGATATCGTCCGCTAAGCATCAATAGACGGTCGAGATGGACAAGCTCGAACAGGCATGAACAGGTATGCGATGTCAATCGAGCAGCAATACGTAGTCGAGCGCACACCGTCGCCTGTCATAGAACGACAGCATGATAACGACACTCATCTATATGCCTACAGGATAGTTAACTAGGAATGTCTCTCCCTGCTTTGACACGTACCGCCTCATCTGGATTGATAGCGGACGCAACACGAGGGAGACAGCAATGCGGACAAGTCCACGGATTTTGCTCTCGGCACGATTTTGACCTCGAATATCATGGAGATATGATCAACGAGACTTCGAAAATGCCTGAGTTGTTGACTCGCTATTTGGGTTGGTTCTATTTACTTTGGTTTCCTGCGGTTCATCGTCAATGTCCTGTAGAGTTAGTGGGTGAGCAACGGAGTCGAGTACATTGCAGGAAGATCATCTTCTTCCGCGTCAATTCCAGTGAGCCAGATTGACTTGAGACATGGGGATGGTTTACGATCCCTCGCCTGCAGGGGCATTTGCAAGGCAAGGCATTCAAAAGCAATTGAGGGCAAGGGAGTGTATGCTCAAAGCGAACCCAACGGCCTCGTGAGGACAGTAACCGCCCGGATGGCAGGCGATGGGATTAGAACGAGCATGCGAAAAATCGCTCTCGGTCTCGGATCTAAATTTGTAGACAGAACGGGAGCGTTGCCATCAACAAGGGTATGTTGGAGACCTGAAGATGAGAAAGAGAAAAAAAAAAGGGAGACGAAGGGAGAAAATAAACAGATTTTTATGCGGTGGAGCTGCGGTGGGTTATGTAAGCCCGTCGGGAGAATGTCTTTCCGTCTACCAACTCCTCCGTATTGTACTCTACAACAAAAGTCGGATTCCATCTGCACGCAGTCTAATTGCATTGGCATGGCGCTATCAAATTAACAGGGAATATGGTACTGGAACTATATGGGGTCGCAAACATTCTTTCGGCATCGCATCCATCACGCATCGCATCAACCCATCCACTGCTTAGAACCGGGCCAGCACTCGCTCCTGGGTATCCGACAGAGCGTACTCTGAGCTGGCCTTCTTGCTCATCACCGACCGCGCCTGCTCGGCAGTGAACCCCTTGGCCTCCACGGCCGGGTTGTATCCCAGACCGGTGATCTTGGCCACCACATCGCTCGGCACCGGCACCGCGACCTTTCCGTCCGCGCGCTTGTACACCGTGACGACGACGGCACCGCCGAGACCCAGGTTGTGCTGCAGGCAGGCGTCGGTGCCCTCCACGGCACGGTTGTTGGCCCAGCCACGCAGGTGCCAGACCAGCTCGGCACACTGAGCGAGACCGGTGGCGCCTAGGGGATGACCCTTGGAGATCAGACCACCGGAGGGGTTGATGACCATCTTGCCTCCATAGGTGATGTCTCCCTTGCGGACCATCTCGTGCGCCTTACCAGGTTCGCACAACTCCAGGGCGTCGATGGTGATCATCTCGTTGGCAGAGAAGCAGTCGTGCAGCTCGCACACCTTGATGTCCTTGGGGCTCACACCCGCTTCCTTGGTTGCGGCACGGCAGGCAGCTCGGGACATGCCGAAGCCCATGAGGTCAATGGAGCTGCGGTTGTAGAGGGTGCTGTTATCCGTGGCGAGCTGCTGGCCGGCGATGAGAATGGCCTGATCCTTGAGGTGGGGCCGGGCATCCAGGAACTCCTGGGAGACCACAACGGCGGCAGCAGCGCCATCGGAGGTGGGGCAGCACTGCAACTTGGTGAGAGGTTCGTGGATCATGGGAGCCTTCATGACCTGCTCCAGGGTATATTCGGTCTGGAACTGCGAGTAGGGGTTGCGCTTGGAGTGCTCGTGGTTGATGCGACCGATCTCGGCGAAATCTTCGTTCTTAGCGCCGTACCTGGGTCCGATACGTTAGCAGTCGTCATTTCCAACAGCAGAAAGGGCGAACCTACTTCTCCATGTATTCACGACCAGCATTGCCGAACATCTGCGCCGCGCCGGGGGCGTTGGTGACACCACGAGTCTCGGCCATCATCATACCGAACAGACCGGTGGGGTTCTCCCGGTCGTTGTAGACGGACTGGAGACTTCCCGGGTTCATCTTCTCGAACCCGACGACGAGGACACAATCGGCGGCACCGTGGGAGACCATGGTGCGGGCCATGGCGAGACCCGTCGAACCGGTGGAGCAGTTGTTGTTGACGTTGTAGATGGGGATCTGGGTCAGACCGAACTGGTAGAAGACGCGCTGACCGCAGGTGCTGTCACCGTAGACGTAGCAAGCCACACCCTGGTCGACATCGTCGTAGTTGATGTGAGCATCCAGCATGGCCTTGATACCGGCCTCATAACCGAGCTCATGGTAGTCGACCTTGCCACGAGGCTTGATGAACTTGGTCATGCCCACGCCAAGGACGTAGGCGGGAGACGCTTGCTTCTTACCCATTGTGAAGAGGTGAGTGTGGCGATCGGAGGAGAAATGGAGAGCGAGTAAGTGAGAGGGTGTATAGAGATAGAGAGGAGCGACAAAGGGGAAAGGGGAAGTAGTTATATAGGTCAGTGCATGAAAGCGGTTAGGAGCGCATGATTATTTTGCGGAGAGGGTTGGCAGCAAATGGCGGTTCCTGCGGGGATGCCGCGACCGAGGTCCCGAGGATAACACCACAGCACTATGGACTTATGCAGGCCATATGAAGGGATTAGTTTAGTCCCCCGCTAACCAAAACAAGAGGATTTTGCGAACATTGGAGTTGGATCGCCATTGTCTTATCACACGTGAAGGAAGCCTGGACATAGCCTAGGTCATCCCCGCCAGCCAGGGTCCGAGGACGACGGTTAGCTGTCTCCGTTTTGTGAGTATTCTCTTCAGTTTCTGATCGCCATCGAGAAGCCATGAAAGTTGATTGATCGGATAGGACTCGGCTCCTCGGGCCTTTTCGTCGCTCGGTCTGTACAACCGGTATCGGGCGGAAATACTGAGTAGATAAAGGGAGAGAACGAGCCGGTTCCAGCTCCTATTTTCAATCCACCACCGTGGTTTATTACGACACCAGTCTCTCGTCGACTAGTGGGACCGGTTGAGACCCATGGTTCGTTGGGAAAGAAGAGTTTCTATTCCGTCCTCCATCAGATGAGATCTTTCCGCCGCCTCTCCAAATCATGTAGCATTGTTTTTCGATGGAAGATGAACTTTGGACGGGAGAATGATAGACATTCTTTCGGTGCATGGGTGGCAGACTGGCAGAAGCCCCTCCTCCTCCTCCTCAGTCATCGAGGAGAGCCATACGAAAGGAAACCGATCCGTCAATACAGAGGATCATGGACGATTCCGCGTCGGACCAACAATGTTCCTGCGAAAGTTCACCACGCGCCAAATGAGGTGTCTTGAAGTCCAATAGGAAGGAGTCGCGGGTACTACCACCGCCCGGACTGGGTTGGTCCGACGTATCTGCACGTTAACTTGTCACAGCGGGCATTGCGTTCATGAGAGATGCGGGTGGAGTAGAATTGGAGATCACGGAGCTGCCTCTCATGTCAGGAGCCAAGGGAAGGTGAAGTTGTATACTTGTAGTGCTGTAGTCGATATCGAAGCAGAGGAGTAAATAGTCAAGTACTGCTAGGTGTCCCACAGCTCGATGGCTCACGACGACGTCACTGGGTGGACAGGCTAGGCTGATTCGGGGAGGATCCGCCCACCCACATGCCTTTTACCTCACAAGCATGACTGACTAAGTCACGATCTTCTCTTGTCTCGTCCTCTCTCTCTCCTCTCCTCTTCTCTTCCTCCTCTCGTCGTCCTGCTTCTGTCTGCCTCTCCCGCCATTGGGGCTTCGCTCACCTCGCTCCCTCTTCTCTCCTCTAATTCTCGAGTAGAGGTCGGTCTTTCCTGGGTGGTAGGTGTCCCCCTCGTTTGCATTTGATGTCGTTCCCTTGGGCACCATCACTGGTGTTCGTTTCCCCTCTTTACCAAACGTCAAACGAAGGATCGGAATTCCCGGGCTAATTACCATTCGCGCCTCCGTTTAGGTAGCTCCGGATTGTCTTTTTGACGGTGGAACTGGTGTGGGAGATTGATAAAAAGGAAGAAGAAAAAGAGAAAAAGAGAAAAAGAATTATTAAACCCTCCCCAAAACAATCTGTACCGAACGTCAGTCAACACGCGCAAGAAAGCCGGTTCAGTGTGTATCCATATATACACCGCTGTTCGTACAACCAATCTGTGTTTGAGGCCATTCCCAGCGGCCTGTTCCCTCCTCCCTTCTCGCGCCATTGACCGATTCGCCCTCGTTCTCCCCGGCACCATATCGTACCTCTCCCTGGCTCTTCTTGCCCATCCGATCGACACCCGGGGTTGTGACAGCCCGCTAGATGGACAAGTGTGGGACGCTGAACGGTCTGCTCGCGCGTTGAGAGACCGCTTTGCGTTCCATCAGGTTCCCCAGCCTACTCACGACCCCCCCTCTGTCCTGTGAAATGCACACGACTAAGCGATCTCCACGACTAAGCTAGATCTCTCCCATTTCTGCCCCAAATGGGAAACCTTCAGGGATGACTCTTGACAAACACACTGAACATGCACCTTTTTCCCCTCCCCCCTCACAACCTTCCCCTGCCATAATGCCGGCTGGTAATAGCTGGATGATGGATGACGCAACTCGCAACAAACTGCTCAAGAGGTATAAAACCCAGGTGGCTTCGGCGACTTCTACCATCTGCGCGACTTTGGCTGTGGTAAGTCCCCTGGTTTGATTTGAATGGCACCGATAGACTAATGCCAGGACTATAGACTCCCCTGGAGAATGTCAAGACTCGTATGCAGACGTAGGCCGCCTCGGATCCTGGGGAACAAGATCGTTGGAACTAACGCGATACAGTCACAACTTTTCCAATGTGTTTCAGTGCATCCGCTATCTGTGGCGTACTGAGGGACCCCGCGGTTATGTGGCTGGTGAGTCGATTGCAGCGTTCCCATATCGTCTACCACCAGCTGACCGATGCAGGTGCCCTCCCCCCTCTGGCTAGTGTTACGGCCGTTCGTGTCGTGAACTTCTCGACCTACAATGCCGCCAAGCATCGCATCTCCGACTTTGTCCAAAGGATGACGGGTGAGTCTCCTTTGGCCGTTTACAACCAGCCGGGCAGCACTCCCACCGTGTCGACCCTTGCGACTTTCACCGCTGCGGGTCTGTTTGCTGGACTCATCAGCTCTCCGCTTGCCTGTGAGTGCGCCCAGATATCCTAGTCCCGAGGATGGGACTGACAGCTCTCTAGGCCCCTTTGAACTGGCCAAAAATGTCGTTCAGACCTCGGTCTTGGTTTCCAACCGGGCTCAGGCCGCCCCGGATGCGGTGGGAGACCCATCGCTGCGTAGTAAGCCCCGTCTCGGCACCATTGAGGCGATCCGACAGATCGTTCAGCGGTATGGATTTCGTGGCCTGTACACCGGATTCCACCTGCACGCCTTGCGCGACACCCTCGGATCGGGTCTGTATTTTGGGGTCTACGAGACGGTGAAGCAACTGGCCTCCAAAGAGCTGGGCCCGGACAAATCGCCCTTTGGTGGACCGATGATTGCCGGTGCCATATGCAGCACGGTGCCTTGGTTTTGTGTAAGTCTTGGTATTGTAGACTTAAGAAGGATTGGACAACTAACAAACACAGACTTATCCCCTCGATACCCGTAAGACGCGCGCACAGAGCGTGTTGCTGGGAAAAACTAAGGACATCAGCGAGGCTTCGGCGGCGGTGGCCAAGTCGAGCATGTACAAAGGACTGTCGATCATCCTCATCCGCACTGGAGTGAACAACATGATTCTGTTGAGCATCTTTGAGTACATCAAGATGAAGATCAACCAATTGGACTGAGCATTGGCTAGCTGAATACTGTGGATGACACTGGATTTGTCTTGAATTTGTTACTTTGATCAATTATGGAGTACATAGCACGGAGCTGTCAGCTCACGCAAATATCGAATGAATGATGTATATCTCTGTCCATACTATATAGACTTGAAGTGAAGTGGATAAAAGTAGCGAGTGTTGCGGCCTGAGGCATCCGCAACGTCATCCGTTGCCCGGTGGGGTTTGGGGTCTTTTTCCATCAACAAAAGTTCCCCCGCGACGATCTCTCTCTCCTTCTCTGCGCATCCTCGACATGGCATCGTATGTTTCTCCCCAACAATCCATCATTCTGGTCTCCTACACGACATCATGCTGACAACATCACGTCTAGCAACATCCTTCAGATTCCCTTCCGGCGCTCCCACCCGGTCTCCCTGTCGGATGCCATCACCCAGTACATCTCGTCCAAATATGACCAGCGTCCGGACATGTTCGCCGATGATCTCCTGATCATTGACCGTCTTCGCACAGAGGCGATCAATGTTCAGGAGCCCCATGTCAGTGGGATCAGCCGGCTGGTTACGTATGCAGCCCAGCTGAAGTGGCTAGGGGGGAAGTTTCCAGTCGATGTGGGTGACCTTGACGTGCAACCAATATACCGCGACTGACATGATATCTCCATATAGGTAGGGGTTGAGTTTCCCTGGTATCCTGCCTTCGGGTTCAACACCTCGCGACCTAGTAAGTTGTCGCACGGCCGCAGCTGGTGGCGTTGCTGACGGGTTTCCCCATAGCCTCACAGAATAACATCCGGTTTGAACTAGCGAATATCATCTTCAACATTGCCGCCCTCTACTCGCAACTAGCCTTTGCGGTGAATCGTACGACGTCGGACGGTCTGAAACAGGCATGTAATTACTTCTGTCAGGCGGCGGGGGTGCTGGTGCATCTGCGCACGGAGATCCTTCCGGACCTGCGCACGCCGCCGCCCGAAGATATGGATGATATGACCATCCAGAGCCTGGAGCAGCTGCTCCTGGCTGAGGCGCAGGAGTGTTTCTGGCAGAAGGCAGTCAAGGACGGGCTGAAGGATGCGTCGATCGCGCGCCTGGCGGCCAAGGTCTCGGACTTTTATGCCGATGCGAGTGACTACGCGGTCAAGTCGAATGCCATCAGCCCGGACTGGATCCACCACATGACTGCCAAGCACCATCATTTTGCCGCGGCCGCCCAGTACCGCCAGTCACTGGACTGTCTGGAGAAACGCAAGTACGGAGAGGAGGTGGCGCGGCTGCGAGACAGCGAGGCTTGCGTGAATGAGGCGCTCAAGGAGTCTCGCTGGATCAATCGGACGGTCCTGGGAGACCTGCAGGGCTTGAAGAACCGCGTAACGGAGGATCTGAAGCGGGCGGAGAAGGACAACGATGTGATCTACCTGAACCCGGTCCCGCCCAAGTCCGAGCTCCGCATCATTGATCGCGCGTGCATGGTGGCGGCGAAAGCTCCCTCGCCGGTGACCGACGCTATTTCTATGCTGGGGGAGAATGGGCCCCTGGGACAGCCGTTGTTTTCTAAGCTCGTCCCGTATGCGGTTCATATTGCTGCCAGTATTTACTCGGACCGACGTGACCGACTGGTCAATGAGACCATCATTGGCGAGTTGGAGACTATGACAGACAAATTACGGGAGTAAGTAGATGTCTCCGTCCATATGTCATGATGCTAACGGAAAAAGTTTGCTGTCATCTTTGAATCTCCCGGGATCGTTACAGGCTCTGGAGAAGCCTCTTGGGTTACCCCCAACGCTGGTATCCCACGCGGAAGAGATGCGACAGCAAGACGGATTGAACCGGTTGCGTCGCTCTCTCGAGGACACGGCCAAGGTGAAAGCCAACGACAAGGCCGTGTACAACGAAGGCGTGGAGCTCCTGGCCGCGGAGAAGGCCGAGGACGATGCATCGCGGCGGAAATTCGGGACAGAACGATGGTCACGACCATCGTCCGAAGAGGCAGCCCCCAAGCTGTACACGACATCCCGCGAGATCGACGGCTACTTCACGTCGGCGCAGAGCAGCGACAACCTGGTCGAGCAGAAACTGCGCGACTCGGAGGCGGTGTTCCGCGTCTTGACCGGGACCAACCGCGATCTGGAGATGTACGTCCCCAGCAGTCGACGGGCGGCTATTCCCCCAGAATTGGAGCGGGAGGCGATTCGTCTGCGCGGGTGTCTGAGCGAGGTCAGCCGGCTGGAGAGCCGTAGGAAGCGTCGCGCACAAGCGTTGAAAGACAAGGCTCGGTCGGATGATATTAGTAAGTTTCCCCCGAGGCTGGAAGACCGAACCGCTGCTTACAATCCCTAGGCAAGGCACTGCTGAAGGAAGCGGCACGGCTAGAACGGGAGTTCCCGATGCAGCCGATCCAGGCGAGCCAGTTCGAGGATCTCTTCGAGGAGCAGCTGCATCTCTACGACACGGACCTGGAGATGGTGGCGCAGGAGCAGCACGACCAAGACCAGATCGCGGCGCAAGTGCGCGAAGCCAACCGGGCGTTTACGCGGGCTCACAAGGGCGATGCGTCGACCAAGGAGCGGGAGAAGGCGCTACAGGAGTTGGAGAACGGGTATCTGAAGTACAAGGAGATCATTTCGAACATCGAGGTAGGACGGAAGTTCTACAACGACCTGGCCAAGATCGTGGGTCGGTTCCGGGACGACTGCAAAGCCTTTGTGCACCAACGTCGGATGGATGCCAGTCAACTAGAGAGGTAAGTCGATGCCCCGTTCTGTGTGATGTTGTTGCTGACTTGAATAGCGACATCTCGAGCGTTGCCGCCATGGCGTCGTTGAATATCTCGCAGCACCCGCTTCGATACAACGGACAGCCGCCGGCCCCGACCCAACCGTCACCTCCATCGCAACTCGTGCAGCCGCAGCCGCAGCCGCAGCCGCAACCACAACCACAACCACGAGAGCCTTTGACAGCGCCGCAACCCACGCGTGCTGGGACGCGCCCATCCATGGCGCCGGGGGTGTGGTCGCCCGAGATGGGCATCCGGTTTGGCCAGGGCGGGCCGTGGGATCCCAGCAAGGGGGTGAAGTTTTCCTGATGTATATACATTGGTTAGATATGATACATTCAACATTACTAAAGCATCTAGAATACACCGTTCATAACATACAGCACCTACCCAACCCTCATCATAACAGCAGCCGCCTCCGCCGCCAACTCCCGCGTAGAAATCGTCAAGTCCTCCCGCAGGCTCAGAAACCGCAACCGATCAATCCACATATTCCACCTACTTTTAGAGATCCTCCCAATCTGCGACGTCGCCGACGGAGACGCGGCTGCGGACGGAGGCGACGTCGACAGTCCAACGGGACTCTCAACCTCCTCCCCACGCCGCTGCCACAGCTCCTCGCCCATGATGATCGCCCACAGCGCCGCCGCCGCAACATACACATTCAACCGGGTGGCCTCGAGCCTCGCCCGGAGCCCGGGGTCATCCTCGTCCCCAGCACTACCACCGTCTCGACTCCCCCCAGCCCGCGTCTTCGCATGGCCCTGGCCCCTGCCATTCTGCACCGTTTCCCGCTGCTCCCACCCGTGCCGCTGGGTCCTCTCCTGATAATCATGAGCCTGTCCACCCTTGGCCGACTCCAAAAACTCCCCCGGCGAAACCCGCACATCATCATGCCTCACCTCCAACGCCCACCGAATCATCGCAACAGCCACGCCCTCCAAGCGCACCACCTCGCGCTTCGCGACGAGCGCCAAAAACGCCACCAGGCTCTCCCACGCCTCGACCTCGAGCGGCGAGAACCCCGCTCGCCGGCCCGGCTCGTCGCTCAGCGCCTGCAGGACGGTCTCCTCGAAGAGGGGAAGGTCTTTCCAGCGGAGGGATCGGCGGATGCCTCCGCCGCCGACATTGCTGGCGCTGCCGTTCCAGTCGAGGGGGATGCTGGTGTCGGTGGCGGGCGGCAGGTCCATGTCCAGTAGGGAGGTGTTGGTCTGCGGGATAGGCACCGGGTCTGGCTGGCGCTGGAGCGCGGTGAGGAGGGCTAGCAGACGCAGCTGCGCCGTTGAGGGGACGTCCGGCGGGTGCACTGGGTCCTGGCGGGGGGTTTTGCGGCTGGCGTGGAGGATGGAGGCCCAGATGTCGCGGAGGGATTCTTCTGGGGGATTTGTTAGTGTGCGATCGGAGAAGGAAATAGAGAACGAAGAGAGTGAATGAGGGCGTATATACCTAGGTCCTTTCCCGGCTCGCCCCCGTAGTAGACCTCGTTGATTACGCTGATTATCTCCCTGACGGCGAGGTCGAGACTGGTCTGTTGGCTCATGTACAGGGCCACAATCAGCGTGAACGGCTTGTTCATGGATCCGTGGACCCAGTTGTGTTTTGTGGCTAGTGCGTCGATGTCCATGCTGGCGCTTGTATCCCGTAGGATAAGTTAAGTGTGTGTCTGCTCCGCATGGCGGATGTGTTGGGTGGGTGGTATGAGGTACCGCGGACCGAGTCATGATGTCATGTCGTGCTTCGTACACCGCCCTTATCAATCATATCAATCGCAAACACGCTGGGTATTATCGGGATCATTATCATCATCATAATTTACACGGGTATCAAACAGCCTCCGTCTGGCCCTCGTCCAGTCGCTCCCCCAGAAAGAAATCCAATTCACTCGGTCCCCCCTGCGAATGCTCATTCTCCGCCAACTGCTCCAACAAGCTCAGGAACGGGTCCTTCTCCGATGTGTCCGTCGTCGCGCCGCCAGCGGCCGAGCCGCTCTGCGATTGCTCGTCTGGCGTCAAGGCCGTCGTGCCGACGCTTGCCTCGAACGGGAACGTCGCGTACTGCGGCTGCGGCTGGTGGTGTGCCGGGGGAGTCGGTGCGCCGGCAAAAGATGATTCGGCGAGGAACGCGCCCGGGGATCCAGCGACGCCGCTCGGCGAGAACCCCGGAAGACCGGCGTCAGGCAGACCAAGGTCTGGCCAGCCCGACGTGTGCTGGGATGGCTGGAAGCTGATCGAGTTGCTCCGCGTGGTCTGTGGTAGAGATGGAAGTCCGTGGTACATGGGGCGGTTGTCGGAGAAATCAGGTCGCTCGAACGACACCCTGCGCCATGTTAGATAGTCACTCGAAAACAGCCGCAAACACTCACGGTTCATCCACATCGGCCATGCGCACGTGGCCCGCATCCACAACCAAACCGGGATACCGATCGAAAAAGTCTTCCAGATGAAAGACCGGCGCGAATCGCACCGGCCGCGCCGCCAACGTACGCACCAGGTCCGCGTGGCAGGCAGACAGCGTCTGCAACATCTCGCGTTGGTGGTGCACGCCTGACCAATGCTGGCGCAGCCATGCCAACTGCTGCATCTCGCGCCCAAGGAAGTCGGCGCTAGATGCAAACACTTCCCCCTCACGGCCGTGATAATGGACGCCATGGACGTGAACGGTCCCCGCCGTGCACACGCAGTAAGCGACCAGATCGGGCCATTCGATCCGCGGCGCATGTCGCGCCAGCTCGGCCAGTTCCGCGATAGCGTTGGCGTGCGAGAAGCACAGCGTCGTCGCCTCGATCTGCCACGACTGGTGTTGGCCGGTTCCGCGCAGCTCAACCAGATCGATGGGCAGGAATGGTCGATACAGCAGGCAGTGGACGAGGTGGTAGATCAGCTTACTGAGAAGGAGGAGCGTGCTCTCCGGGTGGCCGAACAGGGCCTCTATCGATGCGAAGAGATCCTGGGTACCAGCAGCCCAGATGTCGAGTTCCTGCCGAATTTTGGACAGGTTGGAGAGCGAATGCCATGGGAAATGAGAGTCACCCTTGACTCCGCCCGCCGCGAGGTAGCGGTGGGTGACCCCCAGAATCCGCGTGATATCCACCAACAGGGCGGCTGCTCCCGAGCCCTTGCGACGGACATCTCCGTATTGGATGTTGGGCCCGACTGGGTTGAAGAACTCCCCCGTCTCTGAATCGGTCGCCGGGAGACGCAACACGATCGAGTGGTCGGCGATCAGACACGGCCGTTTGGAGCCGCACGTGAGGAAGCGGTCCATCACGTAGACCGTCCAGAACAGCCGCCGTCGCGTTTCCCGTTCGGTAGCCGGGAGCGATTGCGATGGGACTTCTCGGTACAAGTCCAAGGCCAAGACCATGGCCACTGCGTTGGCTGTTCCATGTTAGCGTTGCGCCAGTTGAATGGGCCTCATCCAGAGTGCATACTCAGAGTCATGTAGGCCCGTTTCCCGTGGCCATAAGCGAAGAATGTCTGCGATAGGAGCAGGAGTGTCTGCAACCCCTCTGTCGACGGTTTATCGATGTCGACCATGCGTCTCGCTTGTCGCGCGTAGTCCAGCCCTTGTGGTTGGGGACTGGGTCCGTTATACCTACACCGGTCAGCCGGGCCATCACATGGAAACAATCCACATGGTGAGGTATACCTCAAGGTCAGAGCATAGATTGCCATGGACAAGAACGACGGGAGTTGTCCCCGTTGATATCGTTGACGAGTGGCCGTCTCATCCAGGATAAAAAACGGCTTCCCGTGGAGCCGCGCAAAATACGTGTCCAGCATGGATTCCGGGAGATGGTTCTGAGTTGGCGGCGGCGGAGGGTGTTGGACCACCGGAGGAGGAAACTGATGCGGTGGAGGCGGCGGGTGAAAGTTCACCTGCGAGAGCGACGCCATCTCCAACGCTTTCACCGGAGAGCTCGATGACGCAGGTGAGATCGGATGGTTTTCATCCTGCAACCGTTTCTCGAGTCCATCTACTCGCTTGAGAAGCGCCTCGAGGACATCCGTCTTGGGACCCCGTTTCTTCGGGACGGCATCTGGCAACCAGATGAGTACATCAGTCATCAACCACCCCGACACAGACGCGACGGAGGACAGTCCATACCGTAAATACACGGACACTGAAACACCTTGCAGGCCTCGCAGCTCGGACGGAGACGGTTACATTTGATCTTCCGCTTCCGACACGACTTACAGTTCATGGACTCACGGGGCTCCGCATTGGTCCGACGGGGGGTCAGCCGGTCGATGCTGACCTGGGGCCGGGACATGATGGAAACATGAAGACGGGGGGAGGAGAGAGTAAATGGAGAGCGGAAAACGAGGAAGAGGGGAACCCCGGATTTAAACGAGCCCAGAAACGTGGAGACCGCGCGCTAGACCGCATGGGGCCTAGTGACGCGGAGGCCCAGCCGCTGCGGGGGTTTTACCCGATTGGGCTGGGCGGGAAGTTAACTTTAGAGTAGTGCCTTTAGGGCTTGCTTCGGGTCAATCGAGCCCGATGGTTGGCATGATCGGCAACGGTTAAATGCGCGAACCCCGGGATTTTCCCCTGTCTATCACGGACGAGGCCCCGCGAGGTCTGAGCTTGTCTCGCTCCTGTACGATCGATTCGGTTTCTTCACCCCAGGGCGGCTAGTCGCTTGATCTATTTGACACACTCCGGTCAATCATTTCCTCTTCGATGGCTTAAATCTCGGTCGGACATGGCGATCGTCCCTCCCTTCATCCGCCAGCAAGGCCGGTCCTCGATCCGCCATGGACCAGTAGTCGCTGCTGATGCACATGCACATGCGCGCAGTTTCCCATCTCCCGTCATGCGCCGTCGGATATGGATATCCAGTCAGAAGATCGGCCTTGGTCCTCCCTGTCATATATCATCTATATATGTACACATGCACAAACCGAAATGACTTGAAACAGACCCAACGGAAAAGGAAACAAGCGTGCATCAATCAAAACACCCGCCCAGACGCCATCCGTACAAAATCAAAGGGCACATTCTGCCCCACCAGTAGGCGCAACGTCTCCACCGTCGTCCAGGCGTTCACATCATCAATCCCGTACGCAGTCCATCCGGCCTGGACCGCCACCCCGACGGGATCTCCGGTACGTTCCCCCCGAGTCAGGTCAAGATAGACTTTCCCCCGAGTCGATGGCGGCGATGCCCGTCCGCTTGTTCGGTAATGGCGCAGCAACGGTTGCACCAGTAGGGATTTCTCAGGCGGCAGCGCAGAAACAATCACAAACGGCTGTTCCACCAGTTTCACCGATTGAATCGAGGTGAACGGCTCCAGGCCTTCCGCAAGTGGCCCGCTTGCTCGGAATCCCACAGTGTAGATGGCTCCCACTCCTAAGCTGCGCAGGGCGAAGATCGCCGCCGACGCTTCGCTTTCACTACCAGACAGGATGATAGCCGCACGGCCGCGATACGCCGACGGCACATAATCGCGAGTCAAGGTCGCCCGAATGCCTTTCCAGGTGGCATTCTCGCCCATCAACGGCGAGCCCTCTCGCGCCGCCACGATCGTGTCGATCAGTCCAATCGCCCGCGCCGCCTCACTGACCGCGGGGATACAGGCCGTGCTGCTGGATATCGGGGGATGCACCGACGCTCCTCCAAACGACGGCTGCGTGATCACCCGTTCGATCGAATTCGTTGGTCCCCGATCGATCGATGTCAACGTATGCGGCAGGCTCAACTCGTTGAAGCATTTCTCCATGAACATCGACTGGGGTGTCGACCGGAAGGATCCAATCGCATAGAGATCATGCTTGGGCAGCTGTCCCATAATGTGGAGCGCCTCATTGATCTCCGCGGCGGTCAGCTGGCCGGGCGCAGCGATCATCGGCAACAGCGGGTGCGTAATTGGCGAGAACACCGTGTTGAGCGCCCGGGAGAGTTGACCCATCTGACCCATGTTGACCGCCGATAGCAGGGGATATGGTCCACACGTCTCTTTGATGGTCGAGCGAAAATACTCGAGCTCATAATTGGCCTCTACCGTGTTCACCATCGCGATCATCTTCACGATATCCGCATATTTGGCGCTCTCCGCAAAGATCCGGGTTGCTTCGGGCGACGTCCACTTCCACGTCCCCGAGAAATCATGGAATGCCGACATGATGATACTATGACCCCGGTCATCCGCCAGGCGTTTCCGGATCTCCTCCGGCAGCCACAGCTCCACGTCGATGTACTCCACACCCCATTGGATCGCCCGACGGAGGTATTTATAGAACAAGTTCGGATCATCCATCGGGAACTTGCCGTTCTCCTTGGTACATCGTGTGGTGAAGATAATCGGGAGCTCGGTATGCTGTCGAAGCAGCATCAACTGCTGTCCGACATAGCGGAGACTTGGCACCGGGTCCGACGCCTGTTGCAAAGGGTCTACCAGCAAGTCCACGCGCAGCTCTACCGCATCGGACCCCACCGACAGAATGTCGAGGTTGGGCAATGCCGCGTGCACATCTGGGAAGGTGGTGGAGATGAAGTTTGTGCGATTCTTTGTCTTGAGATCCTCATGAGGGCGGGTTTGCCCGAGGATCAAAGAGAGAAAGCGAGTCAAATCCCGGCGGAAGAAGGGGCTGCGCAGCGAGTACAAAAACTCATAGTTGCAGGAATCGCTCAGGGATTCCTCGGGGAACGACCCATCATCGACACAGTGGGTGTTGATCAGCACCCGGTCCGTTTTCTCGCTGCCCTCCAAGCTCCCCGCTAGATCATCGGCCAGGATCCCCACCACCACGGCATTGCTACCCTTGCGCAATGTCGACAGCGAGGTCTCTGTGGTCCAGGGCTTGCCTAGAATCTCCGCGACCACCTGTACAATGGCATCCTGACCCGCACGGTACACAATCACCACGGTGTGCGTGGGTTCCGGCGGCGGGGTCTGGATGACGGAGGCGAGTGGAAGCGCGGCTGAGGGGGTTCTTGATAGCGGTGACTGAGGTGGGGTGCTCGGCAAGAACTGTCATAGCCACGGGCTTATGAACTGCAGTCTGCATCATCTCATCGCACGAGCAGGATCCCGCGTGTTCATGCTTCTGTTACCGAGGCAATTCGACTGGTCAACTGTCCAGGGACCGACGGATCGCGGGTGGTCACGGGATCAATCGACAAGGAGCGTGAGACGATGAATATACCCAACAAGATCTATAGGCAGTGTGGTCGATATCGCAGGGGGGGATCGCAAGTCCACCAACGTTCTCGGGAGACTCCAGCCGCACCGGGATGAGTGGGAGTAGCGTGGGGTCGGAGAAGATCAAGGCCAGGTTGAGACAGATTGACTGTCCACTGGGCGTTGTGGCACGAGTTTAATACCCGGGAGGTCGGAGTGCACGAGGCAAGTCGGGCACAGGGACGGAATCCGAAGAGACTGGAAGAAAGCGCGGGTTCGATACAAGAGGACGGCACAGGACAGGGGGGAGGGACAGCGACATTTGCCAGGATAAATGGGGGGGAAGAGAGGGAAAGGAGAAGGGAAAAAAGGGAGGAAGGAAGAAAGAAGTAAGAGAACGATAAGGTCCCGATAGACGATGTATGAGACAGGCCAGACGAAGATAGTGAGAGAGATTGTGTGTGTGTACGGAGTATGTGTGAGTGAGAGAGTGGGTGTTAGAGAAGTTACAGATGGACCCGACGGCTAAATTTCCCCGGGATTGAAGCTCCGCATGCACGGGGCGACGGGATCGGTTTCTCCGCCAATCAGCATGTCATCCCGCCCGATCTGGCCAGCCTCTACCATCTTGTACAGTAGATACAGAGTAGGTGGGTACATAGGTATTGCTGGACACTGGACAGTATTTCTGTCGATGGACAAGTACTGTATTGCAAGATGTCGATGATGTTGAACTGTATGTGCATTACTCAACCAGAGAAGGATGCAGCTGTACAAAACTCAAGCATCAATACCCTCCTCTATGAAGCTTGATGCTTTATAGATCGTCAACAGGCCACCTCCTAAGCCACTATCCTCAACGTCTGCCTCCATGTATGTACATATGTACATCACTGATCTACAATAACCCAGCTCTTTGATACGAGGAATTACCCCTTCCCTGCCGTCATCGATCTTGTTTTCCGTTGGTCCAGTCGTATCCACTCTCGCCCCAGGACGGCCTAACGTCGTACCAAGTGAGGCCAAGCTAGGGCCTAATTGTCCGTCCTCTCCCGCGAGTTCGTCCGGAAAATTCACCGGCTACATTCGACGACCCTTGACGCTCTTTTTAGGCGGAGCCCATTGGCTGCACTGCTTCAGCCGGCTCGGATTGTTTCAGCAGGCAGGCGGACGGGACCGCGCCTCGGCATCTCTCCGACTACTCCAAAGCCGAAATGGGCGATTCAAGTACTCCGGATTACATAGATCAGCTTAACTCTAGACAGTCTTGATTCCAAGATCGATAGTATCACAATAACATCCACCAATGCTCCTTTTGTCGAGGAAATCTAACCATAAACGAGATAACGGGAGAGAGATGATGGCGAGAACAGAACACCAACGATTCCAAAGATACCGGGGTATTGGGGACAAAAAAAAAGCAGGCCAAACAGAATCACAGAAATACATACATACACACACGCACGGAAATAGACAAGAAACGCAATCGCTTGCACTGTGAAACAAGCCATAGATTCTGCCCAACAAACAGATGACGGGATTGGCGCAATGTATGTATGCTAGGAGTATGTATGTGTACAGGGAGTGGTGTATGTACGCCCCAAGACGCCAGATCAGGGCCAACGGGGTGTCAATGGGTCATTGTCAATCCAAAGGTCGTATATCGTGCTAGGCGCCAACTTAGCCGTAAGTCTCACATTGGTGCCCATCATCGAGATTATCAAAGGAGTCATTCCACCACTCGTGTGGGCCGGACAGCCCGTGTCTATGCGTCAGCAGGACGCTGGAAGCCTATCTTGGGCGCCGGTACAGTGCACAATGCGGTCAATATCGCAATGGAGCAAGTTCCCAACGACGAATGTTTCAACCTGACGAGGCGGGCACTTGCGGGACCGACGTAGCTGACTGATACCGCTGTCCATGACCGGAGAGGCCACGAGGCATGCCCGTCCGGTCAGGAATACGTGGCGGGTGGTCACATGGGATGCACTACATCACATTGATAATGTGTACTCCACCAATGCCCACGACTGACATATTAGGGCGGCGAAATGGCTAGCCCATTCATCATCTTAGGGAGCGGCTTTCGCCGAGCATTGTTTGCCGTCTTCGACACCCGAGGCGCTCCGTGAATCATGCGGGGTTCTTTCATCAGACTGGTGTCCAGTTTTGCGGGCGCTGGGTGAATGTTAGCATAACTTGTTCTGACAGAGCGTGGAAAAGAAAGGGTTGTACCTCGGGAGACTATGCGGGTATAATCCCCAGAGAGGTTCTGCTGACTCCGGCTGGTGGCAAATGATGTAGCGCTTGCGGTCCTCCAAAGATGATTGGATGTGTCGGACAGGAAGTCAGTCATCGATCGGCCAGAGAAGATGGAGGATCGGCCCCGATTGCGTTTCGACAGAACAATCTCATCGAACAGCGCCATTCTTGGGTCCTTCTTCTTCGGGTTGACTCTTTCCCGTTCACTGATAAACTCGTTGAAGCCTGGGTCGACCATTAGTGCCCTGTTAGATGGATTATGGGCGGGCTATAGCACATACCTTGGGTCTGCTGCAAGACAGCAATGTACTCTGCGTGCTCGCCGGGAAGGCTTTTCAGGAACGCCTCCATATTGAAACTGTAAGTAAGACCCGCCTTCTTCTTGTCGCCTGAGGCAGGCTGAAGGAACTTCTTGTACGTATAGAACAGACTAGCAAAGCATCGAACGAACGCGGCTCGGACCTGCTCAGGGAAGAATGCAGCAGGACAGACCAGACAGATCTGAAGAGCACAACGATTGTGCACCACAGTCTTGCACGCAGTGCACTTGTACATGCCATCCTCAGCTCGGTCGTCGCAAATCATGCACACTGCCTTTTCATCCCACGGTTGGACCTGCAGGCAATGGCCTTCCACCCAACAGGTGCCCTCAGCATTATGGATGGGTTGTGCGGTCGCCTGCGGTACGATGGTCGAAGCGGCCACCGTGGATTGGGCATACACAGAAGGAGCATACGTCGACCCCGAGTTATGCTCCGTGTTCAAGGTGGTCACGGAGAGGTTGGGAGCGTGGCCCAGGAACGGAGCACTCGGCCGCCGCGGGACACCTCTCATATCCATGCCGAATGAGGAGCTTCTGCGCGACGCCGCGTCGAAGTGACCAGACCGCTTTTCACGCAAAGATGCCTGGAGAGCCATGCCTGAATCGTTCCGCGAGCCGGGAGTCGAAGGGAATGGAGGGAAGTGGCCGGACGTAGGCGAACTGTCCCGGGGAGAAGGGGGAGACCCAGTCTTCGAGGAGGTTGAACCGGTTCCTGGGACGATCCATTCCTTTGGAAGAGTACCCCCGGGATACAGCCTGCTCATAGCGAGCATGCAGGTATGCGTTGAAGATGAGGGGCTGGAAGCTATTCGGGGCAACCGACTGCTGGCCAAACGCACTCGAATTCAAGCTGACGTACTTGGCTAGCTGGGTGGACTGTGCCTTGGAACTGAAGATCGAGCCATTTTCCGACATGAATGCATCGAATGGGAAGGACTCCACTGCATACGCAGGAGGACCGGTGGGCACCCCGCACCGACTGTGATGCGGCGCTGCAAGCTGCAGCAACGAAAGCAGTTTTCTGCGCTGGTGGCGGGGGAGGGGAGTCGGACGGACTGTGCTCTCGATCAAGTCGGCATCGAGGTCCACCAGTACGAAATCATCCGATGGAAGCTCGACCTTCTCATAGCGGCGCTCGATACCCACAATGTAAGGACAGGGGGCCTCAAGGGCTTGGATCAGTCGTGCAGGGAGCACCGGAATTAGAACGCCTGTCCATGTAATTGGGAACAACAGGTCCACCAGGGCCCTTGTGGCGAGATAGAGCATCGAGGTGTGCGACGACAGGAAGATGATTCGCGATTCTGTCAAGGCATACTCAAACAGGATAACAATGTTCGACAGCGACAAGGTCCGGAACAGAGCATAGAGGTCGGTGTTTCGAGAGCCTGGCAGCTCATTGGCGGCTTCCTTGCGGGCAAAGAGACGTAGTTCTCGAACGGCCAGCTCGACCTGGGTCTTGGAGGAGTTGGGGCTGAAGGCCTCAGTACACAGATTCATCACATATCGCTCTAATGGTTGCCAAACGCCCATTCGCGGGGAGCTGGGCGGGATTCTCTGTACACCGCCGTCGGTCATGGGAACCACGACAGCTTTCAGCCATTCCTTCCAGAAACTGGTCATGTTCTCCTCGCGTCCCAGGATACCGTAGGCACGGGGAATCCAGAAGCCGGTGTCGCCATCCGTCAGCCCTTCAATCTTGGAGGCTGCACCGTGACGTACGGGTCGCAAAAGGTCGGTCATCAGACCGATCTTCTCTTCCACCGCGCTGATTTCGTCTTCTAACTGTTCTCTTTGGTCGGAGCCTGACGGAACAGTCGGGAGCTGCGCCAGAAGGCGAGACAGTTTCGCACGCTCAGAGGCTAGCCGTTCGCCCAGACTGGCGGCCAGCTCTCGTTCTTCATCGGTCATGTTGTCTTTGCGCCATTCTTCACAGCGCTTCTCGAGCTCCTCGGCAGCTCGCTGGTTCAGGGGAATCCAGATAATGAGGCAAATGGCGTGCAGCCGCGATCCGTTATCGGTGGTCATGGCAAACCCGTGCCAGGTAGACCGGGGTCTCTGATCGGAAGAGACAATGTTGATGTCGTTGGGAAAGGCGAACATGGGGACGTAGTCCGGGAAGTTGCCTCGCTGTTTCAGCTCCTCGGTCATGCCCCGGGTTGGGTACCGGTCAAGCAGAACAGGCTCGAATCTCCGTTTCAAGGGATGCATGCTGGGGGAGATCTCCAAAGGCTGTGGGACGGGGATCACCGAATTGTAATTGCTGAGACGCCTCGAGGTGCGGATGGAAGCTGTCAAACAGTCACAGTCAACAATGGCGGTCTCCTACGCGTTCGCGATTCAGAGCTGGCTTACCTTGACGGGCAATCGACGGCTGTCGCTTCATACTGTTCATATCACGGAAGGCCATGTGTCGCCGTACGCTACCGATACCGGATCGTAGCAAGCTGGCGGGCTGAGAGGTTTCCTCCGAGACAATCTTCTGAGTCCGTAACCGGGACCGAGGCCGCGATTGGGGCGTGATAGCGCCCGCACTCAGGCTCAGGTCCGACAGGAAAGACTCCCGTTCGGACGCGAACTTCAGCAATGCCTTATCGAAGTCGAAATCCTCGAGGAACGAAGAGCCCCGGGGCGACTGAGCGCCCTTGATGGTCAGACTGCTGCGGTTGCTGCTGGAGCCATTCCCGTTAGGATCTGAGTCTCCGGAGCGCATCGAAAATCTCTGGACGGAATTGCGGTTGACGACGACGGAGTTGGGTCGCGAGAGTCCATCGAGACGAGGGTCATGAGCGTCTTCGGCTTCGGCATCGGCATCTTCCTCAATGGTATCGGTCAGGGCGGGGCCGGGGGAGGTCGCGCTGTTGGCTCGGTATTCGTCTCCGAGTCGCTGGAAGGTCTCTAGAATCTCCGTGCCATCAACACCGGCAATCCAGAAGTAATCCGCAAGTGGAGTGGTAGAGCCCTCGGGGGCGGCAGAGGAGGACGAGAAGGGCATCGCGTGCGGGTTGGTCGTTGGGAGGTCGCGGGGTTGTAATCATTAATCGTCACGGAATCGTGGACGTCGTCACCGCATGAAGACAGTCAATCGCTCGAAACGGAGAAGCGACCACTCGCATTCACTGGGCAGGGGGAAGGGGGCGAAATTCAACGATCAGGGGCCTCGGAACGGACAAGTAAAGGGTAGCCGTTACAACGAGAACACATAAGTCGGGGGGGAGGGATCGCGACGCCGTCGCAAAACCGAGAAGAGGGATTCGGTCAGGAGAATGGAGGGAGGAAGAGGAGGAAGAGAGATTGAAAGGGAGGTGACGACTCTGGGGGGTTGTAGAGAAGGGGAGAATCGGGGGAAAGAGAAGGAGAGAGAGAAGTCGGGTGGAGGAGAAGGAGGAGGAGGAGTAGGAGGGGGGTTGGATTTCACAAAAAAGGAGTAATTTATGGTGGAGAGAAGGAGGAAGAAAGTTGGAGGAGCGGGGGGAACATCTGAAGAACAGTGCCCGTCAATTGCATACAATAGATCCTGCTCTCCTTTCTCCTTCTTCTTCTACTACTCCTTTCTCCTCTATCTTTACCTCTCTTTCTATTCCTTTCGATTTGTTTTGCTCGGTTGAGGATCTGTGTGTGTCACAGTTCTCTGTTGTTTCTTGTCGCAATCCACAGCCAGTTGTGCAGCGTTGCGCAGACCCGAGAATTCTGATCCATGTTTTGTCAGGCACACACGGTACAGGGTTCAGAAGTACGACAAAGTATGATAAAAGTACCATCCTGAGATCTACGGAGTAGTCGGTAGCCTTCTGGTCACTTTGCTATTAAGTTTGCTCCGGAGGTGAGGTTCAACTGCTATCATCCGCATTACCCACTCCCCAGAGGAACGAACCATGTCGATTTCGATTGCTAATGGCTGGGTCAAGGCAGCCAGCAAACCCAACGGTCAATGTGCCGACTATTACCCATCAGACTACCAGGATCATATGGTGTTAACGCGGATGGCGTTGTGGGAGTCCCCAGTACCGGGAATACATCTACCTGGTACTAGGTATCGCATTGGAAATACTAGGACCAGCCAGGTTCCCAACGTGCGGTTCGAAAAAAGAAAAGAAACCCAGAACCCCATAAAGAATATGCAAGACCAACGAACTCCTGCGGTGCATCCCCTGGCTTTGATCCAACCACCGCCCCCCGGCCGGGCGTTTCAAGGGCCGTCCAGGTACCAGCCCAGTCGCCGACCAATAATTCTCCCGCCTGCCACTCAACCGATAGATATCCAACCAGCCCATCTTCCAGCCGTCCAGGAAGCGGGGGGAAGACGCGAAAGGAAGGGCAGTTAGGTCACTACCGCACCTTCAGATACGGGGGACCAACAAGAGAACCCGACTCCATTACGCCGTGCAAGAAGGAGAAGAAAACGAGAGACGGGACAATATCAATCGGAGTGGAGCCGGTCGTGCATTGGCTCGCCATGGGTCCTGGTAAGCCACTAACGACTTAGTCGGGATCCTCTTTTCTCTCGTCCCATTTTTTTTCCCACTTGCCTTTTGCGCTCCCAAATCGCCCTCATCGGTGGGTGAGAACCCCCGTTCAGACTGGAACCATGGAAACATTACGCCGTACATTACGTTTCTTAGATACCTACCTCCTCCAGCGCAGTTTAACTAACTACCTACTCCTATCTCCGAAGGCTGACTGTGGATCCCACTGTTCAGTGGAAATACTCCGATTATTATCGGCGACAAGAACAGAAAAAGAGAAAAGGGGGAGGGGAGAAAAGCAGGATTTTTCTCGGACCGAACCATCAGCCATGACAAGCGGAGTTCCTGCTAAGACCTCGCCATGCCACTAGCTCGGGTGTGCTTGGGGGCCAGTCCGAGTCTTTCTTAGAGAGCGAGTACGGGGCGGACGGGCCTGGGGACGCCCGACCAGGAGTGCCCCAAAGGAGAATATAGGGCCGGTGTCAGGACCCATCCATCAGGGTGGGCGGCCGAGGCTGTACAAGGAAGGTCGCTGAGAATTATGCATCTGCATATTCATGGATGAATGCATTCGAGCACTCCGTGGTCACCCAATCCAGCGTGGTTATTCGGTACCTCGACAGAAGTCCGGATTCTTTCTCCATACGGTAACTACAGGGTAGGATTCTTTTCGCGGGCTGGGCCGATCATAAGTGGACCCCGCCTGAATGTTCAAGGATCGCTGAGTGCCCTCAACTGACAGGCGAGCGATCGTCCCCCCAGACTTGGGCGTGTGGAATAGGATGAGCATTTGCGGATATTTCTTATTGCGATGGACACATGGAACCAAACATCCATTGCGCTGCTCTACCATCTACGACGTCATCCCCCACCCCTTTTATTCCCATTAACCGTTAGGGCTGGCATACGGTTCCAACGGCCGGTTCGTTCATATTTCGGATGTGTGGTGGTAAACTGGTTGATCACCTGGGACGGGTTTCAGCTTGTCTTGGGCGGCTCATCGCGACACCCATGTCCATGAAGTGAAACATGCTGCTGTCGATCCTCCAGACAGCCCAGGAGGGATGACTCGCGCACACATGCACACTTCCCGTTCAGGATATGCGGAATCTAGACGCTTATCAACCGATAACGAAGGACCGTAACTAACCATTTCTATGTACATACACGCCGTACACCATCGACCCATCACCTCAACGCGCCGACGTCTAACTACAGCTGAACCCTCGGTCGCATTGTGGTGGATTGCCCTAAATCCTGCAGGATCAATTAGGAGAATAAATAGAAACACTGACAGGACCTATTATTCATTGCGAACTTAACCGAGCGGCATCAACTCTGCTCTCCCATGGACTAGTTCTCCGGCTAAGCGAATGTGGCAGAGTTTCGGAAGTTACCCTGGAATGGAGACCAGGCCGATTCAAGCCACAAATCTTACCTACTCTGTATATTTTGACAGTGCAACTCCATCACTATGAAGATCACATGATATCCGACCAAACCAAACCAAAGAGATAGTACTTGACAGTACTTTGTCCGTCAGTCATGAGTCTTCTTCTTCTGTCAGGACGGGTATTCTCCTTACATGACAATACCTCCCTGATAAAGCGATTGTCTGTACAAAGACAGGAGTTGTTCTAGACCTTCTCTCCCCTGACGGACCAGCCCAGGCCGCGTCTTGCGGTCAAGACCAGACCAATGAGCGTTAGATGGCGTGGCATCCCAAAAGGATTGACGTGCGCCAGCATAAACCTTAGGACTGAGTGTCTTACAGCTAGCTGGCGTGGACGATAAGGTAGACGGCGATACATTGGGTAGAATTTTCAATGTCTAGCAGATTGTAATCCATCATTCTCTGGCTTGATTGGTACAAACAATCATCTGTCTAGACCTCTACCGATCCATCGGCCAGTGGATTCTCCTCTATCCACAACGGACCGGTCTACAACTGCTGCTAAGCCGATGACGCGACCTGGCGCATCCCCCCGACTCGGCGTGTAACCCACCATCGTGGAAAGGTTCGAGAGCCCATCGCAGTCCCGACATGGCTGCAGCCGAGCCGGCCCCTTGCGCCACAGTACGAAGGCTGGCGGGACTTGGGTGGACGGCCGAGCTCCGTCGCTGTTGTGTCTCCAAGGCAAAGACCAGCGCAAATCGATCCCGCCGCCTGTCGTCGTTTCAAACTGGGGCGGGAGCCCGAGGAAACGGCTGCACACACAAGCATCATGCCGTCGCCCTGGGCCGGTTTCACGTCCGTCTCCGGGTGAGCAAGTTGCCCGTGGTTAAGTATCCCTTGTCGCCCATCGGTCCCCTCCATTCGATCGACAATTGTCCCAAGACAGCCCGCCCGTCTCGTTTCATGTCCTTCTGCAACGCCTCGAGCCCTTCCTGCTGCCCTTCTTCCTGCTCGACCAAGAAGGCGACTTGGAGAACATCCCGTGGGTTCAGAGTCGGCGGCGGCGGGTCGGGCCCATCGGGTGCTTCCAGGTCCCAGTTCAGAGAGATCGCCTTGAACGGCGGTTTAGGGTTCAGTCTTGTTTGCTACGAAGCGACAGATGAGTCAGTAGCCGATCGAGCCAATCCATATGCCAATCACTCACCTGGACGACAACCGCTCCATCACCAACATTCTCTAACTGCGCCTCCAGGGCAAACCGCAGGAGCCGTGTCTTCCCATACGGGCCAAGCGACTTATTCTCCACCTCGAGCGGCGTCAACTCGGAGGATTTAGTCCTCACACTGAGACAGGGCTGCGCAACAAACTGGTACAGCTTGCGGAACGTTCTCACTCTCCCACTGGCCGCCTGCGCATCCAACCCGATCAGCGTCTCGGTGTAGCTCACGCTGACCGCGAGGATATGGTTCCCCTCCTCTTTCAAATCGAATCGCACGATCTTCTGTAGAGACTGTCCTTTCTGTAGACCATCCCGCGCTGCGGTGTCGTCGGCTGGCTCTAGCCCTAGGGACGCCACTTGTGATGGGGTCTGCATTTCGGCCACGATGCGGACGGACGTCACCACGCGCGACGTCTCATTCTCGGATAGCTCGTTGTTCGCACTGAGGGTACACGCAAAGGTTTCCCCGACGTAGGCCGATCCGAAGGCAGGAGGTAGCGTTAACTGCGGGAGTCAACAGATGTTAGGGTGAGAAGGGGCGTCGGCATACGTTGGGGGCGAGGATAAATTGGTCGTCTATCCGTTCGGAGGGATAACTCAGGGATGCTTTGCTCGAAATTTTGGAGTTGGAAGTTGGAAGAGGATGTTGGTAGGATAAAGACGGACGCGATAGCCTTGGTGTGTCAGGTGCAGCCGGACAACGACTAGAGTACCATTGCTTACCGCAGGACTGGGGCAGTTAGTCAGATGCTAGCAACAGATCATATAATGAGGCATACCTTTCAAGGAAACAGCATGGGGCTCCTTTGGCCCTTCGGCGCCGGATTGCGCGCGTGGACGAGCCATGGCTTGGGTGACATGAGGGGATTCGACAATGCAGCGGCTGTCTGATGATGTCGTTATCTAGTGAGGAGACAAACACGGCAAACTGCACAAAACCAACAAACCTCCACAAGTTTCTTATCGTTATCCTGAGCTGGAAGCGAACTATTCATGCTTCTGTTTCACTCTTTCACCAATTTGCGCTCTACATTGCCTTATTACTAGTTTTTCAGTCTATCATCAAGTCGTGTCTTTGTATCACTTCCTTACAGCCAGTCCCTGTCGCGCCCTGTCGCGGCGCATTTCGCCACCGTACTTCGCCCGGATAGTTTGCTTCGTCTTTGTCGTTGGTTACCCGTCACTATTGCCACGCTAGAATGGCACATATAGGATCATCGTCTTCTCTGCAGAACCCCGCCAGATCCTCACCTTTGAAAAGCCGCGCTGCAATGCCCCGTCCGCAGCCTCGCAGTCTCCGTGCTGCATCAACAGCATCGAAGAGAAAGCACGAAGATGATGATCGCAATCCCTCAACGCCTCCAAAGCGAGCCCGTCGCAAGTCCACGACCCAGCCTAATGTCCCTTTATCCTCAGCCGAAGTGGTCAATCTGACTGGCAGCTCCCCCGTCGCTACCCCGGTGAAGAAGAATTCGCGCGTCAGTCAGGATGAGAATGAGAATGATGATGAGTACTGGCGGAATGCGACCCCTGAGCGTCGCGAGCGGCGGTTTCGCGCGCGCCCGCCCCGTTCATATCTTGAACGGCTGCAGCGTGCGAGGACACAGCGGTGCGTAGAGCTCCAGCTCCTCTTTCGTCAAAGCCTCTGCTGACATGTTCCCTGTAGGATGTACGTTGTTGGACACACCGTCACTGACGTTGAAGGCGTCCCGAAGATGGAGTTTGATATCGTGGGGACGACTGGAAACATCTACAAGACCACGATTGGGAAGGTGCCGTTCTGCAATTGCCCCGACGGCCGCAAAGGGAACCAGTGCAAGCATATTTGCTATGGTACGTCCGCTCCGATAACTCACCCACAGTCGCTATCGATACCCCCTATAGCCCCTATTTTTATGACTATTCCTAACAAAATGGCCGGCGAAGTCCTAGTGAACGTCCTCAAAGCGCCCGCTCACCTCCAGTACCAACTGGCTCTCCTGTCCAGCGTAAGCTGCCCCAACAAACCCGGCCCGACTGGCTACCCACAGAACTCACCGCAATACAGGAACTCCGCGACATCCTCGAACACTCCTCCCTCACCCGCGAAGGACAACCCCAAGCCGACGACAACCAGGGCAAGCGCAGGCCCATCGAAGGCGACTGTCCGATCTGCTTCATGGAATTCGAGCCCGAGAAGGAAGAAATCGTCTGGTGCCGCGCAGCATGCGGGAATAATATCCACAAAACATGTTTCCAGCAGTGGGCTTTTACGCAGCGCGCGCAGGGCGTGCGATGCGTTCTCTGGTATGACCCCGTGTCACCGCGTATGGAAATAAATACTGACGTGATGATTCTAGCCGCACGGCTTGGCAGTCGGACAGCAGCGACCTGAATCTGGAACAACTCATGCAGAACGGAACCGTCAACGCGGACGGATACGTCAACGTTGCCAGCCACATGGGCCTTTCGGGTCAACGCGGTATGAAACCGTCCCTGTATTCTCCCAATACTCTGTCTGAATTCTTACCGGTGCTAACGGTTTCTAGACTATTCCACATATCATCAGCCTTGGGTCTACCGGCGATTCTACAGCTCTGGCTGGCGCAGGCGTCGGTATGAAGAGGAAGACTGGGAGTAATCACCAGGGGCGCAACGGTCGTATCTTGCTTGTTATTTCTACTACGGCGTACTGGTCACGGGCTGAGGGCTTGAGGAGTGTTTCATTGGTTTGATACCCGGGCAGATAGCTTCCAAGTTAATTCCAATATTGATAGAACGAGCCTACAGATGTGTAATATACCAATGTATGTAGAATGGCCTTTCGCCACAACACTATCCAACGGTTCTCGTCTTCAGCCAAATTCCTATATCCAATGGACATGCCGTTTTCCGTGGAGCTTCGTCCCAATTCGAGGGATGGTTCAGGGGGGTGTACTCAGCTCCCTGGACAGCTGCCAAGGTGCGACGCAGCTCGACCTGGGAGGGGTAGGGCCGGCCGGACGTGCCTGCGTATTCGACATTCATCCTGTGGCGGAGGAATGTTGATAGGTCCATGGGCGCAGATAGATGTGATGTATGATGGGGTTTACGGCAGAAACGGTCATCCACTGTCTTTGACTACACGGTTCCCGTCGCGGACGACGGCAACACTGACGGCCTCTTCACCCGTCATCCACGAAGGCATCCGTTCGGGATCGACGACCCCTAGCTCCGCGAGCCGTCGAATCCCGCTGATAATATCTGATCCCGCAAAGGTGAGGGACAGCGCAGGTTGCGTCTGTCCGACATCGTCGTCGTCCGGCTTGTCATCCGGAGCGTCCAAGAGCCGGACATCAAGACGGTCCAAGGGCGCAGAAACGAGCGGAGACCCGGCGGTGCCGAACCGCGACTGTATCGTGAGCTTGCGCTTCTTGGGTACATGGTAGTCTGGCTCGCGGCGTCTGGATTTCTTCGCCGTCGATGGATCCTGGGTATCGTCCTCCGGTTGGGTAAGGTTCTCCTTCTCTGGATCCTGGATCTGAGTCAGGTATTCCTCCGGCGACACGGTGTTGGATGGTCGCGGATCGAGTGGGCTTCCTTCGACCACGGCGTCGGCGAAGATGCTGAAGGCGCCGTTGGCGCCGTTGGACCGTCCGGGACCGCGCAGCTTCAACAGTGTCCTGAGGCTCTTTGCGGTGAGGGAGGTTGCTTTGAGGGTGTATCGCTGGTGCGGGAGTGAGAGCGCTTTGGGGATGGCGTCGCGCACGATACGCTGCAGAGTGCGCGAGTCGGTCGCGACGACATCCGTGGCGGGTTTGGACGGACCGGACGACGAGATGGAGGTGTAGATGAAGGGACAGCTGTCGGGGAAGGCGACGTAGATGACTTTGGACGCATCTGTTAGGGAGTCGGGCGCTTGTCGCGGGTTCTGGTATGGCGAGTTTGTCACGAAAATGCGCAGGAAGGTCACCGGCAGGGTCTTCGAGCGCGCCAGGTAGTAATGCGATTTCACCAGGGGAGCGATCTGTTGCTGGAGTTTGCTGAGAAAGGTCGACGCATGCACGCGCGGAATGCAGGCGGCGGTATCAGCATCTGTCAGACCGGATGGTCCACCGCTAATGCGACTCAGCTCCAGCGCGGTCCAGCGCAGGCTGGACGAGTGGTCGTCTAGATACCGGAGGTCGATCATGGCGAGCTGGCGCAGGGTAATCCCGTGGCGCCAGTCGCCCTCGAGGATGCGGTCAATGACTTCGCGCTTCCCGCCTTTGCGCATCTGCAGCTCCTGGTAGGCGTTCCGGACATCGTCGATGGTGTGTTCGGCGGGATAGGGACTGAGCTCTTCGTCGTCGGGGTTGTTGCGCTCGTCCTCGAAAAGATATGGCGGAAACGTTTGCCAGTTGCGATCCTCGAGCCAGTAGAAAGCCAGGTCCAGCAGCGATTGACGGGTGAGCTTTCCTAGGGATCTCACGAGCGACGGGGTGGTGGACGGGATGCGGAGATCATTGGGGAGGCTGGCGGTGGTGGGGGCCCGAATGGATTTTGAACGCGACATCGTGATGTGAATTTGAGGTTATGGAGGGTCCAAGTAGCTCAGCATCCTCTTGCTTCTGTTGGTCGACGGGGCGCTGGGATTCCGTCGCGGTCGTTTGGCGCATCGTCCGTCATTCGGACATTGTTTGGCATCAACAAACCGGCAGTCACGTGGCGATAGCGGTCGATACAGCAGATGACTAATCTATTTCGGGCGGAATGGATCGACGAATGACCGCTCGGGATTCAGTTTCCTGGAATAGAAGTCATTGATGCCTGAGGCAGGAGAACACGGACCATTTTTGTTAGTCAATCTCATTAGCGATCGTTAACTCACTCAAGATACAGTTCGACCGCGGCTGACTATTCCACTTTGGTTGGAAGTCCGCTCGTGTTCGTCTGAGTAACGTGACCGCCCGCAAACCGAGGTCCGCTCCACCCATGTGGCATGCGGCGGATGAAATATCGTCGGCCTCACTTGGATAACGCCGACGCTGAGGACGATCGCGAAGTGTTCGGATATTTTGCGGATACGATTTTATCCAACAAGCTGCATCTTGTCGGCCAATAAACGCCATGTCAAGACATAAACCTCCGAGGAAGACAGTAGCTGTCGTTGGTTCCGGATTGGCGGGCCTGACAACCGCATATCTACTTGCGAGGGACAGCAAGGAGAGATATGATGTGGAAGTCTTCGAGATGGTACGGAATGATATGTTCGTGCAGTCTGCGCCCAATGCTGACATCGGTTTTTAACTCAGCAAGATCGCCTGTCACTCGATTCCGCCTCCTACACGCCCGCAGAGCAATCTGCAACTCCTACGCAAAGCCGCGTAGATCTACCAATGCGCGCATTCGCTGGTGGCTACTATAATAACCTGAAGCTCATGTATGAGTACCTCGGGTTGAAATTTGCGTCGCCGAAATTCATCTATCCTGTTTCTGCCCTCCCCGAAGACGGTTCCGCAACGCCCACGACCTACTATATCCACTCCTCCAATAATCACAGATTTCCTCCTTTAAGACCCGATACGTATCGACTCGGAGCGTGGATCTGGGAGTTATGCTACTTAGCAGCTTGTTACTTTTGGTTCACCGCTTGCTGCTTTCTGATAGCGCCCAAAACCCACGACCAGTCTGGCGAAGTAGAGTCGCTTGCGGAGTATATCGAAAGAATCCATTTGCCGCGGTACTACACCAAGAAATACTTGCTTCCGTTGATGTCGAGCGTGACGACGTGTCCCCATGATGCCTTGCTAAGGTTTCCAGCGACGGATATCTTGGGTTACGAGAAACGGACATACGGACAACCCCATTTTACCGTCGCTGGCGGTGTTCGTCAGGTTGAGGAGAAGCTTTCTGCGGGCATCAAAACTAGGTTTGGAGCCAAGGTCACAAATGTGACGACGGTGGGAAACAAGGCCCACATCTCCTGGACAGACGTACACAGCCGCCAAACGCATGAAGACGTATTCGATTATGCTATCCTTGCCGTGACACCAGATGTGGTCGGTGCCATATTCCAGCCTCTACGACAAGCCATGATGTCTGTGCCAACTGTCTCAGTGGAGACAGTCGTGCATTATGACACTAGCAGAATATTGCAGTCGAGCAAACATGTTTGGAAGAACATGGATTCGGACAATCGATTCTTTCGAACCACGGCGCACGCGCAACCGATGCATATATGCTCAAGCTCCTCGGCAACTGAATCTAGCCACGAACACCCATCGTCTGCAATTGTGACGACAGGCCCGGTGGCACCAATCGATCCCGCGAAGATCGTCCACCGTGTCAGACTGGTTCGGGTTCTGCGAACTACCAAGAGTAGGAAGCTGATCAATCATATATTTGACGCAATGCCATCGGCACGAATCCAAGACGAAAAGATGCCTCAATGGCGGAGTGGAGATGGAAATGTTTTCCTCGTAGGTGGTTGGTGCTGGGATGGTATGGTTCTTCTGGAGGGGTGCATTGTGTCCGCGATGAGAGTGGCAGAGCAACTAGGCGTTGACGTACCGTGGGTGGTGCCTCGTTAAGTCGAGGGATCGTGCGCCTGGCGTTGTCCTCTGATTCCACAGCTTGACGAGTTGTCTGTACTCCGGGGTATTTTATTTCATGTCGACAATCCCCGAAACTTCATCCATTGACGAAGCAGCCGAAGCGGCGGCCAACGTTCTCTGTCCTGCGCCTTTGTGCTTCAATATATATAATTTTACATGCTTAGCGTTGTTCAAATAGATATCCTTCTCACTTTACCTACATCCTATATGAAGAGGCAGACAGAGGAGGAGGCTATTTACATCGACCACGTACCATACAATGCTAACCGGCAGGGAAGCGCTTTCCTAATTAGGTACGCTATACCGGATACAGTAATTCGCCGTCCCCGCAGAACAGGGAGTATACAGGAAGTAGACAGAATGGCTTCGAGTACCATAATCTAAGCGCCTGAAAGCATGGGCCCGGCTCTTGATACCGGGTACACGGAATAGGGGAATTTCTTAGGGTGAGCAGACCGGAAAAAGTCAGTGCCTGGTTCCGACACAGAGACAAAGTTTGAGACGGCCACGATTCTGTGGTTCCGCATTCCGACTTCGGGGAGGCCAGGAATGTACGATGTATGATTCAGATCGATGTCATTTGACGGTCATGGAGGATGGTCGATGAACTCGTGGTGATGTGATACCATACCTGCATGGATGAGATTATCAGATCATAGGTACTCCGTAGATCGAAGAAGCGAATCCTTCAGGACATACCTGACCATCGTAGGGGTCTTATTATTTTCCATTATCCGCGGGAAGCTGAACGTCGATAGGAATATTAGCGGAACCGGCGTTAACCAACTCGTAACCGTGCTGACAAACTCCGCGAATTAATCAGCTCCCCCACTTCACTTTTCACCCTCTTTGCTCCGATCATCCCACACTTCTCCCCTCGTCATCTCACTGTCCTCATCTCGCCGTCGACACCATCGATTTTGTCGCCTTCGAGATACCTCCCACGATTGCAACCTGTATCGACTCAGTGTCGTCGCCACCAAATTATCGCAGTCTCAGTAGACGGCGGTCCCGTGCGTCCCGATTCGTCGAGCCGCCTCGAGTCATCCTACACACATTCCAAGTACAAGTCACCATCAATCGATCGCGGATCTTCAGGTAGAGGCTTCAGACGCCTCAGACACTCCGGTCACCATGTCTGAATACAACGGCCGTCGGGCCCCCAACTTCTCCCAATACCTCCAAGACCTGAATGCCATTCCCTCGCCATACGACCAGGCCCTGCAGCAGCAACAGCAGGATGTCTTCAATCTCGACGCCGAGCTCTCCATGTTCACCAACACCGAGTTTTTCGATTTCGACAACTTTGGCGATCTCAATCTGCCCACCTTCAACTCGGTGGAGGGCGACAGCCTGAAGACGGAAACCAAGCCAAAGACCGCTCACAATACGGATATGGAATTTCTGGACCTTCTAGGTGGTAAGTCATACTATATATTTGATGGTGTTTTGCTGGACGAGCTGGTATCATGGGACTCTTATGGTGTTTTTGAACACCTTCATTTCTATCCATTTTCTCATTTTCAGTCATTTGACTGGGAAATTGTGGGAAATTGCGTTTGTACCTGTTGAACGGCCCCTTGTGCTCGGTTTTCGCTTGGTTCATTTCCTTGATATCACTCGTGGCCCTGATCGTCCCCACTGGTCATTTCCCACCTGCTCCGGCAAGCCCCGTCTATACACCATCTGCACGTGCAGCGATTGGTCTACCGTTCGCATCGCGTTCCTGGCGTGCATGGATCGAAATAAGTTTCGTGCTACTTGCATGGACCTGCGACGGCGGATAGCGCGAATGGGCCACACTATGGCGCCATATCACGTGATGACCAGTGGGGTGGTTTATCTCCTCTCCAAGTACCCGATTACCAGCTCGTTCAGAGGGACACAGAACAATGTTTTGTTGATAATGGATGCTAACTCGAGCAGATGGTTTCGGTAATATGCCGGACTACTCCGCCGACTTCAACACGGTAAACACCCAGCCGCAGCCGCAGACACAGACGCAAAACCAGACGAGTAGCCCGACGTCTGTATCAGATGTATCTTTCTCTGCGGCCCAGATTCCCAGCGGTCCGCTGGCTGCCAAACAGGCTACCCAGTCGGCACCACAGACGGTAGCCCCGACGCAACCCGCTGCACCAGCTTCGGCTTCGACCCCGGCTCCGGCTCCGGCTACTGCCACTCCCGCCGGCCCCAAGCGCAAGAACACGCAAAAGACGCCGCCGATGAGCGTGGAAGAAGCGGCACGCATCGCGGCGGAGGAGGACAAGCGTCGGCGCAACACGGCGGCCAGCGCGCGGTTCCGGGTGAAGAAGAAGATGCGCGAGCAGGCGCTGGAGAAGACGGTCAAGGAGACCACCGAGAAGAACGCCGCTCTGGAGGCGCGGGTCACGGCGTTGGAGCTGGAGAACCAGTGGCTGAAGAACCTGATCACGGAGAAGAACGGCAAGTCGGAAGACAACAAGAAGTCGGAGTCGGACATTGCCAACATGTTCAAGAAGTTCCTTGCGACGCACGCGGAGAACCAGCGGAGTAGCTCCGAGTCGAAGATCGGCGTGGGGACTGCCTGACTTCCAAGAAAAAGAAACGAAAAACCGTGAATGTGTGGCTTTCTGTAGATTTGTTATCGTTTAGCTTGGTTTCTGCATTGTGAATATGGTTAGGGTAGGAGACAGGAGAGGCGTCTCACGGAGCAAGGCACGATTGACGAGCACATACTAGACAATATCAACGTTCTCTACTACAACACCTCTCCACCTCCTAGTATACTCCCCTCACAACCGAGCAACAACCACAACCCCCCTAACCACCCCCGTCCGCGCCCACCAGTCAAACACCCGCGCCGCAACCCGATACCGCCCAACCGACAGCCCATACGCCCGCAACTCCCTATCCCTCCGCCAAATAAACCCCGCCAACCCCCCAAACACATGCATCGAAACATCAACAATCTCCACCCGCTCCAGCGCATACCCCGCCCGCACAAGGAGCGCCTCGTACTCGGCGCGCGTGACAAAGTTCCCCACCGGCATCCGGGCCACCCAACACACCATCCACAGGAGCAGTTTCTGCCAGGGTGACGCGCCGTCGGCAAGGAGGAGGTCAAAGGCCATGAAGGAGGCGCGGAGCGAGCCGTTCGCGTACGCCAGCAGCGGCCGGCGCGAGGGCCGGAAGTGGTAGAGCGTGTCTAGCGCGAGCAGCCAGGTCTGTGTCTGCTTGCCGTCAGCGTCGGCAGACTGCAGGGTAGACTGTAGGTCTGCCGGCCAGGTAGTTGGGTCCGCTGCGTCCGCGGCGAAGATGTGCGCGTGCGCGTGCGCTGCGGAACTGGGCGGGAGGCGCTGCCGCGCGACATCCGCTTGGAGCGGGAGATCGGTGATGCCGACGTAGCTGTCGAACAACGGTTCTTCTGTGATTGCGTCTGTGGATGCGGACGGGGTGAAGCGCCGCGCGCGGAGCAGCTCGAGAGTCTGGTCGCCGCAGCCGATGCCGACGTCGACGAGACGGAAGCGCGTCTGCGGTGGGTGGTGGGCTGGACCGCCGGATGGGTCGAGGAGACCGGCGGTGATGAGGACCTGCTGGAGCAGGGCGGCGCAGGCGGTTGGGAGGTCGGATGCGTCCTGTACTTGTTAGTATCGTTTGAATAGTGCGCATAGAGGGAGGTGGTGAGCGGCCTACCTTCCAGTACCCCATGTTCATCCACATGGACGGCGGGGGAACGGGGAGATTGAGGATGGCATGGTCGAGGCTGTAGGTGGACTTGTTCGGGGTGGAGAGGGAGAAGAGGCGTTTGATGAGGGAGAGGAGCCAGGTTATGGGGTTCATCTTGGTTGAAGATACATGTTGGTGTTGTTGGTAGGGTAGTGCCTTAGTCATTTCGTTCGCTGAGGGTACTACCTAATTAAGTAATCCTTTAACACTCGTAGTATACTCTACCACTGCACTGCCTTATGCATTCTGATCGCTAGTATAAGACCATAAGACCCAAGATCCAAGATCGATCGATCGAAGCCGACCGCGGCATGTGAAGACAGTCGACTCATGTTCTGTTCATTGCATCCTCAAAGACTGGAAAACACGCGAGAAACTACATATGCAACGCCTTTGTAGGGATATCAATAAAACAAACCCACCCAGATCATATCAACCCAACTCCATAAATGAAATCTATCAACCATCATCCCAGCATTAGTCGTGGCGTGAAAAGAAAGCAACAATCGATCGGAATCGCATCACGTCATTCATCTGACCAGCCTCACTCGGCGCAACAATCACTCTGTCTTGGCTCCTAGTCCGTCCTCGTCACTCTCGTCTCCATTGATCTCCCCCCAGCCGGAGCTACGACGGCTCACCCGTCCGCCGCTCACTACCTGGCCTCCCGCCACTGCCCCCGAGATACTCGCCGCATTGCTGTCGTGGCGGCTATGCGACTGACTCCCACTCATAATGCTCGCCCCATCGCCGGTGCCCGGGCTGGCTTTGCTGGCGTAGAAGCTCCCCCGTTCCCCGCCACCACTGACGGGGGCCGCGCCCGAGGACGAGTAGACGCTGATGCGCTCCGCGCTGGCCAGACCCACCAAGCTCGGTCGGTTCAGCACCCCTGGCGCATTAAAGGTCGAGGTGTTGGACGGCTCTCCAGCATTGCCGCTCAACACGCTCAACGGCAGACTCTCGCGACTACCCCCAAACACCGACGAGGGCGCCAGCGCGCGCACCGACGCATTGGTGTCCAGCGAGTTGCGACGGCGGCGCTTGGACGAGGAGGCCAGTGTCAGGATAGAAGCATTGTCCGTGAGGATATTGTTCGCGGTCGCGGTGCTATACGTCACCGAGTGGCCGTGGGGAACCAGATGGGGCGGCACAGCCGTTGCGGGCGACGGGGGGAATTGGTGGGAAAACTGCACTTGCTGGGTGGTCGTGCTCTGAGAGGAGTTGGCATGCGGGAGGCCGGGATGGGCGTTCTGCGCATGCTGATTGTAGAGATGGCCCGATGGGGCAGCCGACTGCACGGTCGTCAGCGTGGTGGTCAGCGACCGAACCGATGGGGCGGGCGATGAAAAGGTGCTTCCTGCTCCTCCCCCCATGGAGCTGATGGCGCCCCCCGCGGTGGCCGAGGTGCCCGCCTTGGAGTGTGCCGCGTCTGAAATCGCCGTATCGGCATTGGTGGAGATAGTGGGGGCCGTGGATTTGGCGCTGGTCGCGGGGACCTGGTTCTCGTAGCCGGAGAAGGCCACCGAGGGGGCACTCTGTGAACAGGATCGGTGGTTGTAGTCATCACTCACATCGGAGGTGGTGTTGTCGCTGGCGTAATCGTTGACGTGAGGTGTGCCAGACAACGGGTAGGGGTTATTCTTGCAGCTGCGGCCTTTGCTTTTGGGCATGCCATGGCGTTTGTTGGACCAGCGGGTGCTCGATTCGGTGGAACTTTTGAGGTTGGCGAGCCGTTTCATCCAGCTGGAAAAGGGGCGACGGCGTCCATTGCGATCTGGCATGTTAGAGAGGGGGCTGTATAGGACAGGGATAGATGGTACCTACCATGCGCCCTGGCGGGGCCCTCCGCGGTGGCCATCGATGCGATTCAACACGGCCACTATCTTCAGGCAACTCGAACGGGGCAATGTAGATGTCGGGTCTTGACCAGATGAGCAGCAGCTGATAGCGGGTGGACACTCGATCAGATAAGGGCGGAGGGGCGATGGATGTGATGGATGCGACCAGGCAGACAGTCAAAAACAGCGGGAGAGAAGATCGAGGAGGGAGGCAGGAGGCGATATTTATGTGTTGTCGGAGTAATGAGAGAGCTTCTCTTTCACCGACGAGAGCAGAATGGAGGAGGGTTGGACAAGAAGGCGCTGGGAGAAGGCGAGATTCAGGAGAGGCGCTGGAAAGGGAAAGGCGGGCAGCCAGCCAGCACGTGATGCCCAACCAGCCTACGTTAGTACCTTACATACCTTGTAGGGTAGACTGTTTGTTTGTACCTTACCTTACGTGCATCTCCTCTCCGCCGCCACTCCGTCTGCAGATCAACCTGGCCTAATTATAGAAGCTGTCGTGGCTCCCTTGAAGGACCGTCCATTGTTGTCCTCACAAGCAGAAGAGCCAACATGGATTGGCAAGGTTAAAACGTAAGGGCAGATCTTGGAGATCCAGAGGTCAAACAAGATGTACGCTGTTAACTATCTACTCTAACCTGCAATTTCCAAGATCATTACTCCATAACAGGACAAGGAACAATAATGGTACTTATGGTTGCTTTGGACGGCATGTGTATGATGCAAAAATCTCATCCGCACAAAGCCGTTCCATCGCGTCTTGCTGCAGCGACATCTGCACCTCCCAAGCATTGTCCTGGTGTCGTTTGGGCAATATAAATAGTTGCCCATCACCTATCGCCTCGGGGAACACCATGTCGACCGGCTTGCCTAAATCATGGCCAAAATCGGCCGTGCCGATGCCCGTGTCACGCCAACTGCTCACGTTGAAATTACTTTGACCGACACCAAGGGCGGAAAAATCCGAGACGCCCTCAAGATAGGCGACGACGTTCCGAATGAATGTGTCGTCGATGGAACGGAGTTTCTTGCGGACAGCGTATGCTACACGGGACAGAGTCTGTATAATGCTCGACTGGTCGTCCGGCACGACATCCATTCTGATGCTTCTCCGGAGCGGGACAAGAGCGTTTCCAATGTAGGTCGCGGGGATGGACGGAGTCGTTCGGCCACGAATATTGACTGCCATGCAGATCATCCCAGACACGGGTAGGACGGTGGTCGTTCTTTCGTTAGACCTATCCTGCTGGGCACGTATGAAACACATCCAAAAGAAGGAGACCAAGACATCATTTTTAGATACCCATGGCTGCTCCAAGTTCTCGGATGATTCCCGAAGCCAGCCATTGCATGCATTGGCAAGCGACTCCAACTTTTCGGCAGGGAGCAGGAAACGCTTCATCGTCAGGGACCGTGCGGCTTGTTGCATAGCACGTATAGTGTTCTCATCCGGAGGCGCAACCACCGGATACTCAGCGCTGTGGTCTATGCTCGGAAGCAGAACAGATCGGCCCAGGCCACTAGCGCTCAGAAGCGCCCGTCCGTCGATTTGTGCCCCAGGGCTCGTCTCTAATTCCCCTGTGGTTTGGGGGCTGCTGCCTCCGGCCCGAGTACAACATCTCGCCAAGTCGCGTATGAGGACTCCCGCTCCCGTGGCATCCATAGCCCGATGGTGGAAGGCAACCCCAAGAATAATCCCGTCTGTCATTGCGTTTGCCTGTAGACGAAGGATTGGCGCCGGGGTGTGCGGATCGGCAAAGAGAGCAAGAGGCAGGTATTGCTCTTCAGTCATAGTGGATCGCGCGTGGTAGGACACTTTGTGGTGCTTCACGTTTAGTATACTGGCATCGGCGTTCTCCCGATGACTCGGTGGCACAACCTGCATAGCGCCTTTTCTTGCACCGGGGGTCCAAACAGGTGCGACGCATCCGGTCACGACTGGGAGTTCAGAGGCTAAGAGAGCAGCCCCATGTTGCAGGGATTCTACTGCTGAAGCGACGTTCGACACGGGAAATATCAGGGCAAAACGCACATAGCAGGGAGGAACAGTATGGTCGAGACTGGTGAGGCCATAAGCCTCAAAGGGTGCCTTGATAGTCATTTCGAGACTTGTTTGAACATGAATTCTTGATACTTGGATCAAGGTCTTCTGTCTTATATACTTCATTCAGGCTGCGTATGCTGTAGAAGCCGGAAAGCTGCATCCCTTGCATTTGCTTCAGCGTCTAATTGGAACCACGTCTTCTACCACATTTCATACAGAACGTGGGTGGCTGCAGCGACATACGCAGTCCCAGGTGCAGAATTCGTAAGCAAAAAGCGTCGTGAGTATGTCAACAACCGGGTTGGAACTTGGCCCTCTATGCACGATGGGGCCTGGTGAGCAGGACCCCTTGCTCCATGGCAAAGGCTAATCGCACCGCCGAAGCAACTGGGGCATCCGGAGCTGTGCTAGCATCGTGCTGATAGAATCATCTAATCGCTTCATACGGCGGTTGATGATAGACAGTTGTGAGCCGGCTCAGACACCAATATTAATCGCGACCTGGTTCACTACAGCAAGCGCCTGTTGATCTTGGATAACATGCCTCACCGGCCGATTAAGTTTCTGTTTTCTTGGCCATTAGTGATAGAGTTACACCGGGATCTGGTGGTCTTAGCATGAGTAGTATTGCTTTGTCGCTTGGCAATGTCCCGAAGCTTACTGTGTCACATTCATGCGGCCTTTAGCAAACAGTCTTTGCATCTTTTCCATGAAACCAGGCCGAAGAATTGGGCTTTCTGGACTTGGATGGAAGTAGTGTCCGATGACGTCTTCGTCATGCTCTTCGTCATGCATAGTAAGATCCGGCACGTAAATCCGGTATTTGCAATCACCCTGGGATGGTAACAGCAAACAGATCTGCTTGTTCTTCGGCGTGGGCATGAGCTCCCTCGCGTCAAAGTCGGCTTCTGGCTTGGGAGAATGTCTAGGGAGGTGTCCTTGCGTGAACGCTCTTCTCTCGCGGACAGCCACGGCGTGGTAGGAGGACTGGCTCGAGTCGGTCAGGACGCGTTGGCGGACGGTGGGAAGAAACAGATTGCGATCACGGAGAGCACTGTAAGAATATCTTCTGCCAAGGTCAGCCTGGCAAACATGAGCATGCATGGATGTGTCCATGTCTAGCCGGATGCCTAAGCCACCGCCATCAACGCCATTAAATGCAAAGGCGAGCACACCGCTGATGATGGGCTTCAGGAAAGAAAAGCTAAGTGATACGTCACAAAGACACTGGGTAGTTTCAGGTGTTGGGATTGTACGATAATCTCATATAGGCAACTAGCTGGGGCATTGTGTCGCTCAAGAATGGCCGCTTGTATACTTCCTGATAGGTTATCGCCACGTGACCGACATCATCGGCCACTTCTTTCCAACAACCCTTTCTGTATCTCTTCCACTCTCGACAAAATGGAAGCAACTCCCATCGACTAGAGAAGTCAGTGATGAGCCTCTCCGTCTCGATTGCCCATCAATGTCGACGCCCACAGCTGCTGTCACGTGGGCAATCACGTAATGCCGAATCCAACCCATCGAGAACGATACAAGCTCAAAGTCTACCATGTCGCGGACAACCTCTCGCATTGAACCCCTTCCGCCGGATGTGATTGCAAAACTCAAATCATCCACTTCGATCACCCAGCTGAACGGCGTCGTCGTCGAGCTCGTCAAGAACGCATTAGATGCCAATGCCCACACGATCTATGTGACGGTGGACTTCCCCCGCGGAGGCTGCGTGGTGGAGGATGATGGAGCCGGCATTCCCCGAGAGGAATTTGAGCCCGGTGGTGGGCTGGGGAGAGCCCATCATAGCTCGAAACTTCATGCAGGAAAGGCTGTATACGGTCGCAAAGGGCTGTTCCTTGCGTCGTTATCGTCCCTCTCTCTGCTGACCATCACGTCGCATCATATTCGGCAATCCAGCACAAATGCCATTATTTTCCATCGTGCCGCTCCAGTTGCTCGATTGACGCCAGCACCGGTGCAACAGGAGCTCCGATTCAGAGCCCATGGAACGAGCGTCACGGTCAATGACCTCTTTGGCAATATGCCCGTGCGTGTGAAGAGCCGATCGTTGGCCTTGCAGAAACCGGACGAGCTGGACCGACAGTGGGAGGAGCTGAAACACCTCATAGTCTCGGTAATGATTGCGAACGACGGCTTGACCAAGCTGGTACTTTCGGACGCACGAAAGGAAAGACGACTCAACCTTTCTCCTAGACCTAGTCGTCTGTGGCGAGATGGCGAACTCGACGTTCGGCGCTTTGCTTCCATTCTTACCCAGGCTGGCTTGGTTGACGTGCAGTCCCCAGATCAGTGGGACACGGTTTCTGCGTGCGTTCCGGATCTGTCGATACACGCCGCTATTTGCCTCAGCCCGAGTCCAACAAAGAAGGTTCAATTTATTTCGATCGGTATCAACCCGGTTTATCCACGAAACAACGCCAACTTGCTATACAATGAGATCAACCGTCTATTTGCTTCTTCGGACTTTGGTACGGGCGCAGCAAACAATCCAAACCCAGGTGGTACATCCATGGCCAAGAACGTCAACAGGTGGCCTATGTTCTACATACGCATCGACATGGGCGGGACTGAAATCAAAGACAGTGATGAAGAGTTTCCAGAGTCAGACAAGTCCATTCAACGCATTCTTGACGTCCTTGGGGCAATGGTCTCCGAGTTTCTAGCCCAGCACCACCTACGCCCACGCGCGGGAAAACGCCGACAAGGGCCTCGAAAACAGGATCCCAATACTTTGCCCGCTTCGGAAACTACATCACGGCGGTTGGATTATGCCAGTAGCACCGAGGAAGCTCTGGGTGACCAAGTAAAGATGCCAGCTTTTCAAAGATCATCCCAGAGTCAGTATTTCAAAGGCTGGTCCAGGATTAAAAGTGCCAAGGAGCTTATCAATGACCAGTCTGCTGGTCGCGCACGGAGTAACGGGTCTCAAACGGAAGTTGACCTACACAAGGTTGGGACTACTGCATCGGTAGAGTCAGACGAGGATACAAGTGCAATGCAGGAAGAGACAGACACCATGATCCCTTGGACTGATCCCTATACGGGACGAACTCACCTGATCGACTCTCGCACTGGGCAATCGACAACTAAGGAACCTGGACAGAGACCCCATTCAACTGGCTCGCTCTGGACATCAAAGTCATTGGACAAATTACACCGACCGAGATCAGCTGTTTCGAACACAGCTCACAATGCGTGGGTGCAGAATGTGCTCAGTCGATGGGGAAATCCCGTGTTCAGTCGTGCAGAACAGCCCATCAGCGTGTTTGACTCCGGTCAGACCAATCCAGCCGAGGGTCGTCCCGGCAGTACTTCAGGCGATTTGTGTGGATTCGAGGATTTTGGGCTGTCAAGGTTTCGGGAGAAACTCCACAGGCAAGATCTTGACACCGCCGAGGTCATTGCGCAGATCGATCAGAAGTTTATCCTTGCGAGGCTGCGGCCCTCGTCACCTTCGGAGTTTGTTTTGGTTCTGATTGATCAACACGCCGCGGATGAGCGATGTCGGGTTGAGAGACTTTTTGGAGAGTTTTTTGCGGATGATAGGTCTGGTCGTGTGCAGACTATCACGGTCGACCCGATTGTCTTGGAGGTGGCTAAGAACGAGGCCTCTCTGTTTGAACGGTACAGGGAGTTCTTTAAATGCTGGGGAGTTGAGTTTACGCTCGAGCAAGGGGCGGATGATAGATCCGCTGCTATCGTTGTGTCGACGCTTCCCTCCCTCATTGCAGAGCGCTGCCGAGTCGAGCCCAACTTGATCACTGATTTGATTCGCGGGGAGATCTGGACACGCGAAGAGACCGGGCGAGGCCCGTTCGAGGCCGCGACATCGGGTGAGGGCCTGAACTGGGCCACGCGAATGAATGGATGTCCGAAGGGTATCGTCGATCTACTGAATTCGCGGGCCTGTCGGACGGCGATCATGTTCAACGACGCGCTGGCCGTGGACGAATGCCAGCGGCTGGTGATGCAGCTGGCGCGATGTCTTTTCCCGTTTCAATGTGCGCATGGACGGCCATCGATGATCCCGATCTTGGATAGCAGCGGCGCTGGGGATGAACCCGAGAAGGAATACACACAGGACCAGGATTTTATAGAAGCGTTTAGGCAGTGGAAGCACTGATTATATTAAGTCACGCGTATATAATCGACCGGACTGTGTCCAGTACATGACTAGATTTATTTGTTGAACCAAATGCTATCATCCTCCGCGTCTTCATGAGCCTGCTCCGCCTGCTTGGCAATAGCGCAGCTGACACTGACGACCGCCTCTCCGACGCCATACGCCTCGTCCGCGAGATCCGCGGCCGATTCCTCCGTGGTGTAAACACGGCCAAAGCAGTCCTTGTCACTAGATGTAATCATTAGCTCCGTCAGACATCTGGAACACCATCTCCATACCTGTAGAAAGAGCACACGATGCCGGGAGTAAGAGCAGCCGACTCCACCTTGCCGGTCCTACATATCGCGTTAGCCAGATAGTTCCCTTGAAGAGAAAAAGAAAGGAGGTAGGTAACATACAGGTCCTTCCACGCCTTAAGGTCCCGAACATTATGGCAGACATTGGTAGTCGGGACCTCGGCGTAAGCGCCGCGGAAGTTGGTGTCGCTGTAGATGAAGGCCTGTCCGCGATACCATTAGCACACACAGCCCTTCTTTATCTTTAGTAAGTAAGAAGGGGCAGCAGGGTTTCGTACGCGGTTGGGACCCGCCATCACGGAGGTGGCGCCCAGCACGGCCAGGGAGAGGAGCTGCGCGAGTTGGACCATTTTGTCTGCGGTGGCCTTCTGGGGATGAACTGGCTTGGGATGGGATGGGGAGATGGGAATGGAAGGGGCTCGGGTCTGGTATTTATGTTTGCGAGTGAGGGTGATGAAGGGTGGGAGTGGGAAGTATGTACAGGGTGCGAGGTGAATGCCGCGGCCGCAAGGGTTAGGTATGTATGCTTCACGTTCTGGTCCTGCGGGCCAAAAATCACTTGTAGGTAGGTGTATTGGGCTCTGGTGATAGGATTGGTTTGGTGATTTGGCTGTTTGTTATGGTGCGGGCAATTGTTATAGTTCAGTACAGGTACAGGTGGTGCTAGTGCTTGTACTCGGCGAGGGTTAGGTGTATGTATGTATACCCGTTAGGATCATAATATCCAACAAGAATGTGCCTCTCCCTTGCCAGACAGAGCTGTGTTTACCAGGGAGAACTCAATTCCCGGAGAATGCGAACATCAGGAACAGGAACGATGTACAGAGTAGTACATCCAACCGCCAGTAAGCCTGCCATCCAAGAATACTAACTACAAGGCACCGTCTTCCTAACCTCCAACCCCTCCCACCCATCCAACGCCTCGCGACACTCCTTCTCGTACTGCGCAATACCCGCCAGATACGTCAGCATCTCGCGCTTCTTGCCCGGCACATTGGCGCCCGTCCACCACGAGTCCGTCTCGGCGTAGAACGTCTGGCCGGCGACCTCGTTGATCATGGCGATCCAGCGGTCCTCGGCGGCGGTAGTCGGCTGCAGCGCGGCGACGCCCTGCACCTCCATCTTGAGGATCGCCTCGAGGATCCAGTCGACCTGGCATTCGATGATGGTCGGGCCGTTGGACAGCGCGGTGGGGGCTGCCCATGTCATGGCACTACCTGTCAGCCACTTGCATGTACAATACTATAGGTTACCCGTTCGGTGGGGGTGGGGCCGTACCCTGCGGGGTGTACGCCTGGAAGCAGTTGGGAAAGCCGCGCACCACCATGCCGAGGTACGTGCGCACGCCGTTCTTCCAGACGTGCTTCAGGTTGGCGCCGTCCTGGCCGATGATGTCCATCAGGGCGATCCTGCTCTGTCAGCCACATACACATGCTGCATGCACTCTGGTGGAAAGGCTCACGACCCGGTAAAACTCTCAAACCCCGTGGCCATCACCACATAGTCGAACTCGCGGAACGTGCCGTCGGCGGTAACGACGCCATGCGCGGTGAAGCGCTCGAACGGCGTGTGCGCGAGGCTGACGACCTCGGCGTTGGGGCGGTCCAGGCTCTCGTAGTAGTCTTGCTCGAGGGGGTAGCGCTTGGTGAACATGGGGTAGGGCGGGGTGGGCGGGGCGAGCAGGTCGCGCTTGACGGGGTCGGCGATGCGGGCGCGGACCTTGCGGGCCCAGAAGTCGTAGGCGGCGCGGTTGGCGGCGCGGTCGACGTAGACGTCGGGCGCCTGGCCGCCGGCGAAGTGGAAGCCGCCGGCGCGCCAGAGGCGGTCCCAGGCGGCGTCGCGCTGCTCGGCGGACAGGTCGGCCAGGGGGCGGACCGGGAAGCCGGAGGTGCTGGCGCGGCTGGCGGCGAAGAGGGTCGGGTAGTAGGGGCGCAGGGCGTCCTGCTCGGCCGCGGAGAGCGGGCGGTTCCGCATGGGCAGGCAGTAGCTGGGGCGGCGCATGAACATGGCCAGGTGGGCGGCGTGCTTGGCCAGGTCCTGGACGATCTGCACGCTGGTGGCGCCGGCGCCGACGACGGCGACCTTCTTCCCGGAGACGTCGAGGTCGGCGGGCCACGCGGCGGAGTGGTGCACGACGCCCTGGTAGTCGGCGAGGCCCGGCAGGTCGGGCGTGTAGGGGCGGTGCAGCAGGCCCGTGAACAGACAGAGGTACTTGGCGACGGCGACGTGGCCGGCGTCGGTGCGGACGGTCCAGCGGGCGGCGGCGTCGTCCCAGGTGGCCGAGGAGACGCGGGCGTTGAAGGCGATGTCCTTCTTCAGGTCGAGCATCTTGTCGGCGTGGGCGAAGTAGCGGCGGATCTCGGCGTGGCCGGGGAAGCGCTCGGAGAAGTAGAAGTCCTGATAGACCTCGGGGATGGTGAGCTGGTAGAAGGGCCATTCCGAGTCGACGCGCGCGCCGGGATAGCGATTCCAGTACCACACGCCGCCGAGGTCGCTGGCGGCTTCGAAGACCTGGACGGTGAGGCCGGCTTTGCGCAGTTTGTGGAGGCCATAGGTGCCGCTGAAGCCGGCGCCGACGATGACGGCGTCGCGGAAGATGGTGTTTTCTATCGAGCCCATGATGACGACAATGGTATGAGGACAATGAGTATAGAAGGCAGTATGGGGATTCCCCCAATGATACTAGTATTTATATACGAAATCGACCGAGGCGACGGGACCCTCGGCTGTAGACCCCGCAACTGACAGCATCTCGGGATGGGTTGAGCAGCTGACTCGTTCGTTTGTAAGCTGAGAAGTTAGTGAAGTGCTGCAGGGGCTGTCATTGGGGGTTGATATCAGGGAGCATGTCAGGGAGTACGTCAGGCCAGCAAACATATGGCAGGGGGGAAAGGCACGGAGTACTAGGATGAGCTCCACCGATTCAACGCTGTCAGTCCACTGAGTCAGGGATCTGCTGTGCATAATTCTACTGTGCATGTGCCCACTACACTTCATACAGTCCCCCCCGCCCGATCAATCGGCACAATCGCCCCGTTAATCTCCTTGGCCGCGTCGGACGCCAGAAACGCCATGAGGTTGGCCACCTCGCCGGGGAGCGGCATGGTTTTCAGGTCGCCCGTCGAATGCAGGGCTTGGACAGGCCTAGTCGGTCAGCAGCCTTCTAGTTCTAATAACAGAAGAGGAAGCCTTACAGGACGGTCTCCAGCGCCGCCTGATCGAGCCGCGACATGTCGACGGAGTGCATGATGCCCGTGTTGAACCCTTGGCTGTTAGCATGCGCTCGTAGAAGAAATGTCAAGGATGGCACACACCCCCGGGACAGATAGCATTGCACCGAATACCCTCCTTGTGAAACCGCCAGGCAATATTCCTCGTCAGCCCGATCAGCCCGTGCTTACTCGCCGTGTAGGCCGCCCCAGCCACGGCACCACTCTGCCCGGCCCGGCTGGATACATTGACGATGTTCCCGCCGGGCTGCTGCTGCTGCTGGCGGAAGACGCGGACGACCTCTCCAGCCAGCAGCGCGGGCACGGTGAGATTGACCGCCAGCACCCGCTCCCACACCGCCGGGTCCATGGAGTCGACGCTGTGGAAGCCGTCCATGACGCCGGCGACGTTGAGGAGCACGTCGATGCGCGGGCCAAAGGTGCGCTGGCAGCCGTGCACGACGGCGGCAGGGCTGTCTTTGTCGCGGAGGTCGACCTGGTGGAAGTGGAAGCGGTCGTGGGCGGGGAGTGTCGAGGGGAGGGGGGAGATGTCGACGCCGTAGACAGTGGCGCCGAGCTTGAGGAAGAGCTGGGTGGCTGCTAGGCCCATGCCGGAGGAGGCGCCGGTGATGATGGAGGTTTTGTTAGTGAGGGAGATCATTCTGGAGTGTAGATGTAGATTGGAGTAGTTAGTAGGAAGAGTATAGACAAGACTGCGAAATGCACATATACATCGCATCTTTGCAGTCTCACAGGAGATGCGGGGCTGACTATCGGAGGAATCTCTATCCTTGTCTATATCGTCTTACTCTTACTCTTCGTATATTAGTATATACGTTGAGGAACGAGGTGGAGTGGAGTAGCGGAGGGATGGACAGCGGAGATCCTGCGGTGGCGCATGATAAGCAGCTGCATGTAGATGGTGTGGATTGCGCAGATCCCCAAGAGTCCGTCGGGGATTCTCAAGCAAGGTGGTGCCGTGGAGTATACTCCGTACGCGATAGATGAACAGAACGAAGAGAATGTCCAGACAGTGTCATTATGTACACTACAATACAACAATCCTCCAACACCAGCCAGACCAAGTCCAATCCAATCCAATCCAATCAATAACGGCCGTGAGGCCCGTATATAACCTGTATGTCCCAGATTTTGTGCACCCCTGGCAGGTCGCTAACCATCCAGCACCAGGAAAGACAAAGCCGCCCATAGAAACAACAAAAATATTCACAAAACAGAATGAATGTGCACCAAATCATAAATCATTAAGGCCAGCCGGTCTCGGTTCAACCGTTCGTCGCAACCGACTTGGCCTTGGAGGGATGCGTCCAGGACAAAAAGTCAAACTTGTCCTTGGCGTTTTCAAGAATAGAAGACGAAGAACTGGCCTCCGTCTGCAGGCTTGGTCGTGGCGCCTCGCGCGGCTCCAGCACCAGCGACCGCCGGTAGAACTTCTGCAGGCTCATTTCGCCGTTCGATCGCACCCGCACCAGTTCGTTCTGCATCCACGTCTGCAGCTCCGGCACCTCCGTCAGCCGGTACGGGATCTGGAACCGCTGCAGCTCGCTGATGATCTTGGCCGTCTTCATGTGCTTGTCAAAGTTGATCACCGCCATCTCGCCGTCCTCCGTCGGCAAGCTGCGCACAGGCTGGTTGCCGTGGTCGACAAACGTCAGGTCGGTCAGATAGGTGCCAACGAACGGCAGACAGGGCGGCACGTGGTTCTGCAGCCGCTGGCGCAGCACCGCGTAGTTCCGCGACACGTCGACAATCTCGCGGAGGTACTCCAGCGTGGTCTTGGTCTTCTGCGAGACCACCTCCCACGTCCGCTTCAGACGCGAGATCATCGACGAGTTCAGCGAGCAGATGATCGCCATCAGCGAGTCGTAGTTGTTCAGCTCCAGGCATTTGTTGGCGATTTTGACCCAGTGCTTGATGGTCGCCGCGCGCTTCTTCGGCTCCTCCAGCTGCAGGATCGAGTCGGCCACCAGGTGCGCCAGGTCGGTGGACAGGGTCGACATGGCGCGGACGTTGACCGCCAGGGAGCCCGATTTCTTCATCCATTCGGTTGCCAGGAGCTCCTCGGGCAGAATGGCGCAGAAAATGCGGGACTCCTTGATGGTGAGCTGCCGGGCCAGCTCCATCGGATCAAAGTCCAGGATAGACAGGCTGGACTCGCCGTTCTTCCAGTTCTTGAGAAGGTTCATCTCCTTCTTGCCCAGGATCGGCGGGGGCAGCGGCGTGTCGGGATGCACATACTGCGCCGTCGCCGTGTTGGTCTTCCCCATAGAAGACACCAGCCGAGGAGCCACCGGGGCGTGCACCATCGACACCTTCTCGGCCAGCTCCAGCATGCGCTTGCCCGCCGTAGGCAGAGTCTGCATGAGGGTGGTGTTGGCAAAGTTCAGAATATAATCCAAAGCCTGGTTGTCGCAGTCATGACGCCAGTGCGACTCCAGCCAGCCCTTGAACACATTGTACACGCGGAGGCGAACCGGCCCCGCCGTGTGGGGGGTATCGCCGATGTAGTTGTAGCGGTCGACCAGAGCCTCCGCAAACTCCATCGGCGTGGCAAACAACCGGAAGGTAAGGTAGAACGTCGACACGAACATGGCATCCGGGGTGGACTGGTGGGCGGTCAGCTTCTCCACCAGTGCCCGGAGGCTCCCACCCATGACCTGGCCGTCCTTGAAGATCAACTCATGGGCGTAGGTCTTTTCCAGGATCTCCGCTTCAGTCTCTTCGTTCTCCTCCGCCAGGGTCGAGTGGCTCACGCTGCCCTTCAACAGCGGCAGTTGATAGTGATTGCCAATGTCGGGCGACGTGGCCCGGGTGGACGCCTGCGACACGCCGCTCATCTCGGAATCGCGCAGGTGGCTGGCGTAGGTATAGCTGCTCCCCGTGCTGATGACGCCGCGACCGAACGATTCGCCCGCCTCCGACTTCGGATGACTCGTACGGTGGGCAGCCTCGGCGGGACTCGCATCGTGGGTCGAGGACGAGAAGGAGAGCTTGTCCAGACTGGTGGACAAAACGGCGGTCGATGGGAGGGAGATATCGGTGATGGCGGTGCCGGCGGGGCTCGCCAATCCGACGCGGGAGTTGAAGGACGACGGAGTGGTGTCGTCTGTGAGTCCCGGGGTGGAGGGACAGTAGTTATGAGGTTGTGTCTTGGGAATCTGGAGCGGCGGCGGAGGGAGTCGCAAGGAAATACTTTGAGATCGGTCGCGTTCCCCGGCCGAGTCCGTCGTCGGTTGCGGTACCGGGGTGCGGTTGACGTCAGAGATCGGGGAAATCTCCTGTTGCAGCCCCTCCAGCTCAAAGTCGCCACTCTGCTCCAACACGCGACGAGCTTTGGCCAGGCAGTTGCCCGCAGCTCGCACACAGTCGGTCGCCGCATCGACCAATCGCTTGCCCTCATCGGGCATAAAGACGAGCTCGTCCTCCGCGGAGGTGGCCGGGCGGAAGGCATCCCGCGCGGCGCACACCAATTCGGAGAGGCGGTCGTACATGGCGTCGCGCGCCTGCTCGAGCAAGGCACTCCCGGCGGGATCATGATCCCGCACGGCCTCGACGGTGGCCAGCAGGCCGCGACACGAGCGCACCGCTTGCTCAGTGGTTGTCACTAGCTCGGTCGAGGGGCGCGACTGGAGGTGGAGACCAATAAAGGAGCCAAGCACGCCGAGGAAGGCGTCGTAGGTGGCGTTGAGCCGTTCGGAAGCGAGGTTTGGGTTTCGGGACGCCGCAGCCGGGGCCGAGTAAGACACGCGGTGGGAGATCCGTTTGGTGGTGACGGAGACGGGACGGGGGGGAGGCTGCGAGTCGTGCAGGTCGGTGCGGTTGGATGCGCGACTCATGTCCAATCGGCTGCGATTCAGCAGCCTCGACTCGTTGCGTTCCGTGTCGGCTTCCGAGGTCACGTCAAAGGAGTCTGAGGCGGGGGTCGGGGGGATGTCGCATTGTTGCTCCAGTTCGGCGATGGTGCGACTCAGGCCGACTTCTTCGTTCCAGATGTCCAGGAAGCGCACCCCGCGGGTGACGATGCGGAAGGCCTTGAGCAGCATCTCGTCCATCATGTCGATTTCGTCTTCCATGGTCTGGCCCGGGGTCGAATCCTGGCACTTTTTGGTGGTCCGGACGAGCGAGGACAGATCGGCCAGCAATGCTTTGCGGTTGCGACGCAGTCCATCATGCCTTCGCACGAGGAATGAGTCGCGGGTGAGACATTCCGATTTTTCCTGGTCGTTGTCAATTCCTTGGTTCTGGCAACATTCCGGAAGACTTACCAGCAGAAAGCGCACGCCCGCAATGAGCCCCTTGACGTTATCCTGGTTGCAGAATTCCCGCAGCGGGAACCCACATCCGCCCTGGATGATATCCCAAAAATCCGTCAAGGCTTTCAGGAGCGGACGCATGGGGAGTTGGTCGTAAGCTTCGCAGTAGTTGGTGGGCAGCCAGCCGCGGGCGCCTGTATCTAACAGGGTGCCATCGGCCCAGCCGTTGGTGTGGACGGAATGGACCAGGATGATATCGCCCTGGTCGAGGGGGAGGGTGACGGTGGAGGGGGAGACGTCCCCCGTGGGATGAAACGGATAGAATGCGCGCAGATAGTTGTGAAAAACGGCTCGAGGCGGTTCGGTCTGGTCCATACTGTCGTCTGTGGTGCTGTAGGGTGTTAAGGGCGGGGTGATTTCTTCGTGGTTTTCAGAGGAATAGTAGCGACGAGGGTGGAAGTTGGAATTTCCCTTTTCGATCTTTAACGGGGCGATATGAGGCTTCATCGAGTCCATGTCTTTGACTGTCGGATGCAGTTGGATGTCGAGCGCTCGTTATGCGGGCTGGGTCCGCGGGACGCAGGTCACCGACCAGATTACGCGTGAGTAGACTCAACGAGCATCCTCACGTGGCTCCTGATGGAAGTGTCGATGTGCTCCGTGATGAGGGTCGATTTGGCGAGCAGAGATGAGTTCAGCGATTGTGTTGGATGCTGGGACAAGGACAGGTCCGCATGGACAGTCGAAGGCACCGGACTTCAAACGGTCAGGTTAATCTGATTGTTTCTCTCGAGAGGGCTGGCAGGAGGGTGGATGTTGTGGTCATGCGGAATGCTCCCATCGTCCGTGGAATGCTGGCTGGAGGGAGGAGGGGGAGAGAGAGAGAGAGAGAGGGCAAGGAAGGAATGCGGGCCATTCACGGTCGACATTCACACGTACCTGTGTACCAATTGCGATGGGAGAAAGACACCGAGGAGGGAGCGAAGCTGGTAGCGATTGGAGTATTCTTATGGGGGTGGGATGGGGCACACGTTCCGAAGTATGAGAAGAACGCAACGAGGGCGAAATGGACGAAGACAACCACGAGTTCGGCGAATTCCGTCCAAACAAATAACGAGAGACGGACAAAACCAAACAAACAATGGAGCAATTGGCAGTCGAACGGGGGATTTAAGATGAGAAACGAGGGCGCAGCAAGGACCACGATGCGGCCCGGGAAACGGGGGACTCCAGAACACGACGCGGGCGGGTCGAGGGACGAAGGAGCAGCGGAGGGGCAGCGGAGGCGCGGCGAAGGAGATAACGAGAGGCGAGACAATGACGACGGAGTAATTTCTGAAGCGTCGGGAAGGCGAGAAGCACGCAAGGGCGAGAGACAGGAGGAGACGTAGGGAGGGAGGGAGGAATGTAGGTTTGTTGCCACTGGGGGGGGAGGTGATGGATGGGACGGAGTATAATTGGTAAGGAGCGTTGACTAATTGAATTGAAGGAGAAGAAGGAGAAAGAGAGGGAGAGGGAGAAAGGAGAAGAAGAGGGAGAGTGAAGGAGAGTATAGAGAGTATAGAGAGTGTAGTGTATATGAGAAGAGTGGATGAGAGAAAGATTCTATGAGAGAGGATGAGGGGAGGATGGCCAGAAGTAACTAACTCACTACCTAGTACCAAGTAGTAGGCCTTCTTCTTCTCCAGAGCGTTCCTAGTGTCCGTTCGTGCCCAGTGGAGCCGGTGGATCCTTTTTTTGGGATTTATTTTTTTTTTTAAGAGGGTTTATTATTATAATCTGGTGATTATTCCTCTCCTGCACCTAAACGGGTCGCTCCCTCCCAATGCGTCCATGATCGGCCGTCACACGGCTGGTCGGTTTGGTAGGAGTCCAGGGACTAGTTAAGGAGATTACCTAGTAGAGTACCAACGAAGTGTATTACGAGGGAATCGAGAGGATACTAGGTATCGTTGTATACGGAGGATACCATAGTAGAGAAGAAGAGAAGAGAAGAGAACCTTGGAAGAAAGGAGATGAAAATATTGAGGGAAAAAGAAAGACAAGAAAAGAAAGAAACGGTCCAGCCCCTGGTCGGTCGAGGTACTTTTGAAAGAGCACTAAGAGGATTTAGTACTAAGAGTAAAGTACTAAGAACAGTCAAGTAAAAGAAAAGAAAAACAATAAACAGGGGTTCGATCCCCGATCTCATTGGTCCGTTCGCAGGGTGACTGCCCAGACGGAATAATAGTCAGTTACTAATACTATCATAATCAGAATATAATACATAACATATACTGCTATCATATCATATAGAATATAGAAGGAATAGAATAATAGTCTCCTATTATAATCATAAAACTACAAGTAGTACTGACCTGTATGGAGACCTACCTACTCTACTTCAATCAACCATACAAAACCAAATAAATGAAATGATCAATGAGTGAATGGATCAAGAACCAAAATTGGGACCGATCGACAGCGCAGCACCCGTCGGCCTGGGTAAATCTACTTATATTACCTCCTCCCCAAGAGGAAAGAAATCCTTCCTGCGCCAAATTTCAGCCCTCCATGGGACCTGTCGACTGTCACTCCATATGGATCCATCAACATCCAGTGCATCGGTTCCCGTCGAGTAGACGGCCTCAACATTGACGGAACCGGACTCACACCGGACTTTCTCCTGATATTGTCCGACCTCGCATTCGTTCCTGACTTACGCATGCACCTTGATCCCTTTATCCGCCACTATTATCCAGTTCATGACGGGATAGAACGAGGGCAGCTGGAGCTCGAGGAGGTCAGGTCGTACGAGGATCGACCGTGTCACGCCACCGTAGGCCGAATCCAGACTCGCCGAGGGATTTGCAGAACGCGTCCAAGCCGATCGGTCGGGACACTTGATTACCAGTCCTACGTACTTGCTCATTAACTCGCGACCATCACTTGGGAACCCGTCTCGTCTCCAGTTGCGTGCGTGCTATATTTATTCGACGCAAGGGAAGAGCAGGCGAAGTCTGATCGATGGAGTGGTGGAGATGACGCATCCCTTATCCGAGGCCGGGTCATTGGGTTCACTGCCTTACTACGGAGTACTACTAGTAGATCCTGTCGGACAGGTCCCGACTCGAGTCACAGTCTGTATTCTCGATCCTCCGGGTTGGTACAGGCCCAGGGGAAGAACTGTCTGTGTGACAGTAACAGACAATAAAGGACAGAGTACTCAGTAGGCAGAGTAGGTCGAGATATATATTCCCGTACAGCATCAGCCATCCCAACTACACCTCTACTACTCCGTAAATCGACCAACCCATCAACTTGGTTGTCGGGTCAGATCTGCCTGTCAAATCCCCAGACACCAGACCAGATATGACCTGCCAGATGCAACCCGTCCCGGGGACAGACTCATCCATCCACCGAGCGCATCCCCCTTTCTGTCGACCAGCAGATCCGACCCGAAAAAGCGTCCCGTCTCGTCGCGACGGATTCGTACCTGTACTTTGTCTGCTCCCCACAGGCCGCGAAGCAAACACCAACATCGGAGGCCTCGTTGCGACCGGCGTGGGCGGCTAGCATCATGGGTGGGCGTTAGGGCTTTACAGACCGCGGAGGGGGACGCGGCACACAGTGACAGCCGGAACAAAGAGGACGATATGACAGATCCAAACCGTCGACACTAGAGCGGATCATTATTGACCGACGGGCGTCGTTGCCTGTAGTGCCTCCAAGGCATCTGATTATTGGGAATCTGATCTGCCGACCGTTGCTGCCGGACTGCTGGCCGAAGCGGCCATTAAGAAGGCCGCCAACGCAACTAGCACCGCTAGTCTGAGACGGACTGGCCGCGGCCAGTCCGCACGTGTTCGTTGGCATATGCGGGTGAGCGTAGGGGGAGTACGTGCGATACTAAGGGCAGTTAGTCTGCGGCACAGTGAAGAAGCCGTAGGATAGGGAGTAGAAACGACAGGGATTCAGACATCCCAATAATAATGTACGTGGGTAGAAAGAAACATACTATACAGTCAGGGGCAACCCACCGGCCGATGGCGATAGCTCCACGCTCCACTGGAGGAACCGTAGCAACGCGGGACGGCTCGACAGACGGTCTTCGAAGGATTGTCGGCCCATGGTTCATTTATCGTGAAGGAGTGTGATATGAGTCTTACGAGTATAGATCGACACCTAGATTCAGCCATATACTACAGAGTATACAGTACTTTGTACATACACACGGAACATAATTGCGTCTGTTATGAACGAACCACCCGTTTCATCTCCACTGCCCCATCGCCCATCGCCTATCGCCCATCGCCATCCACTGGAGCTCGGAGACCATGGAAGTTTACTCCCAGATCCCGTCCATCCCGTCCAGCTGGGTTGATATCATGATCCGTGGGATGGACGAACGGTGGACTCCTCTCGGCCGGTGTATCCATATCGTCGGAACGTGGTCGAGTCCCTACAGAGGGGATTTTGAACCTGCCCGTCAGTCAAATACAGACATGGATGCTAGGTGGAATGCAATATCCAACTGAGACAGCAGCAAAGCTGCAACAGCTGCAGACAGAGGCAGAGAGACAGAGACAGCAGACAGCAGACAGCACCATGCAGCAGCAGCAGCAGCAGCAGTAGCAGTAGCAGACTATATTCCTTTTTCTCGTTCCTGACAGCCTGTCTCCTCGGCCTCGACAGTGGATGATGGACAGTGGAACCGCACGCGTACTAACCAACTAGTGCCACACCAAGAATCCTCTCGTCGACCGTCCTGTTTTCGAGTCCTCCACCGCACGGCGATCTCCACTGCGGACGGCAGCATCCACGAGATCCTTCGCACGTTGGGCATCAGCTCTGGGATTTGGGGTTGTCTCTGCACGGTGCAGGAGGCACATCTAGTTCACACACAGCAATCAATTCCTGGGCTGTATCCACCATTGACGACCGACCGGTAGACTATTGTCTCGTCTGCACGATGGACATCTGCATCCTGACGGGATCACCTCCACCGTAGCTCACTGCCTGGATAGGAGGCGCTTCCGAGAGCAGCGGGGCGAGGTGATCCTGCATTGACAGTCTCTCCATCCGGAGTACGCACAATGCATTGATGAAGGGTCTGCAGCTATCACAATCACAGCAACCATCACATCATCACGGTCAATGCGATTCATCGATCGATAGAGACGGAGTAGATCGCAACGGCTGGCTGGCTGAGCTGTACCTGGCATCTGCCAGAGGATAGAGTTTATTAATCTCCTATCTTTTATCTTCCGCCTGCATGGAAAATATCTCCGTTGTACGGAGTACACAATATGGAGCATCCTCCCGCCACAAAATAACTACAGTATACCCCAATACAAACCCAATGGATGAACATGAACCATAGATAAAAACTCCATCCATCACGCGACGCACGAAACAAACATTCCCACCTCACAGGCCTAGCCCGATGAAAGAAAAACCCCCTAATGCCTCCCCCGTCCAGTTCGGCATCCTCCCCGGCCAATTATCCCGACATCCTGCAGTGCTGACGGGCTTCACGTGCGTGTGACTCGGCCTGCATAGGCTAATGAATCTCCATGCAATGCAGCGCCTGCAGCCGGATCACGCTCTTCATACGTCTATGCCGGATAAACTGCATCCCTCGTGCGTGGATGGCGTCTGCAGGGTATTGTTTGCCTGGGGGCTATTTCTGGCCTGGACGCGGGCGGACTGGACTGGTCGGGGAGGGTTTGGTACTTATGCTGCCGATTCGGACTGGTCCATGCGCTATGCATCTTGGTAATAGTGTCTTGAAGAACGCGTGCGCGACTGTTTGCTGGCAAGGGTAGGGTTCGTAGGTTGGTAGGAGGGGAGAGAAGGGAAGGGTGCTCGGGCAGCATCCCTCGATAGCATTCCTGTCGACACGCGGCGTCATCTGGCTTCATATTCTACCATACTAAGTATACTTATTGACTTTGTTGCATTGTTCGGTTGTTTGATATGAGTGCATCGATAATATATCCACTATATACATATGTACATCCTACGACCATCCCCATAATTACAGTTACACCCCTACCTATAACTTCCTATAACTTAGAACCCTCTTTGTACATTCCACATCCCTAGACTCACGAACGCCTATAAAACAATACATATGCTCCACTCAACACTCCATCCATACATCCATACATCCATCATCCTATCTCCACCCCAACCCAGCCACCAAAATGAACCTCGCCGCAATCCTCGCCATCTCGCTGGCCGCCCTCGCCCTCGCCGCGCCCACACCACAGCTCGCCACCCTGATTCAAGAGTTGACCCACGGCGTCGAGAAACTGCCCGCCGAAGTGTCTCCCAAACCCTCCAAATCATAGGTATGCATTGCAGTCCCTCGTCGCGTCGTGAACACAGCTAACTACCTAGGCATCTATGCAGGCATTGCCCAGAACGGAACCAGGGAGCTAGGAATATTGTATTTATTACTATATGAACAAAGATCACCTATTACATCCATATTCATATCCAATCAGTAATCAAAACATGCCCTCCATATCCAAATCCAAAAACTCCGGATTCCCCACCGCCATATCCGCTGCATTCAGCACATCGTCAATGCTCGTATCCAATCCCCCGCTCATATCCCCTCCCATCCCCTGTCCCACGCCGGAGTCGATGCCCGCCGCCGCCGCCGCGGCCGCATTATCCAGCATCTGGTCGAGGTTCGGCTCGTCGCCGACGGCATCGCCCGCGCCCCCAGCCGGGAGACCCATCTGGTCGTGGCCGTCGACGCCGACCCCGAGCTGCATGTTCTGGATGAGGTTGTTCATGTCGAGGTTGGGCACCTGGGCGGTGGGTGCGGCGAGCGCGGCGACGCGGCGGTAGAGGCGCACGACGGCCTCGGCGCGCGCGGGGTCTTTCTCCGCCGTGCGGGGAACGGCCTCGTGCTGCAGGGCCAGCGCGTCGCGGAGGGTGAGCAGCGGGCAGCGCGGGACGGGGTCCTTGGCCAGGTCGACGGCGACGGGGTGGTAGGGGCTTGACTCGACGGCGAAGGACTCGGGCAGCGGGGCGCAAACGAGGGAGGCGGCGATGTCCAGCGCAAGGTCGCCGTTGTTCGCGTCGGTTTGGAGCCGCAGCTCGTCGAGGAGGGCGGCGAGGAGGCGCGTGGCGCCGACGATGCGGATGCCCGCGACGAGCTGGCGGTGCGTGTACGACGGCGGCGGTATGTTCACGTCCGGGCTGGTGCACCACAGCACGAGCGACTGCATCGTGCTGCGGATGCTGCCGAGAAGATTGCCGGCGTGGGTCGTCCAGGTTTCGAGTTCTGAGCGGTGGCAGCTGCCGGTGCGTGGGAACGACAGACACGGCTCGAGGACGTCCAGGATGGGCTTGATGTCGGTGCGGGACGGGTGGCGCGCGCGCACGTCTTTGAGCTGTTCGTCCAGTGAGCGCGCGGTGATGTTCAGCACTGTGCGGTGGATCTCTTTGGCTTCGCCGGAGATGGAGCTCGGGCTGACGAGGGAGTGTAGTGCTTTCAGTGGAATGGACGGGTCGCTTTCCGCCTCCCAGATATGATTGCCGAGCCAGGTCAGGGCGACAACGAGCGACGGTAGGAGGAACGGCTCTAGCAGGTCTGTAGATGTTAGTACAGGTACACATCGGGAGATGGAGGCACGTACATTCGAAGCCGCCCTTGAGGGTCTCGAATTCCAGCTTGCCGGCTTCGCATGCGGCCAGGCTCTGGCTGAACAGGGTGCTCGCCAGGAGGTAGAACTCCTGCGGACTGCAGGCCGACATGGTCTCCTCGCTGATGCCCTCCGCGATGAACAACGCGCCAATCCACGAGCCGAGATGCTTGTTCTGGCTTTCGCTCAGTTCGTCCAGCTTCTGGCTGCTCGAACCCCGCTCCAGCAGTCGCAGGACAAACGAATCGTTGTTTGCGATTCCCAGATCGTACGCACTGAGGTCGTATCGGTACTTGAATACCAGGACCAGCAGGAGAATGCTGCCAAACTCATCATACACCGGCTGGCTCTCCCCCTGGTCTTCGTCCCAATGCCAGGAGTCAAGCAGCGCACATAACGGCTGCAAGACCTGCTTCGGGCTGCGGAAGAGGAGAATGACATCTAGGGCTTGGGGACGCCGAGACAGCGAATTGCAGATATTTTTCAGCGTCATTGTCTCTTTCTGATTGCACAGATTCTGCATCACCTACACAACTTAGCTAAACTCAACGATCATATCACCAGACTTACCTCCGTGATGGCGCCGACAATAGGCCCGGCGTTGCCCTCGGTGAACTCGATCTCGTTGATGAGCTGCTCCGCGCGCTCGGGCGTGGTGTTGATCTGCGACACGAGATCGTCCTTGTTATAGCCAACGGGGAGCGCCTGCATCGGGTTCTCGCCCAGCAGTCGCTCAATGCTGGACTCGGGGATCAACTTGTGCGAGGCGCAGGCAAAGAGGAACTCCTGCCGCACGTCTGATAGTACCGTGTTGCCCTGCATGGAGAACATCTGTGAGAACGACGGGAATGTATTGGGATCGAGCCGGCTGAGTGCATGGCTGATACACAGCTCCATCGGGATCGACACCATGGACGCGGAGAGCATGGCCGCGAAGAACGACGGCAGCTTGTTGACCAGGAACGAGCGGAAGAGGAACATGGTGCGACTAGATTCATTGCGATACATCGCATTCGAGCAGACGTCGAATGCCGCCGTGATCAGATCCTGTATGAGGACGTCGTAGTGTGCCTGTCGACGTTAGCAGGATTCGAGATGCCGTGGTGTGCGCACCCACCCCGTATCTATTGGTCAGGTAATTAAGCAGCATGCTATCATCCACCAGAGGGCGGCCCGCGAGCTACAAGGTCAGCACGTATTTCGCCATAGGGGTGAATCCCATACCATTGCGTTGATATATACGTAGAGACCAGCTCTTGAGTTAATCGCAGGCCCATCGATAATGGACGCCTCGAACTGAATCCCATTGACGTGCAGATTCTCCAACGAGGACACACCCAGATTCTTGGGCGGCGGCTCGCCATAGAGGTTAAACTCCTTCTGCAGCGCATCGAGCCTGTTCCTCAGCGGCAGCGACAAGTCCACACAGAGGGGCAGATACGCCGAAAGCGCGTGTCCCAATTTCACCTTCAACCCTGCGACGCGTCAGACGGCCAGAAGAATTCGGTAGACGGGCCACCAGCTTACCTTCATTAGAGTCCGAAGAAAGAACCTGCAGGCCTTTCTCCGTCCCGGACACAGCAGCCAGAAGAATGCCCAGCGACTCGAACAGCGACACCGCGTCGGGGGAGCTCATCAGGCCCTCCGCCTGCTGGCTCGCGTTCATCTGGCCGTGGTGCCACGACACGACCGCGTGGATCCAGTCAGCAATCGCCAAAAACGTGCCCGCAGTCTCCGACAGACTCTTGGGCGCGTGCCCAGTCGACACCGCGAGCATCGCATCCTGGATGACGCGGATGTCCGTCATGAGCGTGTAGCATTTCTGTTTCTGCTTGGCGGCCGCCGCGTCGGTACCGGGCTTCTCATGGATGGACGAATGCTTCAGCAGCGCCGCCAGCACCGTGGAGATCTGCAGCTTGCCCATCTTGCACAGGCCGTCTATATACAGGGGGAGTAGCGGATCCCACTTGATCCCGGCGGCCAGCCGGGTCTCCAGCACGACGTCGATCAGCGCGCCCTGCGCGATGGGATTGCGCTTGAACAGCAGTCGCGACAGGTTCTTGAAGTCGGCGACGTCGATGCGATGCGCCAGACACTGGTGGAGGAATGCCCCCCATTGTTCGGTGGACGCCATGTTCCGGGCTTGTTGCGAGTTGTCGACTCCCCAGATTAATCATAGCAATGTGCGAACTGGGGTACTAATACAGACATGCAGGTAGATGGGCTCGCGGCCGATGCGCAGGCATTTTGTCTGGCGTGGGAGTGTTGCAGCAGAGAAACATCCGTCATTGTTTGGAGACGTTCATGTCACGTGCGATTATTAATGGCACGTGATTTTGCCTGGGGTATGAGGCATCAACTTATCACTTTTTTCACTTTTGTTCATCTGTCTCTACTGTACTTCGTCGTTCGCGCATTGAATTTGATAACGCAACTATTTGTGCTAGGCCATTGTGCTAGGTTAGTGTAGTAGATCCGAGGAGGCTATAGTCGATATATTCCAATCCGCTTACCGGCTAGTACGTACTAGCTAGTAGCTACTCCGTACTATATATCAATAGCTAGCATGCAATATACAACCACCCTGTAACCACCGCAACAGCCATGTCCTTCTCACCGGACTCTACAAACCCATCCCAAACGTTTATCCCACCGAACACTCCTATAGGGCTCTTCTCCGTACATCCGATCAGGCACATCACGGTTCGTCCCACGCTCGACTGTTCCATGGATCCTCGCCGGCCACGCTCTACCGATTCAGTAATCGCTGCGACCATGGAACGAACGGCGCTGGCCATAGGAACGCGCACTCAGCCTCTTTGACCGGTAGCTGTCGGTTCAACAACGGGCCGTTTATCCGCCCACTCCTTGCGATGTGCTTGTGGTAGATACCTACGGAGTAGTAGGTAGGGTTGATGGTCTGTTGCGTTAATCGGCATGTCGTCTAGCTCTTCGGGATATTCTTCCGATGGGAGTGGTATAGGTCTGCGTACGGAGGACTCGTCGCTTCCGCCGTAGTCTCCTGATAGGCAACGATGTTTGATGATCTCCATCTGCTCGAATGCAGAGCAGCGGATGCCCCAGAAGAGAACATGCAACTGCATCATCTCACGATATCAACCCTACCTCGGCCCAACAAACCCTTCAAACCCCGAGGCTGGCCAAACACCGCGGCGAGGCGGGCGTTTCCCGATGCAGTTAAAGAAAGTGAGCTCTTGTACGAATCTGGCACCGCCCTCTTGCCGATCACTCCACCCGATTAGCGAGGTCACGGGCGAACACCAAGCAGACTGGAGTACGGAGTATTGCAGGCGGAAGGGTGCCGGTGATTGACCTTAGGAGCTGGGCGGGGGGAGAACCTGTTTGGGGTCTGCGGTCGGAAGATGGTTCCTGGTTGTCCGGCTGTGATATGTCATTTGGAGATAGCTTCTAGAAGCCGGATGCAGGTGATGGGGATTCGGCTGCGATAAAGGGGGTAGATCTCCCCTACGGGTCCAGTTTGTATGGACCCTGAAGTACAGTGTAGGTACTCCGTATATCTCAAGGGTAGAAAGAAGTAGAGGTTGATCGATCAGCGAGACGGACAGGCTTTAAGCCGCGACGAGCTCGCCGTCATCCACCGTGCGAATGCTAACGCGAGACGGCCAAACTCAATTCCCAGAGCGGCGTCTGGAGGGTCTTGTAAGTACGAAGTATACAGAAACAAGTATACAGAACAATACTCGACCCTGCAGAGGCAAATGGTCGGTTGGAGTGCTGTCTGGATGACGCGTCCAAATGACAGGACAGAAATTCTCCGAGCCACGCTATTATCTGCACGTCTTCCCCTATGATCCCCCCATGTGGAGCAAGCTAAGGGAGAATCCGTAGTGCTTACAGCCTTACTTTATTATTGTCGTGGAGATGCCCCAACTTGACTACATGGAAGACACCTCTGGTGGAGTGGACCACAGTCAGGCAGAAAGGAGACTCGTATGCCCCTCCGCAGCAAAAGACAATTCATCAATTAAGCAGAACTCTCCAAGCAATCATATCGCATACCGCCAAGGCGCAGGTTGGATGGACCCCTGAACGAGCAAAAAGGCCGAGGAGAAGTTGACGGCACAGAAAGCCAGAGGCCGTTTGGTTTCAGACGCAGCAGACCAACAATTGAGCCGGACGCCCGAATCTGACTCGTTGGATCAAGCCCGAGAGGCTGATCCGACTAACTGGTGGGTCGGTGGGGGTGCACCTGACAAATGTTCTATAGCCGAATCATGGCAGATCGAATATCCGCGACAATGGCAGCACAAAGAGAGGGTCAATTGTGCTCTACTACTCTGTACTGTATGCCGAGCCCATCCAGGAGAGAACCTCTACTCCGTACTATAATACACTCCTGAAGATGCGGATGGAGCTGGGGAACAGCAAGATCGCGATCAACTAGTGACGACCCGCCCTTCAGCCCGCCACAACACTACGGCCGGAAGGGTCCCCCGTCGAATTCTCCAGAAAAAAGTCTATCCTTCAGGAGACAGTAAGTAGAGAATCGTCTGTCGCAACTCGCAAGGGATGTTGTCCATGGATTTGCCACTCATCTGGATCGAGAATCGGAATCGAGGCCTTCTCCACCGCCAAACCAAGGGACCGCCATCGGCCAGAACCAGCCGAGCAGGAGACAAAAAAAAGGGCAGCAGTAATCTCACAGCAAAGACGAACTAGTGGGGTCCTCCGATCACCGGCTCCCTTTAGACCGAGAAGACTCGATAGGGGACCTCCTTTCTGGACGGGCCAAGCTAGGGTCAGCTTGGGCCTCTCGGTCCTGCATGTAGACCGCCATAACCGCTCTAGGACCGTGGGCGCGTGAGATCCCCGCTAGGGTCAAGCTGGCTGTCTCCAGACGAGGAAACCTTCCAGTCCCTTCTCTTAGGCAAGGGGCATGTCAATATACTCCATGGAAGGAATCGAATCTTCGATCGATGTTCTCGGAGACAGATCGACGGTGTGCAGCCTGACCATTCATTGGCAATCACACTAGAGACAATGCTGTCGCAGGTAAGGTAATAATATATAGGTGGGCCCCACGCAATCTATCGTGCGCAACAACCGGAATCAAGAAATCGTATGATCGTCGCCTCATGGGAAGAAAGATGCAATGTAATCGCTCGAGTCCACAAACAAACACAAACTCCGCCCTGTCGTCCCGCATAGAGATATCAAAGTAAACTGGAGTATGGAAAATAAGATGAGAAAAGACAAAGGAAAAACGACACAGCTTTCAAATATTACAAGAATCATAGTCACCCCCGAGCACTGCGCGGTCGCGACATGGAGGACGAATCTCGCAGCACATCAGGCGCCCGCGGCCCAACCATCCAATCCTCCATGGCCAGCCATTCGCTCCAACACCTCTCGGCGGCTTCGATCTCGGAATCGAGCGGTCCCTGCAGCGGACGGAGAAAGGGGATTGTCTCGAGCGGCGGCATGTCATAGTCCTTTTTGACGGCCGCCCACCCGCCGCTTTTCGCAGCAAAGAGGTAATTGCGGCGCTCCTGTTCGTGCAGCAGACCCACGCCGTCGCCCCAGTCGTCGCCAAAGAATCCATGCAGTACGCCAGGGAAGTCCATGCCGGTAGCGACGAGACGACGGATGTAGGGGATCAGCGAGACGGCGGGGGGCGGATTCGACGTGGAGGAAGGGCCAGCGGACGCGGCATGCTCGTCGACGGACGGACCGGATTCGGGGGCGGAGGCGCTGTGCACGGGATGCGGATGACGTTGAAAAGGCAATTGGATATTGAGAAAGGCCGAGAGCGCCTGGACGGGGCCACTATGTTGGGCGTGGTCAAGAAAATACCGTTGACAGTTCTGGTAGTGCGGGTGCCATTCGAAGACGTTGAAGCGTTGACTGGAGCTGCCCTGAGGAGCATCTGCCAACCCCAGTATGGCGGCAGGATCGAATTGCTGCTCCGACTCCATGGAAGGGTCCGAGGACTGTCTGGGTGAACGGACGGGGGTTCTGGAAGAGTCTTAGCTGGGTTCGCAGCATTGAGTGGAATTGCATGAAGGGAGTGTGGATGGAGGACTGTGCATGGGGAGCAATTGAAGCCGGGGAAATACTTGGTCAAGACGGATCTACCTCGACGGAGGAGGCGTGATACTCGACGACGAGGGGGGCGAGAGGGGGAAGAAGAGGAACGGAAGAGGTTCCTGAAGGAAAAGCCTCGCCCTCGACCCGGTTGAGAATCGTTCGCGGACATCGGCTAGGGGAGGTGCCCATGTATGACAGGAGGAGGCAGCAGTCGGGACATGAGAGGGCAGTCGTGGTGTATCACGTACAGAGATTTTGAGTGATCAGATGCGATTCAAGAGGGGAGAGTGGACTTGTATATTATTTGGGACCGACTAGAACAGGAGCAGACGGGTCGAGCCGATAGATGAAGGACCGGAATCTTCATAGAAACGAGACGAGAAAAATAATAGATCGTTGGGTTGGTTAGTTTGGTTAGGTAGGTACTAGGTAGGTAGGTCCTCCGTCCCTCCAAATAATAATCATAATCATAATAATAATAATAATAATCAGGTCAATGGGGGGATCTGGCTTTATTTTGGGGAGCCAATGATGACGAGCAGAGGCGATGATGTTCGATCTGGTTATTTTACTATTTTATTTTTTTTTTTTTTATTCGATTTATTCGGTTTATTTGATTTTATTTTTTTTTTCCCTTTTTAATTTTTCCTTCTTCCCCTCAGATCGGAAGAATCTGTTTCAAGCAGATCCATGGTTGGGCAAGATCGTTTCGAAATTCATTTCTTTTGATTTATTTATTATTATTTTCTTCTTCTTATTATTTTTACTATTGCTGCCCTTTGCCATATTATCCTAAACATCACAACAATAAAACAAGATAAAACAAATCAATAGAATAGAAGAATCCTCCCGATCCGGCCAAGGACAGGTCGATGGCCAACTTGGTGCCTAGTTAGCGCATGGCAATGCCCCCCGGCAGGGAAAATCCCCTCCAGCCAAGCCGGGGACATCGCGTGTCCTTTTCCTGTTCCACCAGGGGGTGGAGCCCCCAGACCATCCTTGATAGGACCATCGATCTCAGATCACAGATATCCGTGCAGCTGATCGCACTGACATGGTTGACTATTCACAGGGTCTATTCGGGGCTGGTTCGGGCTGTAGATGGGTCGTGCCTTGAATAGGTACCTCCTACTAGGTACCGAAGTACCGTAGTATCTAGGCTAGATGAGGGATTGAAGTAGGTAGGTCTATCCATACATGCTAGAAACCATGGAATCCAATTCAGAATCCACCATTCATATTTTTTTTATCCATTTTCTATTTAATTACTCCAATCCTCGACCAGCTCGTCTAAATCTACCATAGTCAGTACCATGCGCCTCGGTCTCTCCCTCTTCCGACAGACAGGCACCGGCCGAAAGCTTCTGCAGATCTATAGGCTGCCGTGTAAGTGGCGTTCCATAGTCTTCGGCTCGTCACCACCGACGGTTGCATCAGTCCTTGCTTCCTACCCAGGAACCAACCGACGTAGTGACCATCATAACCAGGAATCCGACCCTGTCTGGATATACAGTCAGTATGGTACATCCAAAACAACCACACTAGCCTCGTTCATTGTTCAGCTGCTGCTCGATAGCTGAAATCGAGGTCTAGACGTGTTCATTTGCGCTCTCCAATCTAATCAGATATGTGACAGCGCGCCAGGCATCAGGGTTCTCCTCGCCACCTCGTGATGCGGAGTTGACACCAGCAAGATCCACTCTGCCAACTAACGGACTCTAATCGACGCACGATGTGTGCACCCCAATAGCATTATACTAGCGCTTACGTGATTGGTCCATCCGCGGACGATACACCACGCCTTCGCTGATATCATACCTACCTTCGGCACCGTAGTCCTCGCCAACGGAAAAAGCAAACGTCGCTTGAAGACAGACGACACTCGGAGACCGCCCGTGAGCCAGACCAAGAAGGCTGTGTATCGCCCGAAAGGAATGAGCGGTGTACCAAGTACACCTCAACATGCAGCTCCATGCACGCAGGCACACGGGATGTCTCGAGTTCTGCTCAACGACCCAATGCGGCCGCTTCATGCACTTCGTGTCCTGTTCAGGGGGGAGACAGTTTAGTTTCCTGTCCCGTTGCTGCTCGGACAGAGCGGCTGGACTTGAGTTTTCATTGTCTGCGTGATTGCATGCGAGATCGCCGTTGTCACCTCCAATACTACCGCAGAGCTGAGTGCACATCATACACAGCCAAAGTTAAAGCCAAAGCCAAAGCCAAAGCCAAAGCCAAGGTCAAGGTCAATGGCACCGAGTGAGATAGGATAGGATACGTACTGCGACGTCAACGCTGATCGCAATGCGTACTCCGCCGCAGTTCCAGGAATCCAACCTACATATGCTCCGCTCCGCTCCGGACATGTCATGTAACAGTAGGGCTATCGCACGTTCCCTGGCGTGATCCACTGCCGCGTCCGCCTCGTTATGTCATTGGGACGGGTTGGTGCATCACTCTCTTGGAGTCGAAGAGGTGCATGATATTCGCCACAGCAAGCTATCCAGGGAGGTGGTAAGGGGTCGACTTGAGTATGAGCAACAATCCTGTGGGATCAGTTTGATATCCAGAGTCTATCCGCAGTCTATGGATCAGCGTGGAATCATCCTAGCCTGCGCGCAGCAGCCCGGTATTGTCCAATGTGGTCGAGTTTACTAGATAGTAGATAGTCCCGTTCTTCAAAGATAGAGCTGAACAGCCACAGAGCTTTGACCAGCCACGGTATCTCGCTCGTGTTCGGGGACTCCGGAGCCACAGCGATCTGCACCCAGCCTCAGGAATTCGCCACAGTGGCGCATGCATATATCCATGCACCATTGGCGCTAACTTCACTAGCCACAGATCCGCGCAGAAGTATATCGCAGTTTTGAGATGGTACGTCTCGCAATGTTTACCTCGTCGGGAATGACATTGGGGTAGAATAGGCAACCGGATTGTAGACGGAAGGTGCTCGACCTGCTGTTGTTGGGGAGATATGTTGGGAATGGAAGATCGGATGTGAGGGAGAGTGTGCAGAGCGTTCTACGGAGTAGAGAGGGGCGTCTATTTCGATGGATGCCTCGTCAACAATATTGAATGACATTCTGAACCGTACTACCTGTTATTCTACACCCTTCCATTATACTCCCCAAAGTTTACTATAATCGAAAATAGATTGACATCCCACTTTATCTTACTCAGCTCAGATTTGAAATTCACCCTGGGATATTGAACATAGGCAAGATTTTCCAAAACAATCCCTCTAGCTAGTTCGTTTAAGCTGGCTTCCGTCATGTCTAGAACCTCGACTATAGCCCCGGGACAGATATGTAAGCCATAGTTTCCTAATCAACCTTCCCGGGACAAGTTAGCCGCAGCATTCTGTGTCTTTGAACTCCGTATCTCTGACACATTTCGATCCAACACTTCTCTTGCACAAGGTTCTTTGAAGCCTCCACCTTATCATACAACTCCTGCAGATTCATCTCCGATGACGATGACCGTGTAAAAGTAGTTAGTTGAACCAATCATGATTGATTATGTCACATGTCACCGTGCCCCTGACTTCTTTATGTACTTCCTCTTCCTTTCCTCTTCCCACTTCGTTTTATCTTCCCTCTCAAGATACAGAATAGTTGCTTCTGTCTCTTCTTTTCAAAATAGCCCTTGTCAGCCCTCACGTCTTCTCATGGATATCCAACGCCGGTTTCCCAGTGTGCACTGGATCTGGGGCGGAGGTATCTCTTTTGTTTACGAGGTCCATCCTCGCATCGTGGTCAAAATCCCAAAGTCGGGACAATTTGAAAGGGAGCAATTCTACAAAGAGGTGGAGATATATCAAATATTCTCGCAAAATCCACCTTGCGCCTCACTTGTGCAGTGTTTTCTCTTTTCACGTAGTGGCCTATTCCTCGAGTATATGAGAGGTGCGAGCCCTATTGGCAGTCAACAGAGTTCTACTAATTTATCTCCTAGATATGTCGCTATCTTCTAGAATACAAAACAACCATACTCGGGACCAGCAAACTATGGTAGTTACTTCAGTGGAAAAGTTGGAACCTCTATCTCTACGAATAGAGTGGATGAACGATCTCGCTCAGGCCGTCGCTTTCTTAGAATCCCTCAACCTTGCTCATGGTGATTTACGACCTGAGAATGTCCTACTTGATCGTAACCGACTGAAGCTATCCGATTTTGATTGTACGGCGAAAATTGGAACAAACTATGAAGCTTGCGTGGCTCCGTATGGCAGACTACTCAATAGCGGCGAGTCGGACCAAGGAGAATGTGGAACTCCTGGCTTCCTCAGCCCTCGGACGGAACAGTTCGCCCTCGGTTCCTTATACTATTTGATCAACTACGGGTTTGAAGTCTATGGACATCGATGTCTTGCCGAGGATCCTTACGAGCATGGTCCTAAAGTCGTGGAGTCGCTACAGCGCATGGAGTTTCCTACTTTAGATGGCGATCCCCTGATTGACAACATCATCGACAAATGTTGGCATAACAAATATGTCACGATCTCAAAATTAGCCGCGCAAACGAGGATGCTTTTGAACGGAGGAACCGATGCGATGGAAATTAGCGGAAGCAGAAGGAAGGAAAGCGGCGAGGTAACAGAGGCCGAGCGACCCCATGGTAACAACTGTGAGGCCGTGGATCAGAACGGCTTGGAAGAAGGATTTCTTTCGAAAAAGAAATTCTGTCAGGACTTGGAGAAACGTGGACTTCTTCATGTGCTTTCTTCAAGCGAGCCGGAGCAAATTGGATTTACTTTTGAGTGGTATAGGCACAGCCTTTCAGGTTGAATGGTTATATGAAGTTACAGACCTATTCGTTGACTCGAACTGAGAATGAAAGCTGGAAGTTTTGTTTGGAATCAGGTCTTCAGGATAAAGATCTTCAGGCTAAAGAGTTAGTTGGACGAGGATCGCTCATGCCGGAGCTCAACATAACAAGCGGCATACCGCAGGTGGTACAGAGCAGAGAGCACCAAACGATAAACCACCTGACAATCTGATGTAAAAATACCAATATAGTCTACCAATCAGACATAGAAAGAGGACAAGACCGAGTTATATGGATAAACCTCGTAGACTTATCCCCCTCGTAGCCATGGACTCGGCCGACAGACCAACTCCACCAAGAACCCCGACGAACTGCCGTAGAAGAATCGTAAGACAAAATGCGGAGAGGACCGAGTACTCCGTACTCCGCACTTACCAAGGCCAGATTACAGGTGCAGCCTAGCATGACATGAATCCATTATTCAGATCAAGCACCACCCGCCGTTCACGATGATCGTCGGAAGGACCACCAATAAGCTTGGCGGGGCCGTCCGACGCCAACTCATTTCGGTGAATTACAAAGTATATATCCATGGAATTCAGAGCCATGTCCGATGGAAGTTGTACAGAGCGAGTACAATATTATCATTATATTATATATAATTAGAGACGATAGTAGTCATCGGACATAAAGCCGGGCCAAATGGGGAAGCAGAGGAGAGTGCAGGGATGCAGCGCAGAGGCCAAGTGCTTGGCATGATCTTCCTACTGGTGGAGCATAACCTTTACATTATCACTTTATTCATCTATAGAGTACAGAGTCCAGAGACAGAGTACAGTACGGGGGAATCTACTGCAACAGCAAAGAAAAATACCAGATAGAAAGTAGAACATAGGAAAAGATGTATATCTCACCGACGTAGCACATACTACATCCGGAGGACTGTCGTGCGACACCTCAGGAAAAGACCTCTTCCACCGGTAAGTGGGGGTAACCCCAGACCAGTCAATTGACATACCCTACTCCGTACTTTGGAGTACTAACTACTACCAGGGACATTGTATGATGGCTGCCCAACTGAGAAACATCCGATGACGGAAATTAGGAAAGCATCGAATCCCCCACGGCATCGGGTCGGTGTACGGAGAAGGCAGAGAGGAGTTTTCCGGTGAGCAGAGAGGCGGCGGAGGCTCGGGGGGGATAGGAAGGAGGTGATAAGGATATGTTCTGCAAAGAGAATTGGATAATGATTACTCGGGGCGTTGCTAGAATGGGTTTAGTGTGGTACTGTAAAGGGTTAGCGTATTACTCAGAAAGGCTAGCACGATCTGATAAAGGGTCTGGGCACGTGCTTAAGATTCAGCTATTGTACATTCTTATCTCAATCAATCCACTTCTGTATATGTATATGTATATATCTGTAGAAGAATACGATCAAACTGATCAGACAAGTCACTACTCATTCGACATACGAACAAATTTGGTCGACCCCTGTAAGGCAAGTGAAAACTCGACCTGGCCACCGCCACGACAATTTCCCGGAAGCTGAAAGCGGAACGCCAGCGGGGGAGGCAGCGGCGGGAGCGATAAGCCCCCAATCTCTGACCTTAAACGATCGAATAACACGCCCCGAACTTCGGACGCCCGCCAGATGCCGATGTTTCCGCCCAGAGCTACCGCCCAGCCGGGTCTGCTGCATCGGCCATATCCACCTCGTCCGACTCCGGCGGAGCGTCGCCATCCTCCGCTCGAAGAAATAAAAGCCCCCTCCCCGTCGCCTGGTTCCATGAGAATTTTCTCTCTCATCCATCCTGCTCATCCTCATCCTACCTTCATACTCTTAATTCAATATCAATAATCCATTCATCATGTCCAACCTCCCGGTCGAGCCCGAATTCGAGCAGGCGTACAAGGAGCTCGCCTCCACGCTGGAGAACTCGACGCTCTTCCAGAAGAACCCCGAATACCGCAAGGCGCTCGCCGTCGTCTCCGTGCCCGAGCGCGTGATCCAGTTCCGCGTGGTGTGGGAGAATGACAAGGGCGAGGTGCAGGTCAACCGCGGCTTCCGGGTGCAGTTCAACTCGGCGCTGGGTCCGTACAAGGGCGGACTGCGCTTCCACCCGTCGGTCAACCTTTCCATCCTCAAGTTCCTCGGCTTCGAGCAGATCTTCAAGAATGCCCTCACGGGCCTTAACATGGGCGGCGGCAAGGGCGGCTCCGACTTCGACCCCAAGGGCAAGTCGGACAGCGAGATCCGCCGCTTCTGCGTGGCGTTCATGACCGAGCTGTGCCGGCACATCGGCGCCGACACGGACGTGCCCGCCGGCGACATCGGCGTCACCGGCCGCGAGATCGGCTACCTGTTCGGCCAGTACCGCAAGCTCCGCAACAGCTGGGAGGGCGTGCTGACCGGCAAGGGCGGCAGCTGGGGTGGCTCGCTGATCCGCCCCGAGGCGACGGGCTACGGCGTCGTGTACTACGTCGAGCACATGATTGCGCACGCGACCAACGGCGCCGAGTCGTTCGCGGGCAAGCGCGTCGCCATCTCGGGCTCCGGTAACGTGGCCCAGTACGCCGCGCTCAAGGTCATCGAGCTGGGCGGCCGCGTCGTCTCGCTGTCCGACAGCCAGGGCTCGCTGATCGTCAAGGACACCGCCAAGGGCAGCTTCACGCCCGCCGAGATCGACGCCATCGCCGCGCTCAAGGTCGACCGCAAGCAGATCGCCGAGCTCGTCTCGGACGCCGCCTTCGCCGACAAGTTCACCTACCTGCCCGGCCAGCGTCCCTGGGTGCACGTCGGTGCCGTCGACGTCGCCCTCCCCTCCGCCACCCAGAACGAGGTCTCCGGCGAGGAGGCCCAGGCGCTTATCGCCGCCGGCTGCAAGTTCATCGCCGAGGGCTCCAACATGGGCTGCACGCAGGCCGCCATCGACGCCTTCGAGGCCCACCGCGAGGCCAACAAGGGCGCCGCCGCCATCTGGTACGCCCCCGGCAAGGCCGCCAACGCCGGCGGTGTCGCCGTCTCCGGTCTCGAGATGGCCCAGAACTCCGCCCGTCTGTCCTGGACCGCCGAGGAGGTCGATGCCCGTCTCAAGGACATCATGAAGTCGTGCTTCCAGAACGGCCTCGACACTGCCAAGGAGTACGCCACCCCGGCCGAGGGCGTCCTGCCTTCGCTCGTCACCGGTAGCAACATCGCCGGTTTCACCAAGGTGGCTGCTGCCATGAAGGACCAGGGTGACTGGTGGTAATCTAGTCACTAGTACCTAGTCCATTTTCCTTTTTCTCCTGGTTCTATTTCTGATTATCTGTTGTTATGTTTGATACCTGTTATGATCACGATTGTTATTCAGCGCATGGTTGATAGAGGCGCCGGGTTGCTTTAGACATGAATGCTAGCCATACATGAATTATGATAATGCTCTGCTTCGTATCGTAACCATCACTTTTCGTATATTATATTATGTTATATTATATTACATCCAACTTATGTATAGGGTATCATACAACCAACAGCTTCTATAAACTAGTCCTCCGGCCACGGAGCCAAATCATGCATAATCCCCCCTTGCATAGACGCCCGCGTCCGATGCGGGGTAGACGCCGACCCCGGCGCAGCATTCTCCATCCCCGGGTCCAGATGCACCGCCGGCAGCAGATCCGACAACACGCTGCGCCGCCGCGAGAACACCCCGCCCGCCGAGGGGTTCTCCTTCTCGCGATGCAGGACATTGCTCTTGGCGCGACTGCGCCGCCGCGGCCGGCGGAGATGCTCGTTCGGCACGGGGTCGACCTGCTTCTTGGCCGCCGGCACGAGGTTCAGGTACAGCGGGAAGATGGCGCCCGCGCAGTACAGCGCCACCAGCACGCTGTACGAAAAGGACACGCCGCCGGCGAGCTGGGCGGCGTACTGCGCGAACGGGAAGAATGCGCCGCCGCTGATGGCCGTCGCGAGCAGCGAGGCTGCCGTCTTGGTGTGGTGCCCCATGCCGCGTAGCGAGATGGCGAAGATGATGCTGAAGGTGCCGCTCTCGAAGAGATACACCATCAGCGCCATGGCGGCGGCCGAGGCGCCTGACGTCTTCATGCATAGGATGGAGAAGACGATCATGCCTGCGTACGAGATGAGCAGGATCCAGCGGGGTTTCAGGAACCATTGCGGGAACGCGGCGAGGAAGCGTCCTACGGCGAACATGCTGTGGGCGATGGTCAAGTAGCCGAATGGTTCGAGATC